TGAGGCTGGAATGCGGTGAGCAGTATGCCTTCATGATCCCAGAAGACTGTGAGCATCACTTTCCTGGAGGATGGTGTCACCTTAAACTTTTTTTTTTGGCAGGGGATGCACACTTTATCTTGGGCTGGTAATGGTGAACCCAAGACTCATCACCTGTGACAATTCAGGCTAGCATATCGTGTCCTTCATTGTGGTAGCGATTTAGATGCTGTAATGCCAGACCCATTCTTTGCATTTTGTGTTGTGGGGTCAGCATGCGCAGCACCCATCATGCACAGACTTTTTGAAAACCTAACCTGTGATGCATTATGAGGTAGGCCGTGCCATGTGAACATGCCTGGTTCCGACAGCAGCCCAAAGAATTTTATGCTCCTGGTTTTCAGGGGCTTGTGAAACAATGGGACAAGTGCCTCAATGTACAGGGAGATTATGTTGAGAAATAAAAGCATTTTTCAAATCAGTACTCTTATTTGTTTAAGTTCTATATCCATTTGTATCTTACTTACTGACTTACCCTCATATTAAGGTGTATAGGCCCATTTCTGGGTAGCGAATCTGAGATGGTTAAATATGATAATGAGAGTGACTGTGCTGGTGAGGGCCAGCAGCAGTTGTAAACAACAGACCAATTCTCTTGTCAGAGAGGATGTTACATAAGGACTACAACCACAAGTGTTCAGGTGAAATAAAAATACTGGTCATGGGTCTCAAGGGGTTTGGTGCCAAGACAAACTGATTGGCGGTGAACTGCCAGTAATAAAGTAACTCTGATTATGACTGAACTGAGAGAGTTGACAGTCAGTCTGTGAAGAGAAGACTAGGAGATTGGTGTGAAATGGCTTCCAATCTTGGAGCTAGACAGTTGAAGCACTGAGTCAGTTGTAAGGGAATCTGTGAAGAGAAGACTTGGTCGGTATAGTTCAAGAATCTTCACTGTTAGAAGCTGTTACCAGGAAACGACCAGTGTTGACTATAACAGACTGCAAACCCTAGTCTGTATGCTCTAGTGATTTGTAAAGTGTGGAGATCAGCAATGGCTCTATAATTAAGTGTGGTTAAGAGTTGTGATAAAAGTGGTCAGTAAATCCAATTACAACCCAGCTTATAGTCGCTCTATCTCATGACAGTATTATTTGCAGTAATTGTTGTGATTAGCTCACGGGTAAGCAAAGAATATATCATTGCACCAATCATAACTGGTAGCTTATCAACAGAATCTCTGGATGTACCTCAGTCAAGACTATGGCTGCTGTATTCAAGGTTTGTTGTGGTTCTTCTCGTAGAGTCTATTTCAAAGGAGTGACACTTGGTGCTTCACCTCTATTGTGATAATCTAATCTGAATCTAAAAGATTTATCTTTAATTCTGTTCTGTCATGTTCTCTCAGTACATCATGACAATTTTCGTATTTATTAATTTTATTAACTGCTTCAGAAAAACTGCCATATAGTGATACTCGCATGTAGAAGCCTGAGTTCGTGGATTTTATGATTATGGTCTCAGATATTTTCAGTTCTTTACGTGTTTTCACAATTGGATGGCATTCATATTAGCTATGTAGAAGTTATTTCATGACCGGAAGTATCAGTGGATGATATTAAAATAAAACAGGAGATGATGTTCTGTCCAACACACAACCTGGAGCACCATGCCCAGTATGTATGTCCCCCAGTGATAGATGGACCCGTTATACCTCCAGGCACTGGGTTCCCTTTTAGTCACCTACTACGACTCGTAGAAATTTGGGGCAGGTATTCTAACCCACATTCACACCAAGTACCCATTGGTATCAAATGAAAAATATTCACGGTCGTCTAGAATATCACGTGGAGTAGATTGGTACCTATTTGCAAACTACGCGGTAAAATATCATAGAACACCTATCTCAAAATTCACCACAGTGAGAACAAAAAACATCGCATCGCACAGGCAATGTCTCCGTTTTTTAAGCACAATATATCAGAAAACGTATAAGAATCACATCTGACGTAGGTTAATGTTCTTTTGGTAGCTACTGTTATGGTAAACTGCTGGGGACACAATTCATTATTATAGAAAATCAGCAGCTGAAACATCGGAATGTAACAAAATTCAATTACAGAAAGTTTAGAATATTAAACAACACTACTATGGGAATCGTAAACCATAATATCGGTCATTTGACCTTTGGTCACGGCATAGTTAAAATTCACATATGATCCAGTAAGTTTAGTTACAACACGAATAATAGCGACATAGCGACCGCTTGGTTGGAAAGAGTTTTGAGCCGGGAGATAAGTAGAGTAATTGTAATCTTTCGTAGGCATTATCAGGAATTGAGAAGGGGCATTACTTTTTCGTGCACAGGTCGCATCAGTGAGTACATATGTCGGAATTTTTGTATGGCCTTTAAAGTTCCTGGTAATGTAGGTCATTGTGTGGCCCCCGTGAAGAGATTTTGTTAGTATTTGTATCTAGTCTTAGTGTCGGTTAACGTAATACCAAATGAACGTATAAAATGAGACGTAGAAGGGAGTTTTGTTTTGCTGGAATCAAGTGCAAAAGACTTATATTCAGTGGAAATATGTAAGGATCACGTGACAACTTGTAAGAGTGGTTTGTGTTACGTTCAGTTACTGGGTAGACCTTATGTAATGTGTTTCACTTCCCGTACGGGCTTACCATTTGATGTACACAGTTCATTGACAATAGTGATAAGGGCTTAAACAAAATTTTTATTTCTGGTGGGGGGGGGGGGGTGGTAATATGCTTACCACACAGTACATGTAAATATTTTGAAAACAAAAGCAAACTAACTGGAACCATCCTACAGTAGTACTAAGGAGGCATCAGCTGTCCATATTGCACCACTAAGGGGGTTTGTATAGCACTGACGGTCTTTACTCATGTTCAGAATATACTCACCAGGACAGTGTCTATCCTAACTGAAGTGTTCACAGATCTCTTCTGTCCCTCCTGGCAAATGCCAGGATACTGTATTGATTGGGTCATGACTGCTTCCTTCCAGGTCTATTCCAGTTCATTAAGTACCTCACCATTTCACATTGTTTAGACCAGACACTGACTGCTTCAGACAATAAACCACACACCATATTGCATCACATGTGTTTGAATGTTGGCTGGTAGTCAGATGCTCCCCCCCTTTCAGCCTATTATGGATATAGTCAAAGTGGAACCAGAATCTGATGATGAGATGGAGCCAGTAGATTCGGAGAACGAAGCCGAGACCACCGATGCAAGACAGGATGGGCTAGGAACATTTGCATTTGTCTCTGTGAAGGAAGAGTCAGTAAGTGCAGCATTGTTACATATAATTAAAATTTCATCTTGGTGCATGTGATTTGAAGCTGTGTGAAGTCTTCTCGGGTGATTAGCCATGTCTGTACAGAGTTAATGCCAAATGTTAGGAATCTGGAAGACTTCATTGCATGCATACTGTTGTGTTTCAAGAGTTGCTTGTTATGCTCTTGCCTAGAAGCTGGATGGCATTGTTAGTAAAATGACTGCATTTAGGGTGGAAGATGCATGCCCAGACTGATTCTGGGGCCCATTCAGCTTCCTGTTTCATGGAAATGGGAGTAGAAGCAGCCAGAACATGAGGTTAAGACATGCCCATTTTCCATAAGATTATGCATGTGGTATTATCCCCAGTGCCTGTACATCTCAGTGGCATGTAATCTTTTGTATTGCCAACTTTTTGAGCACTTACATTTACATTACATTTATTTTCACTTCATGGATCCAATCACCTCCCCATAGGGCTGGATATGAAACATGTCACACATTACAAATTCGTGATGACTACACATCATACATCCTTGGTCCAATAGAACATATAATCAGGCCTCATGCAGACAGCGCAAGTTGTCTGTACTACACACATAGGCTGTGAAAAACCACTGTCAAATTCAGACCTTGCCATTCCACACACATACGCGTGCGCACGCACGCACACACACGCTGGCCAGCCATATCATCAATACAGTTTCATTATAACATATTAAAATTCATAACAAACACAGATGTCATACATACTTCCACACTTACAACAAGCAAGTCACAACAACGTATAATACAAGCACACAGACCATTTATTAACTCTTAACTTTTGAGCCCCTTGCATGCATACATACATACATACATATTTATTTCGTTCCAGAGATCTACAATTGGCAGTGCTGCCTTGAGATATAGAACATGTCAATAAAAGTACATTTAAAATGATAAATTGTTAAAAGTTAAATATCCAAGACATTTAAAAAGGCCACATATAATTGTAGTACATTAACAGTTGTAGAACACAAAACACATCAAACCAAATCACAGACACGACACCGAAACAAACAAACGTCAAAAATCAGGTGCCATTCACAACAATTATAAACAAAAACAGACAGATAATATTATATTCTGGATGCGACAAATAATAGGCGCAATCTTTATCTATAGGAAGCACAATCATTCCTTGATTTCCATTCATAATACTCATGTAATGAATAAAAAGAGCCCACCTGCAAAAAAATTTTTAGGGAATATTTGAATTTCTTAATGTCCTCTGACAAGCTTTTAATTCTACATGGCAAGTTGTTAAATATCCTAATCCCACTATAAAACACTCCCTTTTGCACTTTAGTCAGTTTACAGGTTGGATAATGTAAATCTAAACCCCGTCTAGTGTGCATGCCATGAATATCTGAATTTGTTACAAACTTGTCCATATTCTTAACCACAAAAACAGATATTGAGAAAATATATTGTGAATAGAATGGAAGAATGTTTAATGCTTTGAAAATTGGTCGACAAGAGTCCCTGTTACCCGCTCTCATTATTATTCTAACTATTCTTTTTTGAATTATGAAAATTTGGTCACTATTAGTTGAATTACCCCAGAATATTATACCATATGACATGATAGAATGGGCATAGGCATAATAAGTCATCAATAGGCTTTCTAGGGACATAACTGAAGTTAGGATTCTGATGGCATAGCTAGCCGAGCTTAATTTGCTGGCTGTATATTTGATGTGTTCTTTCCATGATAAAGTACTGTCAATTGTTATTCCAAGAAATTTCAGTGTACTCGTGTTATTAATTTGGATATCCCCATGGTTTATATTGATATCTATTGGTAAATTAGGTTTTGATGAAAACTGGACACAATTTGTTTTTGTCAGATTCAAAGTTAACGAATTAATAGAAAACCATACATTAATTAATTCAAGAATTTCTTTTAAAGTAATAACAAGTTCATTGTAGTTCGACTTGCAACACAATATGCTGGTATCATCCGCAAATAAAACTGGCTTTGACACTTTATTTATTATATATGGTAAATCATTAATATATACTAAAAAGAGCAATGGCCCCAGGATAGAACCCTGAGGGACACCCTGTTTAACCTTTTGCCATTTAGAAACACCACTTTCAGTGTTATTATTCAATATTGTTCTTTGCTGCCTATCAGTCAAATAGTCTTTGAGCAACTTTCCTGCTAAACCATTGATACCATAAAACTCCAGTTTTGCAAGTAGTATTTCATGATTTACACAATCGAAAGCCTTAGTCAAATCGCAAAACAAACCTCCTACAACTAGTTTGTTATTTAATGCTGATAGAATAGTATTTATTAAGTCATGAGTGGCTGTATCCGTGGACAATTTAGTACGAAATCCATGTTGTTCATGCGCCAGGATTTTATTTATGTCGAGATGATGTTGAAGTCTATTATATATAACTTTTTCAAAAATTTTAGAAAAAGATGTCAATAGAGATATTGGCCTATAGTTTGCCACATCAGTTCTGTCACCTTTTTTAAATATGGGTTTTATTTCGGAATACTTTAGCCTTGTAGGGAATACACCAAGACTTAGTGACTTGTTACACATGTAAGTTAAAGGTGACAGAATAAACGGTAAACTTATTTTAAGGATATGCTGGGGAATCTCATCATATCCATATGAATATTTCAATTTTAATGATTTTATTATATCTTTAATTTCTTTGTTGGTTACGGGTGTCATATGTATATTTGGAAAAGGATGTTTGAATACGTCAGAAAGAAATTTGAGGGCTTCATGCCCGTTAGTAGACATACTACTTTTCATTTGTGGTAATGGAGATGCAAAATAATTGTTAATAAAATTCGTCATAATTTGAAAATTATTACATAATTTACCTTCAATTTTTATTGTTGACATTGGATTTTTTTCTGGATTTGTATTAGTTATGGATCTGATGATATTCCAAGAAGTTTTAATTTTATTTTTAGAATTTGAGATTAATTTTTTATAGTATCGTTGTTTTGCTAACTTTATAACCTTTGACAATACTTTACAATATTTCCTGTAGTACCTTGATAATTCTAAATCATCTTTATTTCTAATGCTCAACTTATCATTTATATACTGTGCATATATTATTGTTTAATGTCTCTTTTGCTGAAGTTGCATTGTGCAACATACATCTCCTGACATGTTTCATATTCACCCATTGATGGATTGATTCTCAGAATATATTTTTCATTATTAAAATTTGTAATTGATAATGCTTCTCTATTCAAAACAAACTCTGAGATTTATGATCTTAATACTAGAAATAAAAATAATTTTCACCTTTCACTACCAAGGTTGGCAATCTATAAAAATGGTGTTTATTATATGGGTATTAAAGCATTTAATCATCTACCTCCCTACATAAAGGAATTATCAGAGGATAGGCTCCAATTTAAAAATGTCCTAAAAATTATCTTTTATTGANTGAATTCCTTTTATGCATTGAAGGAGTTCTCTGATGGTGAAATTTGGTGTTAAGGATGACATTGACGCTTTCACCCTATGGATGGATCTATGGAATTGGAATTTTACCTGATATATAGAATGAATTAGATGAATATAATTTTATGTTTTGATGAAATATTACTATAAATTTTATATTATATAATGAATTTTTATAACTTTGACTCATGCCTTAGCATACAGCTTGTTTATATTGTATCTGGTTTACTGTTATCAATTGTTGTATTGGATTATTGTCTTATCTCACATAATTTTGTCAATTTTATTAATGAAGTGAACCAGAATTAGAATTTTGATATTTATTGTATCCGATGTAAATTTGTTTATGTATGTCTGCTTTATGCTTTATAATTGTTTGCATGTATGTTTGTTTTGTTTTTTGTTTTTGACATGTTTCAATTAATTATTGTAACTTAAATTTTGATCTTGTGACTCATTCTATATCCTATGGCTTGTATTATGCCTGTATCAGGATCAATTAAAAAGTGAAATAAATGAATGAATGAATGAATGAATGAATGAATGTTGGTTTAATGAAATGTATATACTAAAGCACAAGAAGATTGTCAACCATTTATACCTGCTGTTAATTTTACTATTATTCATATTAGGTTATTCCTGTCACACTGGTATTAGTCTATAACATTTCATTTCATTTCATTTATTTCGTGTCCATGGATCATTATACATGATATAAGACATGTCATTCTTGTGTAGTTATAGTATAATAAGTTTCATGATGTTACTATTGGGGGGGGGCTGCATGTGAAGCATGCAGTGCAACGTGGAATTTGGGTACCAACTCAGCATTTGCTCTGGGACCAAGGAAAACCACGGAAAACCTTGATCGAATTGGCCGGTCACAAGTCCTCCCACATACACTGGTTTCTGCAGCACCACTCCCACCGCCTTGGCTCCATATCCCATAGTCCCTGCTGTGTTTTCTCCAGCACATGGCGTCCTGTTTCCTGCAAGAAGAGAGTTACGCAGTATACACTCCTAGTGTGTGTTAAGCTAAGCTCAATTGTTCTTACTTTTAAATTATTATATGATCCTAATGTGAACTAAGTCTTGTCCACATAGGAGAGGAACTCATCTATGCTATAAAAGCAATGTTTTAATAGAAATGTTTTCAAAGTAATTTTAAATTTACATAATGCTGGTATCTCTTTAATGTATTGCGGTAGGTGGTTTAGAAGACGAAGACCAAGATTATTGAAATTGTTTTTACACAAGCTTGTATTGCATGGAACAATGTATAAGTTGTTCTTGTGCTTAGTAGTACACTAGTGATCTATTTTACTGCATCTAACTTTTGAGTTTGATAATGCTTGCAATATTCGTGTGTTTTTCACTAGGAAGATTCCTGGGATGTGAGTAAAGTGAAAAAAGAATTTCCAGATGATGATATAACAATAGAGGAACCTGAAGTGTGTCTTGAAAGGTGAGTGTACATATTGAATGTGACTGCTCTTATTTTACATAGGCATGGCATTTAATTGGATCACACTGAAATTACAGAGTATCCTCATTAATATTTTTTGCAACGAACATTAAAGAATGAATATTGACATAGTTGTTAAAAGATTCTGATGACTCTCCACTTTATTACTCTTAAGCAAATGATTACTTTGTATTAATTTACAGTGCAGATAATGTGATATCTCTACAAGAAGATAATATTATTGCCGCTACAACTGAATTGGATATTTATAACATCCACCATGCTTATACTACAGCTGATTATATCTCTACTGGTGTTAATACAGTTTACCGTTCTGGTGAGAAGATGTTTGTGTGTGAAATATGTGGCCAAGAATTTGTACGTAGAGCTGAGCTGTACAAGCACACCCATACCCATAGTGGAGAGAGACCATACATATGTGATGTGTGCAATAAGGATTTTTCAAAGAAAGCCACTCTGAAAGAACATTATCGTATTCACACAGGTGAAAAACCATTCACATGTCAAGTATGCAATAAAAGTTTCTCAAAAAGTGGCAATCTTTCAAAGCATAGACGCACACATACTGGTGAGAAGTCATATTTATGTAGAATGTGTAATGAGCACTTTACAGACAAATTGGTTCTCACACAACATTCATGTTATCAAACAGATCAAATGCCATTTAACTGTGACATATGCAAGAAAGGCTTCAGAGAAAGTAGATATCTTACTAAACATCGGCGAAGACATGCTGGAGTTAAACCATATAGTTGTGATGTATGCAATAAGAAATTTTCTGATAAAGGATTTTTGAAAAAACATTATCGTATCCATACGGGTGAGAAACCATTTAAATGTGATTTGTGCAGTAAAGAATTCACTCAGAGTGGTAATCTTTCCACACACAGACGAAGCCACACAGGGGAAAAGCCATTTGGTTGTGATGTCTGTGGTAAGAGATTTTCCATGAAACAGAAATTGAAGAAGCATTCTCGTATCCACACAAGAGACAAGGTAGTGACAGAAGAAAAGCATTAACTTTAGTAAGTACAGTGTGTGTGTGTGTGTGTGTGTACAAGTAATGAAGTTGTCAGAATTACTCATTTTCAATGAAATTGTGTATGTAAAAGTAATGAAAATATACAAGATTTGAGATTTTCACAGGAGTGAAGATCCACGTTGTGGTTCTATAGGTAGGTACCCTGAGAATGGAGGAAGCATATTTCTGTGAAACACTGTTACCCACCTAACAGACTACAGCATGGTATTGTAACCTATAAAGTCTCAGTGTGAATGAAAAATTTAATTGTACAAGTATTTGTCGCACTTTATATAAGAAGAGAGTATTTTTACTTTATTTAAAAATCTCACTTCTTTTAGAAACTTGTTTCCCATATATGCATCACATCAGAAGAGTACCAGAGCAACATTTATGCACTGCTACTGTGTCAAGGAGCTCAGTGAGTGACTGGAATTGTGGAGAATATAAATCATATACGAGAGGGGAGTACAGAGAAGACGCCTCAAAAGGAAAAAAGGTCTAGCTTTTCACATTACTTGTTAAGTCCTGAAATATTGCACTTGGAATGTGGTATTAATGTTGAGTTATTCATATATTTTCATCAAACATAGCCAACTTACTGATGTGAGATGTTTCTTCCCTCTCAGTAGGACAGTTCATTTTTTATTGGTAGTTCAGTGGACGTGTGATTTACTTTCATATGAGCAGTGCTAGTTATACTCATAGGCATGTATGATTTGATTGTAAAAGATAAGTTTTTAATTAACTATGATCACTTATTTTTTTACATAACCATCATTTTTGTGATGTAGAAGATACATGGTCATTTGTACCTCTTCAAGTTTGAAAACTTGGAACTTTTGTTTGGATAATCTTACACAACACAGTGTTATTTATTAGATTATTGATTTATGATTGGCTTATCATAATCATATTTATAATGTCATCATACTTTTGTTTGTTTTATGTAAGAATGCCAGTGTACACACATTTTCCTTGCTTAGCACTTCAGTTAATTCCACACACTAAGAAGTAATTAAAAACTATGTTCTGTAGATAACTAGATCTTTAACTCTAGATATATCATAGTATGTGATTCAGAATTTAGGGCTTACAGTACTCATGATTTCCTTAGTACCTATTGCACATAACATAATTATTAGATTAATGTTTCCATGTAAGTCCTAAAATATTCACTCATAATTATCAAGACTGCATTCATCTGGGATCCCGTAATCATCACGTTTCATAGTGTAATATATTAATTTGATTTTGTATTTTAAAAATTATAATTGGACATTTTATTAGTCAGGGGCTTCATTGTAATTAAATTTTAGTTATTCTTAATTCATAAAACTTCAGTGTATATTGTTGCTGCTACACTGTTCTTATTATGGTACCAGGGAATACTTGAGATCTGCAGTTCTCACAGCCATGACTATGAAGAATAATGTTTTCTGGGATGTGGTGCTGTGTAGCCTGGTAGATATTCACCAGTGTTTCAGAGGAATGTACTGTGTATCTTCATGTTGAAGAGTAGGTGAAGCAAGGAACCAGCAATCATAGCTCATTTGCTAAACTGTCACATCACAGATGATAATATTCATGTGGAATAATTTCTTAAAACTGCTCTGCAGGATGTGTGACTTTACACAGTCCGAGAGGTAGAGTAAGATAATGTTTAGTATGAACATGTAGCAGAATGAGAGATAATGATTTTGATATGTTTGAAACTGATGATACTTCAATTGCTATGTTGCATGTGAAGCTGCAGAAATCTCAGTAGCTGTCAGGTACGAGTATATGTGAACATGGAAAAAGTGGAATGAAATGAGAAAATGTGTAACTATTTGCCCCATGTTGCTATTGCAAAGTAGCGCTGCTCCCAGACAGGGACAGCAGGTGATGAAGAGAAAAATTAGAACTTATGCAGACTAAAAGTAGCCAGTTATAAGCATAATTTTGCAGTAAAAGTATTTGTTTATAGATGTAAGCTTTCAGCGTTTATTTTTATTTTATGCACTTTTTTGAAGTAATTTCAGTAATGTAATTGACATGTTTATACGTATTCCTTTTTTTAATTTTCACTTTATGCATCTTCCATCAAGAAACATTGTGAACAAATATTTCAGCAAATGTTTGTGTCTGTGCTTTATGCAGAAAATAAAGTTATGATGGATACAGAATTGTTCCTAAGTAGATCTTTCAGTTTGATTCTGGCATCATTCTTCATGCTCCTTGACACAAATCTGCTGACATGTTACAGTTTCTCCTACAGTGATTGAAGGATGATGTATAATTTGGTGTAATGTGAAGATAAAGCTAAGGGATGGGCATTACAGGTCAGTGTGATCTTTGACCTTCATGTGGTGTTTTAGCCTTTCTTAACCTTTGCACTATATAGGGAGGATTGTGTTAGCAATAACATAGAAGTCAATATAGTCCCAACCATTTAAACAGCAGACATTAAATTATCACAGAACAGTAGATATATGCACCATGTTTCATATGGTTAACATGCCAGTGTCCCAAGTTATTTGACACTACTGTTCCAAATGTTATAATGCTGTGTAACTAACTAACTCCCTCCATGGAGTGGAGGTCATCTTGAGCAACCGTCAGTTCCTCAGTTACTCAAGAATTTTAAAAAAATGTTATAGAACCAACTTTTCATTATCATGTTCACAAGAGTCCACCGCTGATCCCAATCAATCCACTCCATACCACCCCAGCCTGTTTCTCTAAGATACAATTTTATATTGTCATATAACAGAGTGACTATAGACGGGGTTTAGATTGGTAATTGGATTTATTGAACTTTTAAACACACAACTCATGACTACACTTTACTGAGCACTATCACACACAGACTAATATTCTCAGTCACAGGCTTCACTGTGCTGCATGGTAACATCTTCCAACAGTGGATGATCCTCTGCTTCTGGGCTCATGTCCTTGCAGGCTGACTGCCATCTCTCCCCAACCTCCTGCTCGTCTAACTGCCATCTCAGGATTCTTTGCTGAATAACTGGCAGCTGGTCTTTGTTATGTATCCTCAGCATGGACTGTACAGAAAACACCATTTCTGACAGCTCATCTATTGTTGCATGAATGTCTGTTGAGTTCTTCACATGATGGTTACTGTGTCATTGCCAAGCACTGAGCATGTTTACATAGCTGTTCCATAGCAATGGCTGTTTCTGCTGGCTTCACAGTTCTAGTCTTCATCAGAGCTGCCACAATATTATCCTCCCACTTACAGCTCGTTCTTGGTGGTTTCTTTCCTTCTGGCTTTCCCATCAGATACTTGTATGCAGTCCTCTTCTCTCCCATGCATCCTACATGCCCTGCCCATCTCATCTTCCTCAACTTGATCATTCTGATGACATTTGGGGAATGGTACAAGTTATAAGGAAGCATGTTATTGTATATTTTTCTTCATTCCTTTTCTGTCCAAATGTTCTCAGCATCCAGCTCTCAAAAACCCTGAGTCTGTGCTTTTCCTTTAATGATAGAGACCAAGTTTCATACCCATACAGAAATGCAGCCTATGTTATAGTTTTATATATTTTAACTTTTACTTTCTTAGACAGCAGATGAGAAGACAAAAGGTTCTGACCTGAATGGTAGCAGGCATTACCCAAATTCAGTCTGCTCTTAATTTCCTCATAAATCAAATTTTTGTTTGTTACTGTCATTCCCAAATATTAAAACTTTGCCACATTTTCAGAAGATCTATTAGCTCGCTTTACATTATGATTTTGCCCTGCATTCTGCTGACAAGACACTAAGATACACTTCACTTTCCCTGTTTACTTCTGCATAAACCTCCCTCCTAGCAGCAATCAGACCTTCATTGTTTTTCTTCACAGTATGTACATTATCTCCCAATAGCTTTACATCAGCATAGACCAGCAGCTGATGGATCGCATTTAATTTCAGTCCCACCTAGTTTTGTTGGACCATCCCAATGGCTTATTATAAAGAAGTTGAAAAGTGGTGATAAAGCATTTGGTTTCAACCCATTCTGCAGAGGAAACATATCAGAAAAATATTTACCTATGCAAAGTTTACTATGGGTTTCATTTAAACACATTTTAAAGCCTAACTAATTTCAGGGATACTCCAAACTTGGGTTGGAACTTTAATAGTGGCAGCTATTTATTTACGTGTACAACTGATACAAAATAGATGCATGTTTCGAAGTTTTACCGTCCTTCAGTGTAGTCACCAGCATTGTGTACAACCCGTTGCCAGCGATGTTGAAGCCGTAGGATACCTTCAGCAGTGCCTGTTGTGTTGATAGTTCGAATGGAGTGGTCTAGTGCCTGAAGAATCTCTGGAACAGTTCTGAAGCAAATGCCATGAAGTGGTTCCTTCATCTTAGGAATCAAGTCAAAGTCACAAGGGCTTAAGTCCGGGGAGTATGCTGGATGGTACAGCACGTTCCAGCCCCATCGATCGAACAATTCAGCCACAGCTTGCGCTGCATGCGGCTGAGCATTGTCCTGCAAAATGATGGGTGGGTTCTGCAGAAAGTGTTGTCGCTTCTTTCTCAAAGCTCGTCGCAGGTTGCGTTCCAAAAATGAACAGTAATACTGTGCACTGACGGTCTGCTGTCGGGGAATGGTATGCGTTCGGATAACACCATCACAGTCATACACGAGAATCACCATAACTTTCACATTGCTGGGGTTCTGACGAACTTTTGATTTTTGTGGTGACCTGTAATGATGCCATTTGTTCGATTGGTGTTTCATTTGTGGCTCGTATGATTTGGCCCATGTCTCATCCAGTGTAATGATATGGCATAAGAAAGCCTCTCCTTCATGTTCATAGTGCTCCAAGTGGTTACAGGCAGCGTCATATCATAGCCATTTCTGCATTTCCGTCAAATCATGTGGAACCCATCACTCTCCAGTAACGTGGAAAGAGCATACTCTTCTTCTTCACTGACACAAGGACGACCTGGCCAACGCATGTCTGCCACATTTTGGCATCCCTCATTGAAGGCTTTTACCCACCTTGCCACTGTACTGTAAGGCAATGCAGATTCCCTGCAAGCCTCTTGAAGATCTTGATGACACTGTCATGCTGTACAGCCTCTGGCACATTCAATCTCTATCCAACTCCATCATCCCTGTTTTGAAAAAACATCATGACAACCCTACATTAGACTGCCAGCTAACACAAGGCTCTGTTCTTCTCGCCATTGCACATGCACATGATGTGGGAAGGAGAAGTCCATTTGCTCTGAGGTAAGGTAGGTATGTAACGTGTGGTATAAGCGACATTATTTGGTACCATTGCATGGCATCTCTACAGCAGTGTTGCCAGTATTAAAGTATCAACCCTTGTGTGTTTGTATGTATATATATATAAAACACATATACAAGTAAACACTGAACAAAGCAGTGTATTGGTAATACTCGAGACGTGCACTCTGGAAGACTACACATCCTGCTGGAGGTACACATTTTGTATATATGAAATTCTTAATATTTATAGTACAANCTGCACTGTATTAGTTTTAACAAATCAGCAACACTTTCTAATAATTGCAGACATGGTCCAGCATAGACATCCCCTTCAATAGAGTAAAATATATTCTCATGTGTATGAGTAAGTATAGGAGTGGTCTGGATTGGTAATTGGATTTATTGGACCCATTAAACATCTCCTGACTACACTTTACAGACCACCATCACACAAAGACTAGCGTTCTCAGTCACGGTCTTCACTGCGCTGCTTGGTAACGTCTTCCAACAGTGGACATTCATTTGCTACTAGGCTAACGTCCACACAGGCTGGTGGTCATCTCACACCAACCTCCTTCTCTTCTAACTGCCATGTTAAGACTCTCCTGTAAAAGTCAGAGTCAGAGTTACTTTACAACTGGCAGTTTACTGCTGATCAGTTCCTCTTGGCATCAGGCCTCTTGAGGCCCCGACCAAAGATTTTTTCCAACTGAACTCTTGTGGTAATAGCCTTTATGTAACATCCTCTCTGATGAGAAGATGGGTTTGTCTCTTATGAATATGCTTGGCCTTTCATCAAGTGTATATTTCACATATATATTTCTTCCTTTTTACACAACACACAAGTCCTCTATCAGTACATGCTTTACAGAGATCATGCCTAACTTACATATCTTACGCTACAACTGCAGCTTAGTCATTTGAACAGTCGTAAGCTTGACAACCGCCAAGTTTAAGCCTCTTATATTTTCTGTCTGGCTTCACCTTGTCCTATACCATGAATAGGTTCATTCTCGTGATTTTTATGACTTGTGCTTGTCGCCTGCAATCTCATCAAAGTCACATTGCAACTGACGGTCAGTCATTACGACTTGGTGTTGAGCCCAATCTGAGGCTCATGACCAGATATTTCTTACTGTTTCACAGTTATGGTCTTGATTTCGTGGGGCGCCCTATCTAACAAGAGGGCAGGTCTGTCTTTTATATAAGCTGCTGGCCCTTGCCAGCACAATCTTTCTCAGATCCCAGTCCCTCGGGACTCTCGACTTTATTTTACTGCCTCAGATTTGAGACTTCCCTTTTCATTGCCTCCTACGACTTGCAGGGACACAATGGAGGTATTTGACGCCGCCTCCACATAAGTAATCTCCAGCAGCAGATTACTTATGTGGAGGATGCCCATTGTGTTGCAATCTCATGGCAGCTGGTCCTTGTTATGTAGCCTTAGCACTGACCACCCAGGAAGCACCACTTCTAACAGTTACTCCATTGTATGTTATACAGCCTTTACATAGCAATGGCTATTTCTCTGGCTGCACTGTACTTGCTTTGAGCTAATATGCCACAATATGATGGATACAGCACCCAAAAATTATGGCTGTAAATCCAATATTGTCATACAAACTTGCAGAACTTCCAAATATACAATAAGAAGATGTATTTACCAAGAGTGGTTAAAGAAAAGTTATGTCTCAGTAGTAACTAGTATCATATTTATTCCAAGTTGTCATGTTCCAACTTAAAAATTACTTATATCCAGTCACATTATACGAACTGCATATGCGAGGATAATGCTTAACAAAAGCTTAAAAACCAGCATGTTTAGGTTGATGAACGTTTCATTACTAGAAGTTTCACACTTGAATGGTTTCTCGCCAGTACTTCTGTATTTAACAAGAAGACATTTACGAGGAAAGTTATTATAGATGCCACATGTAAATGGTGTTTCTCCGGTGTGAATACGTTTCTCTTCGGTAAGCTCACCGCTCTATGCCCATTCTTACGGCATACATTACACTTAAAGGGTCTACCTCCAGTGTGTGTACAAAGATGTCTAATTAGAACGTTCTTACAAGTGAAAGCTTTACCACACATTTCACATTAAAAAAAAAAGCTTGTCACGTGTATGAACACGGTGGTGTTCCACAAAGCGACTATGATGACCATGATGACAATCCTTTACCACACACACACACACACACACACACATATATATATATTACATTTCAAAGGCTTCTCTGCAGTTTGAATGAACGTATGCGATTGAAGGTGGGTTTTACATTTAAATGCTTTATTGCAAATGTCACACTTGATTGGCTTGTCGCCGCTATGCTTACGCCTATATGTAGAGCACGCGTCCATATTTGAAAATCTCTTATCAGAAATAGAGCTTCTAATGGTTTTACCCGTGTGTTCGATGATGTGCACCAAATTGCCGACAATCCCAGAAACCTTTTCCACAATACAATTTAATACTTTAACAGCAGTGGGTATGCGACGATGAACATTATTATTATTATATTTTACAAAAGAGTGTTTCAATACGCTGCAAGTATGTAGTTTCTCTCTGAGTATATAATATATTTACTAGACTGCAAGATTACAATTGTCTACTACATACTCCACAACCTTAAGATTTCTCTCCAGTACGAGTACAATGACAGGTTGTAAATTTGTAGCTTCCACATATTCCACATATGTAACGTTTTTCTCCTACTCATATGAATTTGATAAAATTCAATCAATGCTCGGCTCCCAGGACATCCTAGCTCGCAAAAGTCACATTTGTACGGTATCTCTCTGGCGTATACAGTTGCACGGTTTATTACATTGTCATAAGTAGAAAGTGTAACATTTTTGCCGCTCTATCAAAGTTTCTCCCAAAATATTACCTTGATTATGAATCTCTACAGACCTTGACAATAAGCTGGTTGTCATGTTGTTCACGAATTCTCTACTGTAACATAAAGTTCACATGTCATCTTACATATGTTTATTATTTAATAAACAAAAGATTAAAAAACGTGTTATATCCTCACCATGCCCTCTGAAAACAGTACTCAACCTTCAGTTTCCCTAAATGGTGAGGAATTATTAATTATTTGACTGTTATCTTCTAAAAATAACTCTGCCTGAAGATTGTTAACTGATAGTTAGAATCCGGACGATGGACAAAGTCCGAAAACCCAGCATCTCTGTGTTATACACCATCGTCAGAACCCTATAGTATCTACTAATAATTAACTGAGTTTATTACGTGGTCACACTTTTCTGCAAGGTCCACCTATACGGGATTTACTGTACACTAACAACAACTTGTAACCACCTGATGCTCTGTATTGCAATATGTATCAGGTCCAGCCATGCATCAGTTTACAATATTTAGGTAATGACGACTTATATTTAATAATTATTCGGTTATTCATAATTATTAATTATAATTATTCACTAAATTCGTTAAATACAAAAATTTAAGAAGCGTTGTGACTGCCCATTAGATTATATTGTACAAAAAGTGAAATATTTGCTAGAGACCTAGAGACAGTGACTCCAGCATGCCATGAGGTTAAGTAGTGATCGTAGTGATTGTCACATGCGTCACATGTAAGGTTAGGTAATGTGTGCATGTAGGTGTGATGATAACTGATTTGTCTGTGGCAAGGTAGGCGGGTGTTTCAAGAGTATTGTCTTCTGTGATATAACAATGTGTAGGCCTTTCAAAGTCAACAGACGTTTCAGAGGAACATGTCGTCTCCATTTGTCAGAAGTTTTTTAGTGGATTTTGCATAATCTGCATAAAAAGTGTTGTATCGATTAAGGACTGTGTATAATGTAAGGGTTATAATATTTCAGGACCGGTGCTGTCACAATGACATAACAAGTACATATTGACTTTCGTGTTTGATTTGCATTAACGAAAACGTATAAGATTAGGGAGTAATGATGTGGATACCATGCCAGGTATCCATATAAAGTGTACCCATGATGATGGCCCCTTAAAGGTAAAAAAATGTTGGGTTGTTGAAAATATTGTAAACTGTAATTTGATGGAGTAAATTAAATGTAGTATGATGTTTAATGGTAGCAATTTGGAACCATTTGAAGAACATTATGTGCATTTTTTTTTTACACAAAATGTTCATTTTCTTCAAGGCTGGTGTCTGGTGGAGTTTAATTCAATATTGGAGTATAGTTGAGGTATTTAGGGTGAGGGGGGATTGTAGCGGTACAATCATATCAGAAAGTGACACACATGGTCAGGCAAGAAAGAAAGTAAAATAGCTAATTAACAATCAAGTTTCTTCCGTCAAATGTGACACTTTTTTAAGTTTTCCACCTCGTCAGCACCTGCCTTACATGTTTCGGCTCACCACGGAGCCATCATCAGAGGCATTTATAGTAGAAAAAGAAATCACCAACACACAAAACTTCACTTTGTCCAAGATAGCCACGTTCCAGTTAATTAAAATAATTACAAATAGTTAAAATTACCCAGANGTGACGGACCAGAATGAAAGACCTTAAAAGTAAAATAGTATTATTATATTTACTGTGAGACATATAGTTGTTACTATTATAAACAGTCATTATGCTACAAACACTTGTTACTACATACTACACACAGACAGATGCCACTATGCTACATAAACATGACAATTTTGTGTTACAGCAGTCTAAAACTGCGGCCCAACACCAAGCTTCATAAAAATCTTTCCATGTCAGTGAACTGAGATTGTAACAGTTGCAGACATTATTTAAAGCAAGTCTGGAGAATGGAAGTCACACAGATTAAGGTGGTTGTGTTAGGTCTAGAAAATTGCATCATAAAGTAAGGTACTTAGGTCAGAGTGGTATATTGAGTCATTTTTTGTTTTCAGAAAATATTTTTGCAGTTCTTTAAAAATGGTTTTTAAGGTTTGTAAGTTAAAAAAATATCTGTACCAATATATTGCTCATACTTTCACATGTTTCATTGATCTTGATTATATTATGTTGGGAGCAAAAGTGTTATAGATTTGTTAGATGGAGAAAGTTGTAGTAAAACATTTGGAATAACTTATACAAAGCCTTGCAAAGTTCTGTCTCCTGGGGTATAACATCATGTAGTGCATTGAAATTTCAACAGACTACACAGCAGTACAGCATCCAAGAAGATAGAATTTTCCATAACCACTGCTGGAAAAACCTCAAATTCGTCATATACAAAGCCTTGATCAACTGGTACATATTCCAAATGTTGTGTTTATCTTTAGGAATGGAGCTCAAGTACAAGACAATAGAATTTTAGATGTTGCAAGATGTGGAATGATTTTGTGCTTCATTGTAGGGTTACACATTCAGTAGGAAGCCAAATCAAAACATGTATTGAAGCTGAAGATGGACACCTTGAACAATTAGTCTGAACTGATCTGTACTATATATGAACTTGCTCATGAAAACAATTTAGTTATGTATAAACAGTTCTGGAACTTCAGCCACTGGGAATCTGACCCATGTTTGCATAACATTTTTGACTTGGAATGCCTCACAAACAAGCTCCTGAAGTATTGACATAAAGTCATGAAACACTCTGTATAAACTGTGCCTAAAACATTTTTGAGGTTATGTCATCAGATAACAACATTGACCATTAGGCAGTTACTAGATTCTATTTTCAACATACAGTAAGAACCAAAAATGTCATTCTGGAGATCTCATTGAACACACAAGATTACCAACTCAAGGCATGATATATGCTGAGAATTGTTTTATACAGAGTTTATATGTGTTATTTATTTTCAATTTAATAACCACAACAGTCTAGATGATGAGTTAACAAACCACAGAACTGCAAATGTTAGGTGAGGAGATACATATAATGTCATCATGATTCCACCATATTTATTTTGCGAAGGTTGGCAGCAACTGCAACATCAATCAGGTTGTTCCCTAGAAAGAAATCTGTTGCAACAATGTTGGTATGTGACCACCACTCGTTCCGAAACCATGATGTCAGGTTTCGATTGACTGCATTTGCCATGACACGCAGGCTGCCTGTCGGGTTGAACATGACATCAAGAGGTGTAGGGGTCAGCTCTGCCATGGCAGCCCACAGGCCTGGCGAACGCTGCTTGGCACTGTCCATGCTACGCTGCAGGAAGTTCCGTAGCCCACTGGGTGTCTGCTGGTTACCCCACACCTGTGAGAGTGGCCCCCACAGCCATGTGGACTCTATAACACATGGCCCATTTTCCTATGCATTGTATGATAGACATGTTATGAATTAGGAATAATATAAAAGAAAGGGGCCATTTGTTTCTCCAGATCACTCCTGTCTCATCATCTGAGTTTCCTGTCATTGCCATCTCGTGCTCTAATTGGGTTAGCATATTGTTACCCAGGAAATGGCACTTATCTCTGATTACCAGCGTTTCCCCTCCCAAGCAGAGACCCAGCGTACTTCCTTCCACATTCCTCCTGATTCACAGTGCATAGCCATCTGCCTGCATCTCGGTGAAGGCTTCATACAATAGAATGGTTTAGCTTATACAACCAAAGAAGTTTGCTCAAGCTACCTGGGAGATGCCCAGTTCAAATCCTGGACAGGATACTGACTAGTCTGACATTTTTGTGGTTTTCCTTAGTCCCTCCAGGCAGTTTCTGGGGTGGTACCTCAAATTAGACCATGACTATTTTTTACAAAATCATTTCCAATTCATTATTCGGTAATCATCATGTCATGTAGAATGGGGTGCTGAGGAGAATATTTGGACCTTAGAGGGATGAAATAGTAGGAAGTTGGAGAAAATTACATAATGGCAAATTTCATGAATTGTACCTCTTAGTTGAATAATCAAGTCAAGGATGAGTGGGCAGGGCATGGAGAATGCTTGGAAAAGAAGAGGTATATTTATAGGGTTTTATGGGACAACCTGAAGGGAAGAGCCAGTAGAAGACTTATATGTGAATGGGAGTATAATATTAAAATTTATATTAGAGAAATAGAGATGTGGACTGGATTCAGCTACCTCAGGATAGGGACCAGTGGTGGGCTCTTGTGACCACAGAATACTGGAAATTTCCTGAGTGGCTGAGCAACTGCTGATTTCTCAAGAAGGACTCAACTCCATGGAGTTAGGTAGTGAGTTAGTCACTATTATTTGACCCCGTATGGTCTAAGCTACTGACAACACTGTTAAGTAATTCACAAATAATAAATAAAATTACCTGCAGCAACATTCTTGTCCCCATATGCCACAATCAATCTGCGGTTGTCATCGCGGTCCCAGATGTCCCTCAGGAGGGTTGAAGCACTGACTGATGAGACAGGCAGTGCTATGGATTTCAGCTCTCTGGTTAGCAGTGCCACTAGACACCGATGCCGGGCAGGGCGCCCATGGAACCCAACAGGAAAGCGATGCAGATCCAGTATCACAACTTCACCCATCGTTTTCTGCAAGAACTGCTTCACTTCCCGCAACACAGGCAGCAGTGGTCCAACGCGGATCAGGTCATGGTTCACCCAGAACCTTCACGAAGTGTGTCCACAGGTACCATCACACAGACAGCAAATTTTACATTTTAAGAAATGAGGTAAATATTCAGTTTCAGAAGCATTATACAGTATACAAGACTGTAATCTTGAGAGCTGTGAGGAATGCAGGAAGTTGGAACCATTAAAGGCACGCCACCAGCATGAATCAGCAGCTACTTCTAGAGCCAAAACATTGTCGTGCCATGCCATGCCCTGGCCTTGCTGTGTTCTTGTGCTGCCCTTGCCCTGCCCTTCAACTGACCTCAAACTGCTCTTGCTGTGCCCTTTTCCTGCCCTTTTCATTCTTTTGCCCTGCCCTAGGCTTTAAATGAACCAGAGCTCAGCATGGTGGGTGTTTTAGAACAGTCTTTCTCTGCCAGTGGGTTACGTCCTGCTGGTGGGACTGAACAGTTGGCCAAGTGGTACGTTAGGTCTCAAAAATAAGATCCTCCCTTAATGCTTGATATAATATTAAAATGTAGATAATTGTAGAAATGCGCTCCTTAGAAAAATATAAGCTATGAAGATGACTTCTGAGGTGTGAAGCCATTTAGTCTGGTAGATCATCACCAAAACTCTGGAGGAATCTGTTGCCCACATCTGCACAGTATCATGCCCCAGAAGACAGTAGCGTTCATTGTCACTGTCATGAGACCCTTGAATCTCCTGCCTTTACTATGCAGAGAGTACAGGTTTTAATAAAATGACCAGTGTGTTGTATAGTACACTGGGAACCCCTGCCATCGCAGTTTCTCTCATTATTCAAGCCTGGAACTGTCTGATGGAATGTCCTTGCACTTTGTTTTTAGGGCTGCACCCCTAGTTGTGGCTTGCCTGCCAAGAACCACTAGTATAGTAACACCCATATTAACATACCTGGTCCGATGATCCTTTGTGTCAGTCTTATTTGTGGGTGGATAGTATCCGACACGCAGGTCAAGGTACCGAATACCATGCACCAACTGACCCCACACACCAGTGTCCTGTGTCAGCAGGTAGCGTGAGAATGTGTCCCTTCGAGTGAGAGAGCCCTTGTAGCATGCTGAGTTGTGTGTCCCAGGAATGAATAGCCCCCCCAGTGACAGGGATCGTAACTGTAGCCTGAAACAGACAGCAGTGTCACGACCCTCATACTGATTTCCAATTCAAATTGCTAAATTGTCTCAGAAATTATTTGAGGAAATGAAAGATTGCATTCATTGCACTAGCTGTATCACAGGATACTAGGTTTCTCTATGTAAGCTAAAGATTTATCAGCATTACAGCAAGGTTCTGCCTGTGGATCCTGGTTTCTCCAGTTTCCTTGAGCTCCATCTTAATATTATCCTCCTAAATATACCAAGCTCTCCCAACTCATATCTACCTCTGAATCTCTTCAACTGCATTTTTCATTTATTGAGTCTCCCATCCATGCTACATAGTCAGCCCATCTCACTCTTTCTGCTTTGATCACCCTAATAATCAAAGTGAATAGTTCCATTTGTGAAGCACTCCTCTTTCATATCCTGGAAGTCCCTGGTTCAAACCTCAGTCCAGAGTCTGGTTATCCTGACATATATATTTTGTGGTTTTCCTTGGTCCTTCCAGACAAATGCCAGGATGGTATCTCAGACACTAATCATTCAGGTATTTTCATAATATCCAAGTGTAATATTTAATCTGTGTCAGTAAGTGATTATGTATCCTCTGACCTTGATGGACAGACGTGCATGATCAGTGAGATTTGAGATGTTCACAGCATTGACTATAAAGATTACTGTTTAGTGGAACGTGAGGCCGTGAAGCCTGATAGATATGTGTCAGTGTGTTGGAGGAACATGCCATCTCCATCTTTTGTGCTGAAATTGAAGGCTGCAGGTTTCTCCAAAACATTGGCAAATACCGACCAGACTTACAGCCTTACATCCCAGGAGACAGTAAGCTTCATGTTTGGGAACGGGATGCTGAGGAAAAGACTTGGACTGAAAAGAGAGAAAGTGACAGGAAGTTGTAGAGAGCTGTGTAATGAGGACCTATACTCTTCACCAGATACCATTAGGATGATGAAGTAAGCCGGACCAGTTCCTTAAGAAGTGCAGCCTGAGGTCTCAACAGGTCTGTTCTGCTCAGTGCTAGTGCTGCAGACTTGCCTGTGGTCCCACATCCAGGTGGGCCGTATCTTCAGGCAGTCCATGTGCACCAGCTGGTCCCCCCGGAACGAGGCAGCCCAGTAGGGGAAACAGTGATCTCCCTCAGTGGGTGTGGCATTATGCCCGAACTCCCATCCCCCAGGCAGCAGTGGACGTCCCAGACTGACATTAGTCCTGAAGAAGCCATCATGGTGGTCTGCAGGATGCACCTTTACAAGTGGACTTGGTATCTCTGTAAAGATAGGCAGTACTGCCTTCAGTCTTTTGATGTGAGCATGCCTGAATATTAAAATTGTTAGCTCATTCCACATGCCTGATGAGTTCAACAAATGTCAGTTGACCTAACACAAGGGTCAGTTAATATTCATTCTTGGCAGCTTAGGCATTTCTTGCAGTTTGCATTATTTCACTGCAAAAAAGCTAACAGCGAAAGCTATCCACATGTCCAATTTGTTGTTCGTTTTATGGCACTGTCAGTAATGTGGTTACCAAGCACGTCGGCTCAAACACTATTGTTTGACGCGTATTTAGGACTTGCTGAGTTTTAATCACAGCAGGGACACTGGTGATCCTGACTGAAGTTTCTTGTGATTTTCCTCAGTCCCTCCAAGTAAGTACTGTGATGGTATCTTGATTAGGCTACAACTGCTTCCTTTCAAATACTTTCCAGTTAATCATTCATAAATCGTGCATCGTTCAGTGCTATATAGTCTACATGCTGACAGTCTAGTATAATGACCAACAAAAAGAAAAAGTAACTTAGTCTGTAATGAATTGGAAAGGATGCGGAAGGAAGTGGTCATGGTCTAATTTAAGATATCCCAGTCTGAAGGGACTAAGGAAAATCATGAAAGACCTCACTCAGGCATCGCAGTCAAGATTTGAACTTGGCACTTTCTGAGTACAAGTCACACATTACTGCTCGAGGCACCTCAATTAATACATCCAAGAATTTTCCCCGCCTCGTGACAGTGGAAAAACTGTACTCTGCATGTGTTGTGAAAGAAGGATATTTTGTCTGTCTGTTACTGTCCAACCTTGGTCAGATACCGCAGTCCGGGCAATGCCCTGGTATGTGACAAACCTAATGCAGGGGAGAGGAAAGGTGAACATTCCCACTGGGACAACACCTCCCAGCACACAAGGTGCACATCAAAAAATATAACCAGTGATCAGGTTAGTTGAGCAGTATTGTGCCAAGGGGGCTGTAGCATGCTTGATGAATCACTCCAGGTAGTACTTCAGCTGGACCCTGAGCCACTGCTAACTTGTTCATCACAGTCATCTCACAAGCCATTATAGCAACATACTTTTGTATGGTGGTACAAGACAGTGGTTCAGCTTTTAACATTTTGATTCTTTGTGGAATGTATCCTATTGCCGTACTGTCTGAACTCTGTTTTTAATACAACATCTGTCAGATCTCAACTCAACTCAGGCCATGGAAAGGAGCAACACGGATTGACACCCCCCCCCACTTCTGCTTCCAGCTGTTACACATCCCCCTCCAATTCCCCTTCAGCTGTCCAGTCAGTCTGGTTACACGAATGTTGACAGTGATACTTTTCGCTAGTGACAAAACTTCGGGCTGGTTTACATACGTCAGAGGGAGGTGGAGGGGAACATGGCAGTGGGGAGAAGCCTCTCCTCTTGTCATCCCCACCATCCACTGCACTTCTTCCCGTGGCCTCAGCATATTGTTAAATGCTTTTGACAAGGGTTCCCAAGGGAAGGATGTTTGTGTCAGGGCACTGATTTGCAGTGGTCTGTGTGCATCCACTCCCCGATAACTTCTGAACTTAAGAATGCATGGAGTTTTATTTCAAGCACCCTGTACTCCTTCATATTGTAGTCCTGAGTGTGGGGTTGTCTTTGTCATATGACTCACCGGTAGTGCTGGGGTTAGTGTCGAAGAGTCCCACCCAATCTGGCAGCATTGCTGGGTCACATGATGGCTCCCAGTTCAGCTCCAGGTCCCGGTCAGCAAGCCCATGGTCATGTGATGATGGTCGCCATAGTGATGACACAGTGAGGAACACAGCATTGCAGTCGAAACCTGTCGGCTCATGTAAGCGTAAATTATTGGGTCCCTTGCGCGTCAGTTGGAATGTCTCCACCATTTGATATTTTGGACTATATAACTTGAGTAGTAGATACAGCACAGTAAAATAAGAAGGAACTTAACTAATCATGTCATAGAAGAACTTGTAACTGTAACTTTTATGATGGTAATGTGCAGTATTGGACTCACTCCTGAGTCACCATTGTTACCCTTTACATCTTCCCCTATGGAAACATAAAGAGGCAAGATAAATGCTGTGGGGAGGGAGTGAGTGACACTTCAGAGCGAAACTGATGGAGAATTCCTGGCTCTGAAGGTCCCAGGCAGTGCCCATTTATCTCTCTGGTAAGGGTAGACTGGGGAGGGGGGTGGGGTAAAGATAACCGGTAAAGTTGTCCCTGTGCTTAATTAATCAAGCACTGTGCCATGAAGACCTCAGCACTAGATGGATGTGAGTGGTCAGCTTCACATCCCAGCCACTTTACCCCTGGGGAAGAGTCCCTCTTACCCACTGGATAGGAGACTAGGTAGGCCCCACAGGTGACTGGACACTGTGGAGAAGAGAAAACCTTGCCCTGTCAGGAATTGAACCCAGGCCATCCAGGGAGGGAAGGTAAACTGGTGACAAATGAAGAAGGTAAAGTGGTGGGAAGTGAAGAATGTAAATAGATGGGTAGTTGTCTCTCTTGTGGTTATGTAGCAGAGAAAGTAAGTTCAGCAGGGTCTTTTCTGTATCAGAGCAGAGGGTTGCATGAGAAGTGTACAGTGTAATTTGCAGTAATTTATGTAAATAATATATAAAGATTCAGACCCTGCATCACAGGAAACTGTATGTTCCTGTATATATTACAAAGACTGACTAGTCAGTGGTGCTTAGGAAGATAATTGCTTCTTATCCTGAGAATCGTACAGATGTATGACTACACCATGTGGGAAAGATGCTAAGTTATTAATTGTAAATAATGTGGTACATACTCTCACATGAGGGAGTGACTATAGACGGGGTTTGGATTGCTGACTCAAGATACTGACCACTTATACGCACAACTCATGACTGTGAGTAACTATAACTGCCTCACTGTAACTGCAGCACGCATAAAGCCTTCTATGTCTTCACTAGTTGTTTCCTGGTAACAGATCTTAACAATATTCTCTGCTAATGTCCTTACCAATTGGCGAATATCCCACAAGGTCCAGTGTTACTGCTTATTGTGAAACAGTTGAATCCATTCCATGGCCTCATACCCTATTTCTTTACAATCCATTTTAATATTATTCTCCCATCCCACATGAGTCTTCCAAGTTGGTTTATTTCCTTCAGGTTTTCAGACCAAAACTTTAAACCTTTTTATGCACCTTTTCTTTCCATTGGTGCTACATGCACTGTGGGGCTAGTTCTCAAATTAGGCAGTGACCAGCTCCTTCTGTAACCTTTCCAATTCATTATTCACTAGTCATCCTACCATTAGATGTTATATAATATGAGCAATTGAAAGTAACGTTAACTAAATCATAAATAAAAGAGAGATCGGATCCAAAGTGACCTTGAGAGAGGATGCGATTGCAACTGGCATGGCGTCAGTAGGAGCCTGACCTCTTACAGGTCACTTGAGACCCAGTCTGCATGTTCCACCTCAGTTTGCTTACTACATTAATTTTTTATGTCTTGATGACCATGTAGATATATCCTGAGCAATGTGGTAGTACTTCAGACTTGATGTCAGGAAGTTCCCTGTTGGAATGCTGAGTGGGGTACCAACTGTTTGAACAGAAGTCTTTCATGATTGCCCTCAGTCCCTCCAGAGAAATGCTGGGATAAAGTTAAAGTTTCTGTGCTGAATTTATTAAGCACCATGCCCTTAAGACATATGCATTCCTAGATGGAAGTGAGCAATCAGCTTCACTTCCTGGCCGCTTTAACCCCAGTAAAGAACCCCCCCCCCCAATAGTGGTGGTTAGGGGATTAGATGGGCTCCAGAGCCAGTCTGGATGCCAGGAGTGCTTGGGAGGAACTTGATTGAAATCTTGCCTTAGAAAATGGCTCTGTTTTTCTTTCTTACATTTTCTCCAGGCAAAAACCAGGACGGTACCTATAAATCAGACATAAATGTTCCTTCTAGATCTCTCCCAACCAGTCAGTTTTTGATAATATACACATGTACTAGCATGCATAATTTCGTCAAGTAAAACAGTGCCTTTAAATGACCTGTGAATCGATCAGTCTTATCTCTGGGAATCACAGCATTCAAAGATTTTGTTATTTTCGTTTAACACAGAGCTCCCCAAAGGGGGCCAGAGACAGGATGATTGGCAGGCATAAACAATTCACATCAATTTTCATGTCACAGATGGAATTTGAAGTCCTTCCCTTACAATATTAGGCAGTAAGCACCATGTCATCCCATGGCTAGTCTCTCGGAATTAGACAAACAAATGCTGATTCTTATTTTAATCTATTTTGGTCTGATAAGCGAAGTGTGATCTGCAGTGACCCTTGCCAGATATTTGCACCACAGTCATGATTTGTTATGGCAGAAACAGCAGCGATTGCTATAATGATCATAACTGCCATTTTCTTATTCTTTCTTACGTGTTCATAGTATTACTTTCACAGTCTGTACAAGTGTCCTTACATTTCCTGTCTGTGGGTAGGATATTTCATCAGTCATGAACATCATACACGACACTGAAGAAATTTGAAAGACCACGTTAAATGCAATTACAGATTTATAAAACACGAGACGAAAGAAAGATGATGTTTGAGTTGAGGTTCCAAGAGCGGTGACAAGCACTGCCTTCTGAGATGTGATGCCATATAGTCCAGTAGAAGTTCACTGACATTTTGGGTGAACACAGTGCTTCCATCTTCAGGGATGAAGAGTAATTCACCTAATCCTTCCAGCCGCACTATGCCCCTGGGGTCAACTTAGCCTCTAACAGAAACGAGTGCCAGGAATATTCTTGGGGATAAAGGGCGGCCAGCATGTAAGGCTGACAACCTTGCTGCCATCAGTGAGCCGATTGTCTAGAAAATGTGGGAACCTCAACATCTCACAACCCTATGGGCCTTCACAGCCTGTTACATGGATACCTTTACTTTACTTTAAGTATGTAAAAGTTATTGTGTACCAGAGGTACCAAAAGTGCAAATTGCATTCACCACACTTCTTTGCATAACTTGTTGGAAATATGAGTTGTTACATTGGCATGAGTGGATAAGACAAACTGATTGTTTACAATACTGCATTAACCTGACCACAGAAATTTTTAAGGAGGGATCTGAAAGTGCTTATACATTAAGCCTGTAAGGCTGTGTCCAAAACATCATTCAGGGTGCATCACCATTAGAAAGTTCACTCATTCATTCATCAGAAATCTGTCAGACGGCAGGTCCACAGTCTCTTCCAAAACAGTTCCTCTACTTAATGCGATCTAGAGTGCAACATGTCACAATACAATAGGAACCAAAATCGACATACCAGCAATCTCATTCAACACACGGGACTTTCTTTCCATAAGGTTGCCTACTCAAGATGTGATGTACCCTCAGAGATGTTTCAGACACTGATGCTGTTTCCAATATAGCACCAGTAATGTGCTTTTCTGCAAACTGTACGTACGGTCTGCCGTGACAGCAATTCCCACACACAGCAACATCGTGGAGATGCGGAATGCAGCCATCACTACTGGTGGCGCTCTGCCAACTGGGGCCACCCAACTCTGATGAGATTCAATTGGATAATGACTTCACTTCCTCGCAGTCACATGGAAACAAATGGGAGGGCTATACAAACATCACAACTGAACCTGTCTGATGTGGCCTTGAGTTCCTGACAGCATCATTAGATAAGCCATGAGTAAATAAATTAATTTCATTGCAGTAACAACAAAAGCTGGCAATAAGACCTCAGGTTCTCATGACTGAATGTTATGTGTGCCATGTTCTGGGTTACAACATCATGTAGTCATTATAGATGGTACCCTGAAGATGGATGCAGAATGCTTCCCCAGTTCATTGGGAACCATCTACAAGATTACAAATGCTCATATCCTATAAATAATACATGATGATCTCATTTCATCATCTCCTCTGGTTCTAACGTTTATTTTCAGAACTGTAATGTTCTGTCTAAGGTCAATGAAGCACCATGCCATAATTTGCATGTGGGAGCGGGGGTGTAGCTGCAGTCATTCTTAACCTCAGCACTAGATGGAGGTGAGATGTCAGAGAGGTTAAGATTTAATTTAAGCAACATTGTCTATGCACAGCTAAGTTACGTACAGTTTAATGACTCACATTACATACACTGGAACCACCATTTAGTATTCTTTAGTTTAATGTACTCCCTCATTTAGCATTCAGTCTCAGTGAACACAAGTGAGTAATGTCTGCGTTAAATCACCTCCATTTAAGATTTTCCTCAGTTTAATGTTCAGATCCATAGCTTCCCAGAGAGATGGGTGTTTCACTGTATTTCCTGAAACTGCCTGCCACATATGTAATTCATGAATCCTCTGTTAGAGTTTTGTTTACTTTTATAACAGATTCTTATAAACTGCATTGACCAGTGGCAACTCAGGACCACAAGTTTTCTTTTTATCTAATTTATTGTGTCCAACACTGGAGTTAAATTCCCATTATGGCTGTTTGGAATCTTTATTCACCATTATTCTGGCCAACTCTCAGCCTTCTTAACTTTTCCAGGTACAGTGGACTCTCAGTTATCCAATTTGTGGATTAGCTGAAAAACTTTTGTAACCCCTTACATAATTGGTTATACCTTCCCATGTTGATTTGAGCGCTGCTTGTTGCCTCTGTTTCGGTAACTTGTATCAGCAGTGCTTTACAGCAATTGCAGTTGACTGCACATCTTACCCAGTTAATCGCTTTGTGGCCAGCCTACTCACATATGGAACAAGGGTTGCTTTCTCGTATTGTAGAGACATTTGGCTCACTGATAGTGACCACTGAGCCGTAATTAAAACGGTTTTTCAGGTAGAATGCAGAATGGAGAGTGGGTATATCCAGATTTTGGATTATCTATTATTTTTAATTATCCATGTGACTTAGACAGTCTGTTACCACACATAATTGAGAGTTCACTACAGCTCCTTTCCAAAATTGTGTACACATTTGATGTCACCCCTATCTTAGCTACATGTCCAGCCCATGATAACCTTTGTCTTACAACCATAACTTTACTAGGTAATCTCTATAACTCATGAATTTCCATACTGTCTGTTAACTGTCCAGTCCTGTTAACACTCACAGCACAGACAGACACATGGGTATCATCTGTCAGGCTCGCTGTGTCAACAGGTTCAGGAGCTCCTCATGATCCATGTTATTGAGTGTGTGAATATCAATGCCAAGCGCGTTGGCAACACTCATCATATCAAGCCCGAATGACTTAAGAAGTTCAATGAAGTCCATTTCCTGTCCAGTAAATGGGTTGGTAAGCCTGGGGCAGGAGTGGTTACACTGTGGCCATGAGCATCGCTCTATGAGGTGGTGAGAACAACTTGCTGAAGCTCGCCGCAGTCTGGCTCGTGTTTCTGCAATAGTGCACACATAATCATCACATCATCATCATCTTCATCCTTTGGCCTGTGGTGAATGCCATCGAACGGAATTTCCCCATCCTGTTTAGAGGTCTCAGCTCTTCTGTCTCTTCACCAAAAAGAAATGTTGGGTGCATTTGTGTTGTATGGTACACCACAGTAATCCATAGTAAATTTAGAACTTACCAGAAAACAGTTTACAACATATAGTATTATTCATAATTTTAGCTTCACTAGTTATGAGACATGTTTTGACATTCAGATGTCATCAGCAGGGGTATTCATTCAACAGAAACACTGGTAAAACTTGCATAAGCATACAGAGATATTGGGTTTTCGGACTTTATCCATCGTCCTGGTTTTTTTAAGATAACTAAGAAAAACACGACGTTTTGGAAACTGGATCTATTTCCATTCTCAGGTGAGGGAAAAACACCTATTCTGTTGGGTCCCTTAGAGAGAGCTAGCCTCAATCACTACTCCGAAATCCCAATATCTCTGTGTGTTATACACCATCGTCAGAATCCTATAGTAACTACTTGCATGAGCATATTTTGCAATACTGTACATATAATTTAAAACCTTTTTAGAAAGTTAGTCCAACAAATGAAGTAATCTAATGTTGTGATATAAATTAGGTGTTGATAAATCCTTATGTGCAATTAGATGCTGATATTTAGATTCAAGTAGAGATTGGTATGGATGATAGTATATGTTTCATGCATCCTTTTAATATAATCTGGATACTGCAACATGTCTTGTCAGTAGTAAAGCTAAAATAAATAAATAATACCTCTTGTTGTAACTTGAATATTTCCTGATAACGTTTAAATGTTGGATGTTTTCCCCTGATTACCAAAAGTGTTTTGTTAACAAAACTACTACTCTGTATAGCAAAATATCAAATTAACATATATGTGATCTGAGGCTCACATGGTGGAACCTGTGACAGGTCCTCTCTTCTGAGATGGAAGAACATGCAGTCTGGTAGATCATCTTACTTTCTTTGAAGCATGTCTTGAGGGTATGTCATACCCTGAGTAGGTAACCTTACAAGATATAACTCCTGCGTGTCCAACAAGACCTGTAATACAGCTGTTTTGATTCTAATTTTATATGGAAAATAGAATCTGGTATTTCTCTAATGATGGTTTAATGACCTATGTCAATATCTGATGATGACAGTCTCAGTGATGTTTCTGACGAAGTATACCGACTGTTTATGATATATCAGACTACACAGAATCATATCTCAGGAGAGAGTAATCCCAAATGTTTACAATTTTGAATTTTTCAAAAATATTCTCTTCATTGTCACACAGTACAAATTCAGGAAATAAACTCAAGAAATACGAGTCACACAGACACACTGATCTCTCACCTTTCTTCTTCTTCCCCCTGTTACTGCCATTGGCCTTCCTTCTCCTTGATGGTGGTGCCTCAGTAGCCACACGCCCACTGCGCACCATGTTACGTGCCACCTTCAGTGCCAATGGAGCATCTCTCAACAATGTACCACTGCAACTCAGGATCAGTACCCACACTTAGAATACTGGAGGTGGAGTGAAGATCTGATGACAGTGTCAGAGCCATCAACCCCAGATGGGGATTGCTGCCTCTCTCGTGGACATGGCTGTACTCGTACTGTAATGACATGTGATAATGTGAAGACATTTATATCATTTAGGCTCAGAATTCTGTCCCATGAGCAATTGGCCAGTATGTACAAGACTCCATACAACACACAAACGTAACTCAATGTTTCTTTTCTGACAGATAGTATGGCGAGTGCTTTTATGGATGAGGTATGACTCACTTTTGATGAGGGTGAGACATCTCCCAGCATCTCAGGGCCTGGGGCAGTGAAATCTCATCTATTTTGATGGACTGCCAGTCCTTCTTGGTGAGCACCGAGTGTGAGATGCAGGATGGAGCAAAGACGGCGCTGAAAGCAGGATACTGTGTGAACTTGTGATGAGCAGGTTGGTGCAGTAACAGTTGTGTTTGTGAAGCAAGTAAAAGGTAAGGCTGTCTCTGATCTTAAGCACCATTCCATGCAATTCTTAACATTGGCACTATATGAGTGCTCATGTTCGTGGGGACAATGTACCAGTGCCTGTTGGATAGAGCGGTAAAGGGGAAAAGTAGTTCTCACACACTCACTGAAGCTGGAGTTTGAATTCTGCATTAATGTGTTACTGAAGCCAGACAGAATACCTCAGTACAGTGAATAGTCTATGGACTGGATGGCCCAGCTGTTGGGGTTGAATTCCCAGCAGGGGCGAGAGACTTTTCTCTTCTCCACAGCATCCAGACTGGCTCTGGAGCCCACCCATCCTATGCAGTGAGTACTGGGGGGCTGTTTCCTCTTGTATAAAGTAGTCACATTATGAAACTGACCACTTACCTGCATAAAATGTTGAGATTAAGAATGTGTGGAGCTGTACCTGCATGTTTGGTAATTAGTTAATTAAGGGCAGGAACAAATTTACCCTTTATTGATGCTTCAACATCAGACTTTAATTTGTGTGATTACATTGAGCAAGGAGAAAAAGAGTGTTATGTTCAGGGATATAGTCATATAGAAGTTTACCCACATTTCGCAGGAATTTTCAGGATCAAAGGGTCAGCCCCTTGCTTCACCTTGCTGCTTGTTGCTTTCATGGCTTATTCTTGAACCGTGAAGTGGAGACAGTATGTTACTCATACCAGACTACACAGCGCTACTGTGATAACCTCAGCTCTCACGAGGGAAGAAATGAACTGCAGCCCATTTCAACTTGGCATGTTGGGCACTCACCTGACATTGTGGAAGGAGCTACGCAGGCTGTCCCCCATCTGATGGATGTAATCCCACTGCTGCTTTGTAACAGGGGCACCAACATTATCGGCTGTCATCTGTGCCTCATCAAACAACCACTGGAACACGAACAGGGGAGCTGCAAGAACCAAGAATTAGTTTAGGTGCTAGGCATTGGTTCATCCTTTTGAAGCTTAAGTTCACCTAAGTAATATATGATAATTCAGTTCCTTCCTCTCACAAAACATGCCATGTTTCCAACACAAAGATTGGTAGTTAGTGAGGATCATACACTGTGGACAGAAGGCAGATGATACATATAGTTACCACTGTGCTGTGTCGTAAAATTGCAGGTATCATGGATTGTTTTCAGGTACTGTGCCAGTATTCACTTAACATCTGTTGCCAGGGTAGAAAATACATGGAAGTTTATCTTCATCTACCCAGAACACCTTTGCTGTTTTGCACTTAGACACAGGGACAGCTTCTCCTTGCATTTGTCTTGAGGACACATGGAAGATAATATTATGTATGGACAAGATTTGAACCAGGTACTTTATACATGAAAGTAAGCTATTTATGCTGAAACAAGTCTGGGGATGGGGGGGGGGACAGAGACCAGGAATACTTGGTATGGCTGATGTATGCCATAAAGATGGTTGTACAGAATATTGTAACTGATGAGATGGGTGGATCATGTAGCATGCTTATGAGGAAATTATTTAGAAAATCTCAGGGAGAATGAAGATTACTGTCTTCTTGGTAGGGATATCGTGTCATTACCAGCATTTCTGAGGGACCTACTGGCTCCATCCTCAAGGTAGAAAAGTGGTCCTCTGAAATGTCAGTAACAAACTACCAGATGACACTGTATCACATCCTAATCCTAAAGACAGAAATGTTCATAGTTACTGCTGTGAGAACCTCAGATCCCTCATGGGAAGTGACCACATGCTAGATATATGGAGGAAAACGAATATTAATGAAATAAGATGTAGAGGATTGAACTGGCTCAGCATATGATCCAATAACAGACTTACTGAAGATACTGATAAAGTTACATGAAGACAAAGAATGTCCTGATAAACCAAATAACTGTCAGCTCTTCAAGAAAAATCCAGTATCATTCATAAGCACAGTCCCATGAAGTCATATGGGAAAGCGGAGAGAAAGCTCCACTTATAAAGTTGGCACTGGATGGAGATGATAAGTTTCTTTATGTTCCAGTCACATTATGCCTAGGCTAAGAGCCCTCAGTATTCATTTTACAGGAGTCTGGGTGGGCCCCAGAGCTGGTCTGGATACAGCAAATAGAAGTCCTTGGTCCAGCAGGGAACAGGACCCCCATTCTGACAGAGCTATTCATGCTCAAGCCTGCTTCTTCAAACTGTTTATTTACTCTGTTATTTAGGAAATCAGTTCCTGTCACATCCTGATTCCATGTTCCCACATTTGGAGAAATTCTATATGGTATTCTGTGCACATTCTTTTCTGGCCCCAGCCAAAAATCCAGTGTCATAAATTTGTTGTTTTCCCTTATTTATTGTATCTTGAATCTCCTAAATAGATTGCAATTAGTGCGACAGTTTTGAACCTCAGTTCAGTGCAGTTACGGTTGACACACAGCAGCATATGTGTTTCCCCTCTACTTGCAGTTGTTTCTCCACAGCCATATTTGGTGAGCCACTTCCAGCTTCTGGCATCACTGCTGCTTCAATTCTGAACTGAATTTCGTCAAGTATTCAATTCATATATGACTAATTATTTTAGAAACTGATTTGATATTACTCTTTATGTAATTGTATTTATTTTTGTATAGTAACAGTTTTCTTTGACAACTTATACAAAGAAATTATTTCCATAATTATATACAGCAAGTCATACAAGAAGATGAACAGTCTCTTGATGCAATTTTGCATAATCCCCATTTAGATTAAACTTCAATTTAGTATAAGAAGAGCCTGAAGTTTGTTTAATTTCACTGTAAGCGTATAGCATTCCTGATGCGTACTCACATGAGAGGGTGGGATAGGCTCTGTAGCCAAAGTAACACCTCCATGGCTCTGAAGGGTAGCAAGCCTGGCACTCAAGGGGCACCTGCCCTTGCCACAGCCTAATCCCTTTCTTGACAGCATCGAGGGGTGCCAGAGAGTGTCCATCTTGTGAGTATGGAGCACGGTCAAGAAACCAGCCTGAGTCTGACACGCCCCGCACTGTGATGTGTGTCAGCCCATAGCCCATGTGGAGTAGGCCTGCTATTGGATCGAGATTCAGCATCACTCCTGTCCCACCAGCACTGAAAAAGCCCACATATTGTAGCACCTGTTAACATTTTAACAGCCCATGGTCCATATCACATTGTCAGTGTTCTCACCTGCTCCCTGCCAACAGCAACAGTGAGGCATTCTGAAGTCCCAGTGGCAACAGGTCCTCAACTACTTGGCGCACCACGGCAGCTCCCATGAAACTGAATTGTGACTCCTCATCAGGTTCGACTCGTGTCCCACTCCACGAGTCACTAGTGCAGTATGGGACCAGACTGGAACAGGTGTGCACATTACAGATCTACTGCCAGAATGCCCACTGAGCACACAGCACATCAGATGTGTATTCACCAGGTAGCCAGTTCAAATCTAGGACAGGCCACTGGCTATTGATTCAGCATTTTTGAAGGAGACAACTGCTTCTTGTCAGAACCATGCAAGTTCACCCTTCCTTCTTATTATATATCCTCTGCAGTTGCTACAGTGTCGTGTCATAATTACTGGACAGTTACATGTAAGAGTAACATTACTGCATGCACATCATCACATCATGTTTGTAACATTCTCGTGGCAGTGACTATGAAAATTATTGCCTTGTAGGATGTGACTACCATGGAGATGGAGGCAGCAGGTTTGTCTGAACCATAGGTAACTGTTGGAGCACGCGGTAGCGTAGTGGGTGAGGTGCTACACTACAAGCTGGAAGGTCACAGGTTCAAATCCCAATGAGGTCATTGGATTTTTCAGTTGACCTAATCCTTCCAGCCACACTATGGCCCTGGGGTTTACTCAGCCTCTAACAGAAATGAGTACTAGGAATTAATTAAATAATTTTCCTGGGGAGTAAAACACGGCCGGTGACAACCTTACTGCCATCTTTGAGTATATTGTCTAGATAATGTTGGACCCTCAACATCTCACAACCCTATGGGCCTTCGCGGCCTGGTACAGGGACAGCTTTACCCTTTTTTTTTTTAAAGGTAACTGTTATCCAAGACCTGAACAAGTCGCTGGTCTAGGTTTCATGATGAATGCAGAGATGGGAAAGGGGTACAATCCAGAGTTTGCGTGAATCTCTGCAGGAGCACGTTCCATGACAGTTACCATATTTGCTGCCAGGCCCCTGTTTTGGGATGTTACCTGCTGGATCAGCCATGTTTGACAGAAACTGGATTTTGAATGTACCACATTCACAACAGTAATGGAAGGGAACACATGATAAACAGTTGACAATCAGTGCGTGCCTTTGTCAGGCTTTGACAAGCTACACTGAAATTTCCTCTGCATTTGAGTGACATCTTTAGGAGAAAATTAGATTGACTACACAGTGACAACAGCACATCTCTTGATGAGATTACTACTAGCATGTGGTATACTTCAACCTGTCAGCTGATGAGATTGGCAGTGAACTGTGGTAATGTTTGTATTATTATTGTGGTTGACATTATGTTCAGTAACAATATTAAACTGAATGAGTGAGATGAGGTGACAGTGATGTAGCCAATGTTATGAATGTTGTTTCAAAGCCAGGACTAAACGTAATCCAGCACTTTCAGCTGAGTTTATAATATTGGGATTTTTCTGTCTGTTGGTTTCTCATTTCCAGTTCATTTAAAGTCACTGTGAATAACTCAGACTGCCTAGCAATTAATGATTGGCTGTTCAGTGAATAATGAATTTGAAAGGATGAGGAAGGAATCAGTCATGACCAGTTTGAAGTATCATTCTAATATTTGCCTATAGGAACAGGTAAATCATGAAAAACCTCAGTCAGGATAATCAGTGCTCTAACTGAGATTATAACCGAGCACCTCCTGAATGGCCATGAGAAATTTTACCACTGAGCCGGAGGCACTCAGCGTGACTGAGGATTTTCGTGGATTTCCCCAGTTCCTCCAGGCAAATGCCAGGACAGTACCTTGGTTTGGCCATGGCCACTCTTCCACAGCCTTTCCAGTTCTTTATTCACTGATCATCATATCATTCAATGCTCTCTAGTCTGAGGTACTGCCAGCATCATAAAATAAAGCACATATGACAGAAGCATTACCACTTGAGCCTACAGGCTTGGTTTGTTTGTTGTTATTACTGAAGCTGCCTTCATTTTGTCTCGTGTACATCAGAATGTTAGTGCTCATTGCATAGCAACTCTTCTTCATGCCCTAGTAACCAAACCATCCACCATATGCCTCTTTGCCCATGCAGGTGATACGTACACATGATTGGCATTCCACCAGAACTGGTTCTCCTCTGGGTTCACAGACAGGATACCACCCGCTGCACAAGAAAACAGTTCACATTGTAACAGAGAGGGGGCTCTTTTTAGATGCACACTCACAAAACAAGAACTTTTATTGCTGTATCTACTCACAGCTACAGAATAGAATTAAGTAACTGAATCTTGGACAATTTAAGCAAGAGACACAAACAGAATACAGTCAGTAGAAGTGAGATACTTGATACCTGCACCAAACTAGATCATATTATGAACGAAAATACAATATTTACCTGAAAATAAGCCACACATTTTTCCAAAACTTGACACTTTTAAAATTAGGGTGCAACTTATAAGCGATTCTTGACTCTGTGTTTCAGGCAAAGGTATTGTGACATGTTGACCCCTACCTCCCCAGCGGTACGTGGCGGTAACGTAACGCTCGCGTTCTTACGGTAATAGGCGAGTTCCCGCCCCGCCACTCCCCTCCGCGGTGACGTCACCGAGGGATATCGCGGTCGCTAGGCAACGCGAGTCAACAGCGGCGACGTTACGATAGTAACAGCGGTTACCTCCGCTAGCGTTACATAGCAACACAGCGCCAGGCAAAGAGGGTGCCTATTACGTGGCCGTATTGTCCGATCGAGGTTACATAAGGAGCAGCGAAGGCTATTCACAGTCAGTTGTACTGAGACAGTCAGCGAGTCCTGGAGCTACCGCCGAGTTAGCCAGCAACTAGTCAGTTGTATTCTGGCATTTTTCAGTGTACTAATTGTGATACTGCAGATAGCAGTAACCGTAAATCTGTAATTTGGGTGATTGTAAGTGCGAATGTGAAATAAAATTCGCTACATCGAATACATCGAGAATTCATTTGTCGCGATATACGCCCGATACGCGACAGTATATAGTTCATTATGATCACCAAGAAATGAAGAACTGAAGATGCTAAATTTCATTGGTCATATGACAGATGTTCACTGTAGTTTACACCCAACTTCTTATAATGAGAGAAGTGAGACATAATGTTTAAGATTAAAAAATGATGTAAATGCATAAGATGTTTTTTTTTTTTTTTCATTTCAAGATCATGCAATTTTAGTGGTACAGCTTACATATAAAGGTGGCTTATATTTACTTACTTACTTACTTACTTACTTGCTCATGGAGCTGAGCCCTTCTGGAGGAACCGCCGATTCTGCAGCTACTCAAGAATTTTCCAGCATTTTATGGAACCCGAAGGTTCATTACCATGTTCACAAGAGCCCTCCACTGGTCCCTATCCTGAGCCAGATCAATCCAATCCATACCATCCCATCCTATCTCTCTAAGATCCATTTTAATATTGTCCACTCACCTACACCTTGGTCTTCCCAGTGGTCTCTTTCTTTCTGGCTTTCCCACCAATATCCTATACACATTCCTCGTCTCCCCCATTCGTGCCACATGCCCCGCCCACCTCATCCTCCCTGACTTGATCATTCTAATTATACTTGGAGAAGAGTACAAGTTATGAAGCTCCTCATTATGCAGGCTTATGTTTAAGCAAATACAATATTAGGAAGAAACTAATACTGCATTTAGTACAGAGTGAAAGAGATGAACACAAACCATCTTGACAGAATGACCGATAAAAGAATACCAAAACAGGGTCTACAGTGTGAACCAAAAGAATGAGTGTGTGAGGTTAGAACAGATTTGAGTGCCTGTACCAGGAAGTGAAGAAGCTGTAGAGTTATTCGGTGTTGCCTAGATGTGGCTTTTTGCTTAAATTTTCTCATATAACTAACTACAGAGTCCTTGAGACCTGAAGGTTCATTACCATGCTCACAAGAGTAGGATTAGCCCAGTTTTGTCTTATGTCTGCAAAGTCATGCCTTTCCTTTAGGTAAGTCAACTGATATTCTATACACATTTATTTTTTTCCCCTTTGTGTGTTACATGTCTTATGCTAATAAAATCGTACTAAAGGGTACAAATTATGAAGTCCCTAATAGGCAGTGTCTCTCTCTTTGACCCAAATATTCCCCTGAGCACCCTGTTCTCAAACACCATCAGCCTGCGTTCTTCTGTTAATGTTTCGTATGAACCACATAAATATACTGCCCCTAAGATCACAATACATGTACTCATTAATTATGTTTGTAATAAATAATAAAGAAATATTCAATATAAATAAGGATTGCTATGGAAAAGATACTAGACAAAATATGAATATACATATGTACCAGGTCAATTTGGCAAAATACAGGAATGGGGTTTATCACATGGCTGCAAGGATTTATAATGGACTTCCAAATACAATCAAAATAATCTCAAATAATGCAAGTAAGTTTAAAGCCAGTTTAAAAGAGTTTTTATTCGTGAACTCATTTTATACATTGGAGGAATATTTTAATAGATGACAATGGCAACATTATGCAAAGGGTAATTTATATATTAAACTTTTTAATTTGATTTATATTACAAACATATTGACAACTGCTTGATTTATAAGCAAGATGAGTTTATACTACTGGACGATTTCTATATCTGTTGGTTGTGTAACTGTGTAAGGATTTTATGGAAAGAATGATGTGAAACTGAAACTGAAACACTGTGTGGATAAAATGCAAGATATTTCATGTTAAATCAGAAAGTGTTAATCTAAAGTGTTAATATTTGTATTTATTATTATGTTCTCTGTGATATGTGTTGTTGGTACTTCTGTGACATACATACCACTACGAGTCTCTGGCCAGTGGTGTGATGTCATCAGGTGGCGCAGTCGCTGCCAGCGTGTAAGGCAGCTCTGGTGGTCATAGCAGTACCAACCTCCTGTACACATAACAGTGCCATCTTTCAAGTACTGTATCATCATTAGAGATTCTAAATTACAACCAAGTTTAATTAACTCCATGAAGCAGTGCCTTCTTGAGAAGCTGATAGTTCCTTAGATGCTCAAGAAACTTCCTGCCCTTTATGGAACCTGAAAGCTCATTGCTGTGTTCATAAGAGCTTGTCATGGGTCCCTGTCCCAAGCAAGATGAATATGTTGGGAACAATCCTAGAAAGTTATTAAACGTAATTACAGAGATTCCTTTGAGCTCATTGTTATTTTATAAATTATTTTTTAATTCTTTATATGAGTTTTAATATAGAGAGATTTGAGATTAAGAAATCTTATGACAGAACTAATCATATTCTCCTTCCCACCCTAGTTATTTATGATTTCATAAACTTTTATTACAACCTTGAATTCGCTTTCATACCAATTTCTTTTTAATGTTCCATGACTGAAGAAGCCTATGTATTCCAGAACAGCCACATAAAAATATTATTGCAGCCATAGTAGAATATTTGCTTCACAATTGTCGAACTAACCATGAGATAATCTTGAAATCCATGGTTTTTATTTAGAGCCATACATACCTTCCAGGAAGACAATCCATCGCTGGCTGCCATGTGACCTACGCAGGTAGAACCTGTAACAGACGAGAAAGTGAGAGCAGTGTATTAGTGAAGGGTTCAGTAACTTATCATATTCATGCATCTATACATTCTGCCACTGGTAAATGCTGTTTCCGTTCACAATATCAGAACACTGCAAGATGTAAGAATATTTATCTAAGAAGGAGAAATTGATCTAGGTTTATCATTCATTCCTTTTGAAACTGTCAGCACATCATAACAGGGTGCAACCAATATGGGCACTGGGTCACAAATGAAACAAGTTGGCAACAGCTGGGTCTGGACATTCTTTCCATGACACGTACTGGGCAGAGTGGCTTTGGATACTCGAATTAAAAATTCCACAGCTGAAAAGATTGGCTCATTGTTTGCCAATTAGTACAGCAATTCTCAGTATATGGCATCAGATATGACATGCTGATGTTTAGAGGAAAAAACAAGCTTTAATGAGGAATGTTTTCGTCTTTTGAAGTAATTTGAAAAAAGTACTGTAAGGTTTTCTGTGTGTCTATATTTGTCCCTAAATAATCATGACATTTCTAGCAGTACTATGGCAGGGGTTGGCATTTAAAGGTTACTAGGACCTGAACCAGCATTTGGCTTCTCAGAAACAGTTTCCAAGCAGGCCATTAGGGAATCTTCAAGTTCATGGTTTGTATATTCATAGAAACAAGATTCAGAGTGTCCACCAAGGACTGCAATGTATAAGAGTGAACAGCAGTGATGTAAGTGCAATGTGATCAAGTGTGATTATAACTGAAGCAATTTAATGTGGAAGTTACTATGGGCTTTATGGTAAACTTTGGAGTCCTTAACAGGACTCAAACAGGCAGGATTCCTACAAAGACTCTCTGTTAGAAGAACCAAGGAACTGTTAGAACTAAACAGAAACCAGGTTGAACTCACTCACTGCATTAGTGACCCGATTGTATATTTTTTTTTAGAAATAAATGTGCCGTTTGGGCGTTTAATCCAAATAAGACTATGTAATGCCTCATTGGCATTTTGAGTATTCCCAGGTATGCACTTTTTCAGGATTTCCTCATTAACCAGTGGGTGACAGGACTACTTACGGGACACTGTCGCCTGAAAGGACACCTTTTTGAAATGGGATTGACAAATAGTCCTGTTTGTGAATGGTGCCTAGAAAAAGATGAATCAGCCACAGACACATCCTATGTGAGTGTGAGGGTACAGCTTGCTTAAGATTTTGCCACGTAGGCCATTAGTTTATGAAACCAGGTGACTACCAGGGCACCCCTGTGAGCAAGATGCTACAGTCTATTTGAAGTGTAGGATTGTTGACAGGTTGAAACAGGGTGATGTGCAGTAGATCATTGTAGGTCACAGTGCAGGAGCTTGATTAGGTCTACACCTTATACATTCAGTCATTCATGATAAACTTATATATATATATACACACACACACATGTAACGTTTCTGCCACTCTCATCATACTGACAATGGGCTCCTGATTGTATGATTGTGCAGTGAATTTTTAAGGTATGACAGAAAGTTAAATAATTGGCATTTTGCCTTTTTTACCCACCATTCCTCTCCCCTTCTCACTGCTCTGTGTACCATACAAAATCTATCATGTGGGATGGGGTTCAGGGGGTATGGACAGATAAGGGACATGTTGGGAAAGTTCCAAGTGTTCTAGACATAGGCATTGGACTAAGGTGAGTGGCCAGTTGACATCCCAGCTGCTCTCTCATGGGGGGAGAGCTGCCAGTATTCATTTTATAGGAGGCCATAGACAAAAGGAAAATTTCTTCTGCCAAGAATTGAACCCTAGTCATCCAGCCCATAGCCAGTTACTTTACTGGGCTATTAGCAAAATGCTGGGCCTTGGAAGATGGTGGTATCATATGTAATGTATGTAACCTGAATCACAAATTTGCTTCTGTACGGTATTAAAATAAGATCAATGCTGGTGATATTAGGTTAGGTTAATATGAGTTAATTTTCTTTTAACTGTTTTCGATTGCATTAAGCTAAATAGTGTTGCTGAATATACAGTTCCGTATTCTATTGATATTAGGATATTTATTCAAAGTCAATGGTGTTCATGCTACAAGATTTTCTCCAAGGATGGATTCGTTCAGCATCTCATGCTGACAAGTTAACAAACCCGAAATATTATTTTTACCTTCATTTACTAGTACTACTACGACTTCTGCCTTATGTTCTTAATCTGGCTATTTAACGACACATTCAATATCGAGGCCATCGAGACTATATAGCTTCGCCATTAATCTCTATCCGGAAATTTGGATATATTGTTAATATCGTTGGTTTCTACCTCCTATACTGATACAGATTTCATCCGGTTGAGTTCATTTGTGACTTCATAGCATAAAAACATGTATTTTGATACCGACTGGAAAAAGTTAAAATTCACTTGCGACGCATTTTAAGTCATCGCGCAATCGTTTGTCGTCCTAATGTATTTCTGACACTTGCACCTAGGTGGCAGACATTTCCGACTCTTAAAATTTCTTCTCCTTCTTTATTCTCCTACTTCTCTTGTCAAGCTAGCTTCTTCTCCAGCATCGCCATACATGAATACAGTCGTGCAAGAACATATTCGAGACGCTTCTATATTATATAAATTGTTTACAGCTACGATCACTTTTAATTTGACATTTAAATGTTCCATATAATTTCACGTAATTGTGGCCTTGTTTTACTAAGCAATGATGTCTCGATACGTCACATCACTAACCAAGTCAAACTGGAGCCTAGGAACAAAATCCTGGCGGGAAATTCTGAGTAAGACATAACCTCCGTTGGCAGTTACGCGACAGATAATTTTTCAGGTGAGAGAATTGTGGAAAGCAGCAATAAGCTCTCACAGATTTAGACAGTAACAGCAAAAAATGTGCAGCAAAGGTTTCTACAATTATCCAGGAGGGGAAAATGGTGTTTTCAGCATGAGAAAATACTTCACACAGCCATTATATAACAACCCAACAGACGTAAGTTAACTGCATTGTTCAAAACTTCCACTTTATCACCACATGGAATATTAACAGGGTTGAATTTAGAGGATGAGAAGTTACTATTCTGATCCTCCCGGAAATGAGTGGGACGACATGGAAAAGTTAAGTTGTAAAAGAGTTATGAAGCAACTACGAGAATCGTCCCCGTCCTGTTGGGAAGATTGTAACGTAATTTTATTTGCCGGGGAAATCGTAAAATTCCGTGTAAACTCTTAACGTTGACAATGCCGTATTACTTTTATGTCAGTTAGAAACAAACATATTTAAATTATAATGTATCGTAAATTTGTAGTAGAACCCAAACCCCAGATCGCGACCCACAAGAGGCTCGCGGGAGACCTCGCTAGGGCCGTGAAAGTTAATCAGAAGACCAGTTTCCCGCTTTTTAATTCAGAAAAATATAAAAGGTCGAGACAGGTACTAAAATTAGTGCCAAATTTAAGTCGCTGTAGGAAAAAGTTACTGCGACTGCCCTACAGCATCTCGGCTTAAAATTCACGCCTTATTGGGCTTTAATTCAAGAAGTGTTTCAGGTCTGCACGGCTGTAGGAGTGGAATCCGGTGTTGTAAGTAGGTGATTAAAATGTTTTGAAAGGATCTGAGGACTGCATCTAATACCATCAGTTGCTTCTCTTGCCTCACGAGATGATTTGTGATGATCCCCGGTGGGTTTGCGCACCACCTATTGAGAAATAGAATAGGATTTATTTGCATTCCATAGGCCCAAACCAAGGATGCCCCACAAGTTGTACTACAACTACAGTACTCGTCAGTTACACCAAAATAATTGTATCGAAGAGATGGCATAATTATTACTTGCATGTATTTATAATTGAGACTTTTTTATAGAGATAAACGCTCCTACAGAGTGGAAGGAGATAGGAGATACTCTTTTAACGCTGACTTAAACAGTTTTATGCCATAATTCAAACATTTTGTTGTAGGGGGAAGATTATTGAATTACTTAACTCCAGTACACGAAACTCCTTTCTGACTTTTCTGAAGTTAGTGTCTGGCATATGGAGGTTATCACATGTACTCATATTGAGCTGCTGCCAGCTTTTAGCCGATGTCAGACAGAACTCATGTATTAACTGGAGAAATCAAGCCGCTGTCACGTTAACAGAGAAGTCAGATACGTCGTTTGCTTATTTTAATGGGTGATTTTTGTGGTCCATACTCTGGAAAAATGATATTTTGGTAGTGTTTGCGAGGAATATACAAATGGAAGCTCAGGCGGTTTAGAGTTTTCGGAGCCCTAAGCCAGTATTGAACGCGGGGCCCCAGGCCACTGAGAAATGTAGTGGGGTGTGGATGTGTGTTAGATGATTTGTTATTTATTAGAACTATTAGGGCAACAAAAAGCACATTTCTGTAGCACCTAAAAGCCTTTGGGGCCTTCCACCCTCTTATGCTAGGCAAGTTGCATGTCCGCCTTACTCAGGGCCTTAGTCCATGGCCTGCTTCGCCCTTACCTTAATCCACCCCTATATGGAAGCAAGAGGTGGACATCTTGATTAGAGTCACAGGGAGCTGAAAGGTTAATATCTAACCTCCACTTGGAACAGAGGCCTTGAGAAGTTCATAGTCACTCAACTAGTCAAGAAAGTCCTCATATTTTATTGAACCCAAATGTTCATTGCCTTGTTCACAAGAGCGCACCAGTGGCCCTTAGCCTGATCAAGAAGAACCCATTCTGCACCCTCCCATCCCGTTTCTTTAACCTGCATGCATTCCCATGTGTGCTGCATGCCCCGCCCATTTCATCCTTGGTTTGCTCTAGTAATGTTTGGCAGGGAGCACTTGAAATCACGGCATTAAAAGGGATCTCAAGGAACTGAGTTGTACTGCAGGTTACGGTTTTCTGGGATGTGACCTTCATCTTGGGGCCTGAAGATGGAGGCACGGACACACCGGGTCACAGCCAAGAAGACTTCGAATTCACCGCTCGGAGACTTTCACATGAATTTAACTGGTCCCGGGTTCAGTGTAATGGCAGTGCGACTCCGTATTTACATTTTAAAGAAGCCTTAACGATGGTTTATATCTTTCACACATCACATGATGGCAAAATCATGGATATCTACAGGATCTCTCACGTACCCAGCCGGCGAGCCATCGTTGCACGTGACGTTCGGTGTGGAGAGGTAGACTCGCTTCATAGCTCGCGACTCCTCCATCCCACAGTACTGCAGGATCTGCAACACAGGGGGTCTTGTTTACAACAGGAGGTCGTGTGTAGGGGTTGGCAAAGTGCTGGTGTCGCATGGGACCCTCAGCCCAGATCCAACCAGAGAGTAAACCTTCAGACGTGCCAGACCCGATTTTTAAGCTCGTCTAATTATAACACTTATGGGCTGAATGGACAAATACTGATTAAACTTGGAACTTATTGTTACTCTACCCTGAAGGCGAGAGCAGTATATTCCTCCGAAACGTTGACATCCACCTACTAAACTACAATGTGAATCTATGTTCAAATACGAAAGCTCAGTCGGCACAGCGACTCGCTATGGGCAGGAAAACCAGGGGATCAGGATTCGATTTCCGGTCGGGGGAACAGATTTTTCTGTTCTTCCTAACCTTCAGGCCGGCACTGGGGCCCACCCTGCCTCCTATCCAGTGGGTACCGGGGGCTCTTTCCCCAGGAGTAAAGCGACCGGTGCGTGAAGCTGACCACTCACCTCCATCTGGTGGTCACTTTAATAATTTGTGGATCTATACCTTCACTCTCCCACACGTCTTCATGGTGTAGTGCTTAACTGTTCGCGTTTTATAGTGGCAATATCGTCAGTCATAATATGTATATGTTTTTATAAAAATTACATTTGGGGGGGGGCTGTAAAGGGAATGTCGTGGATTGAGTGGTGAGCGTGCATGCTCCTTATTCGGAGGGTCCAGGCTCGGTTCTAGTCTATCCTATTTAGTGAATAGAGGCAAGTTCTGGATTTTTTAATTCATTTAGCGACGCTGTCAAGTGTGTCAGACTGTGTGGCGTCGTGCGGTAGGATGCTTTAATGGATTGGACAGGAACGGCAGTGCCTAGAGGAAGTGAAGATAATTGGTGTCCCGGCCGAGATACGAACAGGGATCCTCAGTTATACAGATTAGAAGAATTGCCGCTTGAGTCAGTTCACTCGGTAGTGACTTAAAATGTGTATGCTACGACAGCTTCCTTTCTTATTCCCTTCAGTTTATCGTTCATAATCATCCTAGCATTTCGAGTAGGTTACGAAAGCGTCATTAAGCGAAGTAACAAAGAAAGCAAGAATTCTGGCCTCTGTGGGCGTTAGGACCGTTCTTTACTCACCTGAATAAGTCTCTGGAGAGTCGAGTGGGTGTCGAGGTTCGCCCTCGGACCTTCGGGTTGCTGGGCCTTCACCACCAACAGCCACACCACCACGGCAACACTGGAACGAGATTTTCGTGAACGCACTTTCGGCTCTGATATTGCTCAATGGATATTGGTGAATTTTCGTACTAGGGCTACGGACATCGGCACTGGATGTAGTTAGGGAGGGTCTTGCACTCTGATTCTTTGGCTTATTCTTCTGTCCTGAAGATGGAGGCAGCATGTTCCACCTTGAATCCCACAGCCGAGGTACGCTGAGAGGCACTATGCTCCTCCGAAACGGCGACATCCCGCTTCCGAGACTACGCCGTGTAATAAGGGGGAAAGTTACAATCTGAACTTCTGCATCGGCCTATAAACGATCCAAAACTTTTAATGGCATTTATTTGTAAGCCTGGGGCTTCCTAATCATCTTCGTATTTTGTAATAAGTGAACGTCTCATACGTTGGACTGCCGGTTATATGACTGAACTCTTTGGACTGAAAGTGCCGGGACAGAGATGGTCCCCCATCGAGGATGTGGTGATGTGCTGCTTATTCGTGGCTATCGCACACCTCAGGGGGCCGTCATAGATCAGCTGGAGCAATGGCGGAATTATGAGTAACAAGGGAAAATGGAACCTCAGAAGAAGTGACCCGGGTCTGAACCGGAGGCTCCGCTGTCAGAAGGCAGCGCCTAACCGTCACGAAACTTAGCACTGGCCCTCGAGCTGGACACAATGTCTTTCGTGCAGTCCTCATACAGTCCTTTGTTCTGCAGATTACGGTAACAAAATGTAAAAGTAACGCCGTTCTTACCTGACACGCAGCCTTCCAATGCGCATGCTCGCAAGTGTACTACTGACATGTGGCCAGGCTCAGGCGGCGGAGACAATGCAAGATCAAAGAACGAGTGCCGCTTGCGGGTGTACTACCCGGGTTACAAACATTGCTCATGCGTCACTGAATTGATTCTCTGGCGATTATTGTGTCTTACCACAAGGAAGCGGTCGTGGCCTGTAGTTATGACGAGACTGCTGGAAACCTCGGAGACCTTGAGATATCAGGTCACCGCACGAGGCTCGAACACAGGAACAATCTAGGATGTGACGCCGTGACTTGCTTATGCCAATGATTTAAATTTCATATTGCATATTATTTATTTCACAACACTATCAGTAGCTCAGGCTGCATAGTGTCCAGTGGTAGGATGAATTGGGAATGATGAATTAGAATGTGGAAGGAGGCGGTCGTGGCCGAATTTAAGATATCCGACATATGTCGGGATAATTACATAAACACGAGTCAGTATAGCCGATCTCCTGACCGAGACTTCCTGTTGTACCACTACAAAAGGCTCCCACTGGGCCATACTGTGAGTCTCTTTACATCCTGACGTATTTACCCAACATCCGTCTTAATATTATCTTGCCACCCGTTCAGATGATGTCTGATGACAGCCGCTACATCGGGATATCACGATTTGAATGCAGGTTTTAGGGACTTTTGTTGTTTGCTTACGAATACCTTATCAGCTTGGCTTTGTAACGTTTTTGTGCTGTTTTTCTTGTGCATATTTCGGTCGGGAAATCAGAAAAAAAAGGAACACTTTAGCGACTTAGCCATAGATAGAAAGAGAATATTAAAATAGACACTGAAGAAATGGAATATGATACCGAATAGCTGAGTCAGTATAGTGAGTAGGCTATAGGCTAGACGGCCGAAGAATATAGGTTTGATTCCCAGGAAGTATAAGATATTTTCTCTTCTGTACACAGTCCAGGATGGTGGAGCTATACCTTCACTCCCCCATACATCGCCGTGTAGTGCTTAATTAGTTAAGCACAGGGGAATTTTTGTCTTTTCGTGACTTTCCATATGGCGTCCACACTGCTTCTGAGGCCCATGCAGCCCTCTGTAACAAAGGTACCGGGGACTCTTTCCCCGGAGATAATCCGAGCATGGCTTGAAGCTGACCACTTACCTCCTGTCGAAGATAATACGTGGAACTATACCTCCACTCCCACATACGTTTTTATGACACGGTGCTTAGTTACGTACAGGGGCGATTTAAGCGATTAGGGTGTGAGATATTGACTGGATTCATCTGGCTCAGGATGGGGATCAGTGCGGAGCTGTTGTGAACACGGTAATGAACCTTTGGGTTCCATCAAATGCTTCGAATTTATTGATTAGCTGAGTAGCTGTTAGTGAAGTGTGAAAGTTTCTGCCGATGATGTATAACAGTCGTTTCGGTTTTTTTTTTTTTTTTTTTTTTTTNGCTTTCTTAAACCGACATATGGAGAACTCGTTGTGTCTGCTTTGTGAGGCGACAGAGGAGGGGGCTCGTGCGTGCCACTTGTTAATTTTTGTAAAATTGTGTGAGACGTAAGTAACCTTCTTAACAAGCCTGGCTGGTCTCAAACCCTGGACCGGGGCCATGAACGGTGCCTCAGGTTAGGCCACCCTCCTAGCGGACAGATGTTGTTTGGTTCTCAGTCCTGCGCAGTACGGGCACTGGCGAAGTACTAAATGCGCAAAAAACATTGTCCCTGTTATGTGTTCTGAATGTTCGTCACCTTCATCCAAAAACTTACTTTTTGAGATTGTCTTCATCCATTTAGGCCAAATTAGCAAACTTTCCGTGAACACGTTTTAATGTTGTTGGATTTAAGGTTGTCACGAGTCTGACCTATGAAGAGTTCTGTTTTACGGAATTTGATGGTGTCTAGTCTGGTAGAAGTTCACCGATTTGTCGGAGGAATGTACTGCTTCCATCTTCATGGTCGAATAATAAGGCAAGCAAGCACTGAGGAAAGCGTAGGGAGCGAGTTGAGTGTCCGTTTACTTTCTGCCTCGTGTGGTCTGACGTCCTCAGTGACGTCTGATCTGTTTCTCTGATGCCCTTGCAAGAATGAGGAGTCCTGAAGAAGGAAACCCATGATTGAAGAGAGAGACACTTTATGGTGGCGAGAGAGGGCATCATTTTGTTAGAAGGTTCCCGGGCTCCGTTCCCTCGTCCTTCTGGTAAGAATAGTATGGAATTTGTAGAAATAGTAGTTAAAACGTAAGTTCCTACCTCGCAATAAACACGCTGTGTTCCCATTATGAGGACTAGCAGGTTAATGCCGTTTGGGGAGAGAATCGATATTTACTGTGAGAATCACAGGACGCACATAAACACATTGTGTGGGCGAAGTGCAGAATATTTTAATGTTAAAGCAGGTGGTACACATACAACATCTAGTAGTAACCACTCTTCTTTAAGGGCTTAAGAATCTTTGAGATTATTAAATATGCCAAGCACCACCGGGTTTTTTCGGTTCATTAACCATTTGAAGAGTGAGAGAGAGAGTTACTTTACGATTGGCGGTTTACCGCCAATCAGTTCGTCTTGCCGTCAGGCCCCTTGAGGCCCACGATCAGGAGTTTCTTCTACATGACATATAAACATTCAGTCCGTACCTGCAGGAAACACATTACGTCATCGCTACGAAGCTCAACCGGTTAATGCTGTTTGGGGAAACAGCCGCTGTTTATTGTGAGAACCGCACGAAACACACAGATACACTCTGTGGGCAGAACGCATCGTTTTAGTGTGTTAAATCGGGTGGTACATATAGCAACCACTGGGCTTTAAACGGTTAATGTATTCAGCACATTGGCCAGTAGCCGTGACATGAAGTAAGGCACAACACATGCTACTCCGCCTGTGTCAGCTTCCCGAAGCCGAGTCTGACGAAGGACCCAGCCGAGACGCCCACAGGCATCGCGTTTTCGTCGTCGTCGTCATCTTCCTGCTCCAGTTTCCTGCGCACCGGCTTGTTCGCGTTCGAGCAGTTCATCGCGAACTTCAGTTCGGATAGGAGCGCCTCGCACGGCGAGATCTGAAAACACAAAGCCCGCCGAAACATTTTAAAATGCAAAATGGAACCACTGCGTTATGATAACCTGAAGTCGTTGTGTAGATAGGAGAAGAACCAAGCATCTGATATCGCTGTAGTCGTCAGCGCTTCTGTATAGAATTCTGGAAGTACCAAGTTCGAATCCTAGCCCCAACACAGGGATTGCGTAATGAGGAGCCTTACAATTTCCACCTCTCCTCAGGTACTGTTGCGGCGATAGAATAAACAAAGGATGAGATGTACACGTTGGACAGAAGAGCTATGAGATACAAAACTATGGTAAGAAAACTTTAGGGAAAGGGACCATTTAGAAGAACTAAGAGTTAATGGAAGGATAGTATTAAAATGGATCTCAAACAAATAGGATATAAGGGTTTGGCCTGGACTCAAGACGTTCAGGGTAAGTACCAGTGGCGGGCTGTTTTGAACACGGCAACGAACCTTTCGGGAATCACGGAATGCTGGGAATTTTTCAATGTCTGAGAAACTACAAGCTTCTGAGGAAGGGCCCTATTCTAGTAAGTGAGATGCTTACTTATCAGTCAGTTAGCTGTCCATACGGTTTACAGTTGGCTACGACCGTTTCCTTCGCCACTCTTCTCAGTTCGTTACCCGTAACTTAATGTGACTGGGTACTGCCCACATTCAAGCAAACGTTACAGTGACAACTCAAGTATCATTGCTTAGCAGCGGCGAGTAAACATGACGTCTTATAGCATGTGCAGTGGGCAGGGCGATGCTGAACAAGTAGGCCTAAACGATAACACTAACTTGTACGCGAGATGTGCCCCGGAGCACCGATTACCCTGACGTTCCTTGTGTTTTCGGGAACTGCTGGGATATCACCATAAACTGGCATACGATCGCTTCCTTCCACACAGTTGCCAATTCATTATCATCCAGTCATCCAATGCTATATAGTCCGGAGTTACTGGCAGCATTGTTAGATACACTACAAATGAATAAATAAGGCCAGTTTTCAGTAACGTGAAATAGCACTCAGGATTAGTGGGTTTTTGGACTTTGTCCATCGTCTAGTATTCTAAAGAACACAACGTTTCGGAAACTAGATCTGTATCTGTCCTCAAGTGAGAGGAGAGAGACACCTACGCTACAGAAAGAGCTAACCTCAATCGTTGGACAACCTATGTCGTAGTCAAGGTTACTTTACGATTGGCGGGTTTACCGCCAATCACTTCGTCTTTGCATCAAGCCCCTTGAGACTCACGACCAATGATTTTTTTTTTCAACTGAACCCTTGCGGTTATATTCCTTATGTAATATCCTCTCTGACGAGAGGATGGTTCTGTCGTTTACAATTGCTGTTGGCCATCGTCAGCGCAGTTATTCTCTGATTTGAGTCCCCAGGAACTCGTGGCCATACTTTACTGTTTCAAATTCGAGACTCTCCCAGGTCCCGTATTTATATCCCCAGGGACAGCGGGGAACAACCTATATCAGTATAACTGCAGCTATATAAACACCTGAGATCAGGCTTTGACAGTGGGAGATAACAAGAAAAACGTGCGGTCACAATTGTGACAAGCATGCACAGACCCAGAACTGAGAAGAGGTGGAAATTTTGTGCAAGAAACCGAAGCCTAGGATTAACTGGAGACTTGTGTTTTGCGTGCCAATAGCAGACAGTGTTACACGCACTGTACCTTCTCCTGCACGGCGATCTTGCGGCAGTTCCACAGCAGCTCCAGAACGGCCATCAGAAAGGCGGCACACGTCCCAGCGATCAACACCACGAACACGCCGCCCACGTTAGCGAGACCAAGCTTGTTGCTATCCTCCGTGGGGGCTTTGGCGTCCTCCTGCGGGCAGTGTTACACAGGATGTCAGTGTGTTCGTGTTTGTTACACACAGTGTCACGTGTCAGTATGAGCGCCACCCACCTCTGAGCACGACACACCGCCCTGTTGCACCTTCCACCATCTTGACTTCAACTCCTGAAGCACTCCTTTCTCCTGAAGCTTCAGCACTGCGCCACTCACCATCGTGCGGTACGGCGAGTCTGCGATAGAACACCCAGTTTAATAACACTGTTATGTACCGGTGGGCCATATTGCAACGGGGCACGTTCTGTGTATACTTACTGACAGGCATACCGATGCCGTAACCCTTCGAGTCCAGGAGACCCCCCACCTGCTGCAGGTCACACTTGCGCTCCACCTGGTACTCAATGGAGGTGGACTCCATGAAGAATGCGTATAGTCCCTTTCCCTTTTGAACTCGCTCCACCCCTTCCTCGTTGCTGTTCACGAAGACGCTAGGCCGTGATTGTGACATGGTCGTGTACATTCGCTTGTACGTGGAGTCGTTAGAATTCTGCAACGTGTCGGTAAAATGGCAATGAGGGGGTTGTGTAAACCTTTCTTAACAGAGTTATTATTTTCCAGTCATCGTTTCCACGAAACTGTTGTACAGTTTCACAATTCCCGTAACAATAATACAGGACGATTACAAATGTTAGCAGCTATCCCATTGACTGGACATAGCGATTGAGCGAGAAGCACTCATTCAAATCCGGGACAGGGCACCGACTGTAGATGCTCTTTCAAAAACTCTCTCCCCTCTATGGTTGCTCTTTCTGAAGCTTCCTTTCCCTATAATCTTCTCTCTCTCTCTCTCTGCATCTCCCCTCCCTCTGTAGCTGCTCTCTCATTATTTTTCCCTGCATCTATCTCCTTTCTGCAACTGCTTTCTCATCATCTCCCTCCGCTCTACAGCTGCTCTCTCTGCGTCTCTCTCCTCTGTATCTGCTTTCTCATCATCTCCCACCCCTCTACAGCTGCTCTATCCGCGTCTCTCCCCTCTGCAGCTGCTTTCACAGCATCTCCGTGCCGTCTACAGCTGCTCCCTCTGCGCCTCTCTCCCCTGCAGCTACACTCTATGCATCCGTCTCTTTTCTGCACCTGCTTTCACAGCATCTCCCTCCCCTCTGCAGCTGCTCTCTCGGCATCTCACCTTGAAGAAGCTCGCAGTGGAGCCGCCCGCCATGGTCCCGTACTTGACCTTGTGCTGCTTGGCCAGATCCTCGGCGCTGCTGATGGACCCTTCCAAGCGGTTAAGGGTTAGGAAGGCGGCCAGATTGGCGGTGTAGGAGGCGCACATGATGAGGGTGAAGAACCACCACATGCCGGCCACCATGCGAGTGGACACAGCCCTGCAACCGTCACCCCCTACAGCACCCCGTGTGACTTTCCTTTGTCTCAAATGTGTTACGCATTACACATACATACGCTATAGTGTTAACAGTAGAGATACTACATTGCGTGTTTGCTACCTTGTTAAAATGTAGGCCTACACTAAATCGAAGATTGTTAAAAACTAAAGTTTTGGATTCTGCTGGGATGTGACACCATATAGTCTTATTGGTGAATACCTACGTTTCGACGGATGTACTGCCTCAGTCTTCAGGGTCGGGGTGAGTCGGACGAGGATGCTGTCGGTTTATGCAACCGTGTTGCAAGGAAGATGGTCACTCAAGAGGAGGATGTGATGGAACCTGACTCGGCTTAATACGAAATGTGAAACCCGGGACGGGATGTTCTCTCCGCTCCCTGCCACATGCATGTGAGTCGTCTACTTCAGTGGTATTCATCCCTTTTTGTTCGCTTACCCACAGATATAAGTTCTCTTCAGCGTTGTACCCCCAAATTCGTTGGTGTATAATTCAAGTTATACGCAGTCTATAAGCTATATCTAAAATAAATTAAATAAAATATATCCAAAGTATGTGTTAAATAATAAGTTTCGAATGAGAAAGAGGAAAATCAAGATATGAAATAACAGATATATTATTGCCTATCATATAAAAATTAATAAAGGAACAAATGTAATTTAGCAAGGCAAAATTATATGATTAAATGTTCTATAAATTATTAATGTGGTTCTGGCCTGTTAATGAGATGATTGAGATTGTTTCTGGCACGCCAGCACCTCAGTTCGGGGACGAATTTTAATTTTACCTACACCCTAAGATGTCTTGAACCACCGGGGTTACGCATTCCCGATGTTGAAGACCGTTGGTCTAGTTTACAGCCTGACTGTAGTTTAACCGAATGCTCTCTCCAGTCACTGCGACCCTGAAGACTGATGCAGCACGTTCCTTCAAAACGTCTGTGTAGAACTACCAGACGGCACGACGTCACAGATCAGTAGACCCCAGTCTCAATAGTCACGGCTGTGAAAACTCAAAACTTCAATTAAAAGCTACAGATTTTAATGAGAAATATATTTTGCGTTATGAATTAAATTTAAAGGAACTATGATCTACATTAAAATGTCAGTGTGAGTCAGTGTGCCACGAGAAAAGCAAACAGAATTAATACTAATAGAATTGTAGCTGGACTACTGAAACAGGTCAGTGCTACTATGAATTGTGGGTGCAGACTTGATGATGAACCGAGGGGCTGTTTCACCCTTTTTATAATTCAACTCACTAAAGCTTCAACTAATCTCAGCCCCTCCCCAAACACTGACATACTTTCTTCGCCATGAAAGAAGAGAAACCAATATATTGGAACCTCCGATACTAGAGCGAAACTCGCCCAGAAGCAAACTGTGCAGCCATTGCACTTGACACTTGGGCCAGGGAAAGAATGAACATGGTTCATGGTGGTTCGTGTCGGCCATCTGCTCCCCCTCCTTCAATAACATTAACAAACATGGGCGCAATGAGAGACTGAAGATAGCCGGAATACAAGACGCGTTCGTTCCTTCCCTGATGGTTTATGTCTGCGGCCTTCTGCTGGCAGATGAATAGCATTATCCATACTCGGTCCGATGCATGCACGTCCTCGTCATGACTCCTGGGCAAAGCTAAGTCGTGCAAAGGCGAAAGATCGAGTTCCTGGCGCTCCAGAATTGGGACAAGCCAGCTAGGGGCCATCCAGGATTACTGGGGGTTGGGCGCAGGCTTAACGTCCCTGCACCGTAAAAAAAATCACTTGTTAAGAAAGCTCAAGAGCAGACCACAACCCACAAAGGGCTGTAGTGCCAATAAGAGTAATAATAATAATAATAATGTGTGAGGCAGTTGATGGCTTAGAGCGACTAAGATCTCGTGACCGATGTGAAGAAACATCTCGGTCCTGGGAAGTGATGCCGTGGAGTGTCGCGTCAGTGGCATGTCGTGTGATGTTTTCAGAAAAGAGAGTAAAATATCTCACAACTATGGATAATAAGGTAAGGCAAATTTGTCCCTCTGTTTAATTAGTTATGCCCTATGCCATGAAGACTTGGGGCAGTGGAGGTATAGCTCCACCTTCATTGACCTCGGTTCTAGATGACAATACGTGATCATTTTCACGCCCCTGCTGTTTTACCCCCCTGCCGGGAAAAGGGCCCCTGATACCCATTGGATAGGAGGCTCGATTGGCCCCAGAATCGGTCTGGATGCTGTGGAGATGAGGAAAACTTTGCACTGTCGGGAATCGAACCCGGGTCATCCAGTCCGTAGCCCTCCTCTAAGGGAATCCCTCGTGCAGACATTCAACATCAGATCCTGGTCATGAACAACCCAGAAGTATCCAAATTTCTACGGTTTTATAACACCAACAAGTGGCGCTTCTTCAAGACGTCTGGTCATCCAATGTTAAGACATGCGCATGCCCGAAGACACACAATTGCCTTACTGCGGAGCAATATCGGAGCCTTGCTGCATAATTGAGCCACAGTTGTGCCATATACAATTGCTCATCGTCAGATTGGTCTCCAGGTACCCTCCAGTCGCCTCGGATTTGCACGGGTGCGGATTCGTCCATTCTTTCGGTGACACCCTGCAATGCAGTCAGTATCACGCGTTACACACAGACATGCTTACTTTGGGAGGATGTCGCATCCCTGCCCCATGAGGGACCCGATGGAAAACCAAAGGCAGTTCATGAGGTTGAACTTATTCTCCAGCTCCTCTGGGTCCGGTTTGCAAGGGTGAGGGTTGTCCCACTCTCCGGGCGTCGTCCTGCAAATCACAACACTGCTACTGCACGCCAGGTTAGTACGCATGCGGCCTGGTGCATCCCTAATCCTGTCACTGTGCAACACGTCGAACGACTTGGCATGAAACTCCAGAACAGAAGTAAGTTAATTCACATCATAGAGGACATGCGGATGGATTTCTGTGTCCGGATTGGTTGATCTGCTTGTTGAATTGTGAAAGTCATTGGCCTGTCGATTTTATTGGAATTACGTCCGTCCCTAGCAGTAATCGTCTTGCGATTAATTTGGGTATCGGTTCGTATGCAGATATTTGACCCATTTGTGTAGATTTCTTCTGAAACTTGTAACTGTACTCTTAGTTTTGTGCTAATCCGCGCAGAGTCGTGTCAGTAGGTTGAGGGTGTGTTTCGCTTTAATTTGGACGACGTTTTATGCATGTTTGTTTTATTCTGACACCGTCTATGGGTCCTGCATGACTTGTTGTAGAATGTGAAAAAGTCTGTCGTCTCGAACACAGATTTATGAATACCGAGAAGTTTGATTTAGAGGAAATGCTCTATTTTTTCATTCCGTGGGTACCCGGTTCGAATATCCGATGTGCAACGTTACTGCTCCTTCTCCAAGTGAACGCTGTTTAAAAAGGCAAGATTTGTCTTGCCATGGAGGTAAAACTCAACGCTGAATGTCTGTCTCTTGGAGGCCCGCCACTGCACCGGTCTGTCACGATCGCCCGTTTAAATAACGTTTAAGGTAGCGTCGATTGCTTGACGAGAGCACGTCATATTATGATGCACCATACCAAATACAGGTTATAAGCGGTCTGCGATATGTACAGCACTCTACAGCTTATACTGAAATATAACTACTACACAGCGGGGTTTGAATCCCCGCTCTACATCAGACAGTTACATTCTACATGAGCCTTAACTACTGCTCATAGTAATGCCAGGAATCTACTAATTACAGTTGAGATCAATACTAGCTGCTCGATGGTACTACAGTGGTGTCACCTGGCGAGAACGAAGAGCAGAATGGACACCCCCAGGTATGCGGTGGCCACGTAGATCCATACGTCGATGGAGAACGGCTTCAGGAAAGCGAAGAGGGGTGTCTCTTCTTTGACAGGCTTGCTGAAGAGGATGCTGATACCTGCGAGTGGTCAACACACATACCCAAAATGATTCGCAGCTGGAAGCAGTACCAACAGCTACACATTGTGCAAACTGCCAATAATTTGGTATCATATGGGCCGGACATGCGGTACGAACATGGAGCAGAGACGTGCTTGAGAAGCTAATGGTCGCTCAGTAATTGAAGGAAGTCCCTTTTTATGGAACTCGAAGGTTCATTGTTATTTCAGCAAGAGCTCGCCTCTGGTTACTATCGTGAGCCAACTGAATCCATTCCACGTATTCCGACCTTATTATTTAAATGTCATTTTAATTATACTCTCCCATGTACGGCAGAAGTAAAGTTAGAAGGTGCAAACAAACTTGCGAGTGATGATGTTCGCTTAAAGGAATTGCTGTTGGAAGTTCTCGTAGTTGGCTCAGGCCCAGAAGGTTGTAGGATTTTAATTCGCTGAATCGCCTGTCAAACTCAATATCTTAGGATGTGTCATTCAAACGTTACGCGGACTTGTGTGTTGTGCTGTCTCCGATGTTCCCCAGAAGAACGGAGCGTGTACTACAGAGTCGGGAGAATTGCTGCAGAAAACCCGCGACAATTAAAAACTTGCGTTTTTAAGATGAAACATTAAGCTCAGTTCAAATATTCGAGTGATTTTCGATGTTCAAAAGTAAATGAATGTTTTTACGCACTTGTATATTCGGAGTTCGTCCCACTTGGACAAACTTTGATTAAACATTGATATTCGCCTGTTCTGCTGCGTATACATGGATATCTGCGGCGTTGACCTCATGGAAAACTAACATTAATTTCCCTACTTGGTCATTCTGCTTTGTCTCTATGGATATTTGTCCAGAAACCACAGACCTGTTGCCTACCTCTCATCTGAACTCAGTCGGTCTGGTTTCGTAACACTTCACTTTTGTTTTTAAATTTCAAGGCAAGGTGGAGACGTTTGGTGACATCATGGCGATCAAAGAAACATCGCATAGTATACTTGTGTAATAAAAAATCCAGGACACTCATAAATGATTTCAGCAATGTCCGAATCATTTTACTGAAACCGCCTCTGAGATACTTTGAAAGGGGATTAACGAAATGGTCTCTGAACATGTATAGAAGGCAAACATTGAAGTGTGGAATGTTTGATCGCGCCTCGGAAGTGTCATATGTTTATTGAGGCTATGGATTTGGGACTCGGTTCCCTTGTTTTTCCCGGAGTCTATCCAACTACTTCACTCACCCAGGTTCATGAAAGGCATCGTGAAGTCAATCACCTGCTCCCTCTCGTGTGTTATTGTCAGATCACAGATTGCGAGGTCTGTCCTCTGGAACAACAAATGCTGCATGTTAGCGCCTTATCGCGGGGGGGGGGCATACAAAGAGTGCCTGTATGTTGGTCCCTGAGGGCTCACCCTAGCAATCAGATCGTCGACGAGTTCGCCATGCTTGTTGTTCGGAACTAGTCTGAACTCGAACTGGAAGTTGGGCTCTACCTTGGCAATCTCTTTCATCAGGTCCATGGAGTAGCCGACGTAGCGATCGTTGTCCTTATGTTCTCCTGGTTCCTTGTTGTGCATCAGGAAAGGCTCGCCCTGCGAGAGGTGTCACAGTGGTTTAGACTTCAGGGTGGGAAATTATTGGCTGGCGATCCTCTGAATTATCTTAATATAACTTAATATCCAGATGAACTATATTTGTTTGAAGCTGCCGCAGAAGAACAGACGTTGCTACTATGCTAATCTGGACAAATTTCCATATGAACACACGTAGTAAAGAATAACAGCGGCACGCACACAGGGAGACTACACAGGATAACACCTATACAGTGTGGAAACAAGAACTAGCCGCTGAAGCACTTTTGACATAGGGCGAGTAACCCTAACAATTTTAAATTAAAAATTTTAAAGGATTTTAAAATTAGAACTAAAGATTTTATAGTGCTACTACAGATACGTCAAAATTAACGTGTGTAAAATAATCTACAAACCAGACAGATATCAACGAAGTAGATGTTGATAATAACAAGGAAAGTGTTTTAAATGTTAAATTTTGGGCTGAGTGCAGTGTGACAGCAAACGTGAGTGTTATACACCTGATGATGGCCGTCTGAGGCCGAAACATGTAGTGTAGCGGAACAAGATCATGGACACATAATATATTGTTTGCACTTGGGACGGAATTTGTATCATTATATCATTTATCGTATGGAGTGCAACAGGATGCTTAAATATAATATTAAAAACAAGCTGCTGAAATAAGCCTTCTGGAATAATCACATGGCTCTAAACAAGTGGACGACGCCCGTTATGAGGTGGAATAGGATAATGAAAAAANTCCTGGTTCCTTGTTGTGCATCAGGAAAGGCTCGCCCTGCGAGAGGTGTCACAGTGGTTTAGACTTCAGGGTGGGAAATTATTGGCTGGCGATCCTCTGAATTATCTTAATATAACTTAATATCCAGATGAACTATATTTGTTTGAAGCTGCCGCAGAAGAACAGACGTTGCTACTATGCTAATCTGGACAAATTTCCATATGAACACACGTAGTAAAGAATAACAGCGGCACGCACACAGGGAGACTACACAGGATAACACCTATACAGTGTGGAAACAAGAACTAGCCGCTGCAGCACTTTTGACATAGGGCGAGTAACCCTAACAATTTTAAATTAAAAATTTTAAAGGATTTTAAAATTAGAACTAAAGATTTTATAGTGCTACTACAGATACGTCAAAATTAACGTGTGTAAAATAATCTACAAACCAGACAGATATCAACGAAGTAGATGTTGATAATAACAAGGAAAGTGTTTTAAATGTTAAATTTTGGGCTGAGTGCAGTGTGACAGCAAACGTGAGTGTTATACACCTGATGATGGCCGTCTGAGGCCGAAACATGTAGTGTAGCGGAACAAGATCATGGACACATAATATATTGTTTGCACTTGGGACGGAATTTGTATCATTATATCATTTATCGTATGGAGTGCAACAGGATGCTTAAATATAATATTAAAAACAAGCTGCTGAAATAAGCCTTCTGGAATAATCACATGGCTCTAAACAAGTGGACGACGCCCGTTATGAGGTGGAATAGGATAATGAAAAAAATTAATAGAAAATTTTAATGGATTTTAAATTAATTATTTTATGTTATTTTTAAGTGGACTGCAGCGTTCGGTTTTAGCGCACATCAGAGCAGTGTAACAGTTTCGATACACTGAGACACCTGAAGATGGCCATTTATGGTTAAATGGTGAATAAACAATTGTTGCATTATTGACGGACGGTGACTACATAGACGTTTTAATTGAGGGTACATACTGACGGACTGACAAATGGACATGCAAGTGATTCTGTATCACGTAACTCACAATCCTTGACGACACGAGGAACGTCTTGTTTTGCAGTCTGTCCATCGCATCTATGCTGGCGGACTGAGTGCGGGCGACACCGCGACCCAGCTCCCACGAGCCCACCTTTTGGAACTTGCCCGCGAAGTATTCCACTACGCCCAGCTCGAAATGGCTCCGTCGTCCGAACGTGTCGAAGCGAATCTTGCCGGTCATGCCGTCTACCTCATTCTGCAGGAAACAGAGAGTAAGGCGGAGATCGAAATTGGGATCACTCGCATGAGGCGTCGTCACGTACTTACGATCTTCATGTAGCTCGCGAGGCGGAAGCCGTGGGCCCACTTGTTACCGACGTCACATCCCAGGGACTGCACTTGAAAACTTCCATTGGGCTCGAAGTAGAGTCGGTGCAACGCCCGGGCGAACAGGAAAACAGCGTCATGCATGAGCGCCGTCTCCGTCTGCAATATTGCATCACATAGCTGATGTGTGCCGTCTTGCCTATGATGTGTGCCTGGTCAGCGTAAAGCCTGTCACGTACATACCCGCACTGTTTGCGCCGTCACCCCGAGCGACCTATTGTAGTACTGTTCCTTCTCCGTCCAGAACCTGACGACACGCTGCACGGTGATGTTTTCGGGGTCCACGAGCCGCAAGAGGGTGATGTTAGTGTGACTCGCCTGGAACTCGCTCAGGTCGAGCGTGTGAGTATCCTGCAACAACAGCAAAAAATCAGCAGATGTGTGTTGACGTGACTGTGACGTCAGCACTGAGATGTGGGCACTCACCAATGACGTTATGAAGTAGCTGTGATAGTCACTCATCATTCTGACCTCGCGCGCTTGCCGCAGCAATGGAAGCACGCGTTCAACGGAGCAGTCTAGCAGGATGCGGAACTCGCTCGACGCGTTGACCTCCTTCAGCAGTTGTCTGCAAGCAGAACACAGACGTGCTATGTGCATTGTGACGGGCAGTACCTAACGCGCATTCGCCTTTGGAGTTGTCTGCCAGGAACTTTCACACAGTGTCTTTTAGCACCTCTTACAGAATACACCCTCACCTCTGATCAGTGCCTGGCAGGAACTGTCGCACAGCGATCTGTGGGTCCCCCGGCCCGTGTCTCTTTAAGACCTCCTGGAGGCGGATCAGTCCCTCGTCCGTCTCGTACAGAACTGTGAAGGAAGACCAGCGCAGGAACCGCACAACGTCCGCGATGGCCTGCGAAAGAGAAATGGTCTGTGGGTGATGCGACATGCCCCGCACTTCGCGTGCAGCTGTGTGTCCCCTACCTGAGCTACGGACTCCTGTTCAGGATGCAGGTTAATGAGGCATTTTCCTCTGTCCTCTGGCACCTCGGGGTAGATCTGCAGGTTGGGAACTTCCAGGGTCTCGCATATGGACTGGACGATTCCCATAGTGGCGGGGGCACGTGGCCCGAACACTGCTGCTACACCCTCACTGACGGCACCGCACACTGTGGCATGAGAACATTGTTCAGCTTTGTTCGACTTGCTGAACCTGAGACATGTACCTGTTCAGCATCATGTACCTCGCTTGCCGGTGCTGAAGCTGTCGGCCTGTGACATGTTCAGCTCCACCTCGTACAGTTCTGTTCCTGGAAGCAACTCGGGGTCTGCGTAGATGTACTGAAGCGCGTACCGCAGTGCCAGGTGCTGCAGGGGTTGGTCCTCCGGATAGAACAGCACCGCTACAACACGATCACATTGCCTCGGTCAATATTGCTGAACCGTGTAGCAGTGGGATAAAAATTCAGTTGAGGAAAAGCAGGATTCCTGGACACCTGCGGCAGTTTTACTTTCATTTCTTTCAATAACGTGGAGTACATCTTCGGCCGAGATAGCGATTAAGCTCACAGAGTTCATTTTTCTTCTTGTTTTAGTTCCTCCAGGTAAATCCCATGGTAGTATCTCATACATGTTGTGGCATCTAGATCCGTTGCTAGGCAACGACCGAAGTAAACAACTATACAACAGCCGTGGCTAGGTAATGGCTGCGTAAGGAAGACCATTGCTAGATAATGGCGGCAACAGACACGCACGCAACAATTTAAAAACTGTTGGAGTAGGTGTTTTCTGGGCGTTCCGTGCCGAGGCTATCTAACTGTAGCATCTACGATTTCGAGAGTCCTCAGACGGCAGTGAGAATAGGTTGGTGTGAGGTGGCCGCGAGCCTGGGACTTAGAGGAGCGGACTTAGTTGATTGTTGTGTGAGTGAATTAGAGGACTACTACGGTTCAGTTGAGAGTTGTCGCTGTGAGGAGCCGTTACCAGAACACTGGTGAGGACACAGCAGACTGAGAAGACTTAAGTGCTTTCTGTAGTTATTTGTAGATTGCTAATTAGCAGTAGCACTACAGTTACTTGTAGTTACGAGTTGTGTGGATAAGTCAGTACACCCGATTATCAATCCAAATCCCGTCTGTATAGTCACTCTCACACGTGACAATATTTGCACGTGTAAGAGTGACTATACAGATTGACCACTTATACACAGAACCCGGAACTGCAAGTAATTATGGCGCCATCGCTGACCTCCACACTGTGCAAGTCACTAGAGCATGCGCTAATTCTTCTCAGTCTGTTTTCACTAGTCGTTTTCTGGTAACGGACCTTCAAAGTCAAAATGAGCTTAATGAAATGGCGAGAGAAATACGTAACAGAAGTATCCAGTGGCTACCGTGGGCTCTTTCGCCAGCGGTAAATTGGCAGGGGTGTGAAGCTTACCACTCCCATCTTGAGCGGAGGACAAGAATAGTGGAGTTATACTTCTGCTCTTCCATACGTCTTCATGGCGTAGTGCTTAAGCAATTAATCACGGGGACAACATCGCCTTTCTGCTAACCGTGAGGCAGTGGCTGTGAAGGGGAGGAAATGACGTTGGGAGGGGAAGGGAGACAAGAAAACAGGAGCAGTCGGTTAATAAATAGAGGAACAAATTGGTACAGAGATGGGTGAAAAGAAAACTTGTCCGTGTACTTAACTAATTAAGCACTATGCAATGAAGACGTATGAGGGAGTGAAGGTATAGTTCCATTCTTTCTTAACCTCGGCACGAGATGGAGATGCGTGGTCAGCTACACGACCCTGCCGCTTTGCCCCCGGTACCCATGGGTGGGCCCCGAGGCCAGTCACTATACTGACTGAGCTACGGGAGTAAGAGAGATCTGCACTGGTGCTGGAGGGACTGAACTGTCAGGCCACAGTGCAGTGGAAACGCGTGCCTTGAGATTCCCAATGGGGGGAAAAGACTTCATGTGGACTCGAACCCACGCATATAGCAGCCCCTCAAAGAGCGCTCGAGCATGCAGACGGGCTTCGGCTGGTAAACGTACAGATACGCAATAATATCAACACAGAACTGGTTCCCATGTTATTTGTTGACGTCATATCAACTACGGGATATTAAGTTTCAGAGTCGGCATTGNGAGACACTGACGGGCTCCGCGACTGAAATAGCAAACTGCGCGTCATCTGGCTGGAGTCCCAGCGTCGAACCCAGACTGAACAGCCGCACTCCCCTTACAGGGCTGAGACCTGCTCAACGAACCGCGGATGGAGTCACGCGGCGTTTGTTTGTTCCTTATTTAACGACGCTGTCTAGCTCAGAGTGAATATCGTCGAACGGTACTGAGTGACGATTTGGAAACGACGTGATCACGCTCTGATTTGAGGTAATACCATGGACATTTGCCTGGACTGAAGAAAATCACGAAAAACCGCAGTCAGGATATCGTATCTCCTTATCGAGGTATGAATCCTGGACCTTCTGAATACCCAGCGCTGACTTTTCTGACAGGGCTTTCGAATTTTGCTCACCACCTTGAGGGAACGGCCGACATAGTTCCTTAAATTAGGCCACGACCACTTCCTTCCACATCCTTTCCAAGTTACTATTCAGTGGCACCAAAAGATGTCATTCTAAGTAGTTTAAGTTGCAGGCGGCGCCTTTAAATAAACCAGAGCACTGACCCACTGGACTTTGTGCTTGTGCCAAAGCGCAGGCCCGATTCGCGCGTCTTGTCACTTCATGTAACTTCAGCAGTTGATACATTGTACAGTACTCACCTATCGGCACCCTACGCGGTAACGGGTGCACTGCTGGCAGTATGACGACAAGCAGCAGGGACAGGATCGAGCCCGCCATGGTCTGTGGACCACGGGTACCACGGACGCAAACACTCGTACAACTGGCATCAGAAACACGCACGGCCCTGGAGTTAGAGGCCCGCAGTGCTGCCAGCTGGTGTACAGACGGAAATAGTTCTTGTGTTACGTCACGTGAAGACGCCGGCAGCGCCGTCTTTTCTGTTCCGGCCCAACCAGATATGGCCGCAGAACAAACACTGCCTGGTTGACTGGTTGACTGACTGTTGGCCTCGGCACTAGATGGACGTGAGTGGTCAGCTTCATGCCTCAGCCGTTAATCCCCAGGGAAAGAGCCACTGAACAGGAGGTTGGGTGGGGCCCAGAGCCGGTCTCGATGACTTGGAGAGGCGGAAAACAATCTCTTACTCTCTGGGCGCCTGTTCCTCGCTCGCGGATTTCCTTCTCTTTTTTCTTCTACCCTGAAGATGGAGGCGATACGTTCCTCCGAAACGTCTGTTAACACAATATCTACACGGCGCCACATCCCAGAAGACGGCTTTCTTCATAGCCACCACCGTGAAAACATCAAATCTTACACAGTCTCTTACTCATATGTCTACCGGGAATAAAAACCACGTAGAGCGTTCGTGCATTCCGTAGTCAAGTCACTATACTCACTGAGCTACCCTGGCTAAACATGTCAATAAGATCAGTTGCAGGCAGTTGATGTTAATTTGGTTGCCGCGCGACCCTTACAACATCAAACACATGTACCCAAGACGAAGCCGGGATAGTGCAGTCGGGTTAGCGAATGGCTCAGGAGTCGGAATTCCAGTCCCGGTAGGGCCAAGATTTTTCTTTCCCTCCACGTCGTCCAGACCGGTTCTGGGGCCCACCCAGCCTCATATCCAATGGGTCCCGGGAGTAATGCGGCCGCGGTGTGAAGCTGACCACTCCCAGCTAGTGCCGAAGTCTATACGTGGATCTATACATCCACTCCCCCATACGTCCTCACGGCGCAGTGCTTTATTACTTAAGCGAACGGGCAACTTTACGTTCTATCCCCAAGACACAGTTCTGGAATGTTTGCTGTGCGCCTGTGTGTGACTTTACGCTGCCAGAAATTGGAGTTCTGTTGCTGTTACGTGACGTCTTTGTGTAATAAACGGTTTTCTGTGAGGTCCGCGGCCTGCCGCATCTTTGCAGGACGGATTGTAGCGTCACGGCTTATCGACCGACTGGGCGCCTGTTGCATTGTGGGAGGAACTGTCGTGTTGCCGTAGCTAGAGGGAAGTGCTCTTCAGTGGCACAGGACGGGTGCCTGAGGAATACTGCGTCCCGCTACTGACATGAATGGAATTGACTGACTCTCCGGTAATAATAGAGGCCGCCAGTCCCAACCTGCTCCCCTAACCTACCCTAGCTACACGCTGTCCTCCCGTCTTCTTCCCAACGCTTTCCAGCAATTTCCTGACTAAAATTCTGCATGTATTTGTTGTCTTACCGCCTCATTAGATGGAGCCGGGATAGCTCAGTCGGTATAGCACGGGCTAGACGGGCCGGGTTCCATTCCTGGCAGTACAAGGTTCTTTCTCTTCTCACGTCGTCCAGACCGGTTCCAGGGCTCAACCAGCCTCTTATCCAGTGGGTACCGGGGGTAAAGCTGCCGGGACGTGAAGCAGCTACTCAACTCCACCTAGTGCCGAGGTCAAGAAAGGTGGAGCTATACCTCCACGTCCTCATTTGTCTTCGTGGAATAATGCATAATTAATTAATTAATTAATTAATTAAGGAGAGGGACAACTTTGCCTTACGTGCCTTACTAGGCGCAAGTGTCGAGTCCGTGCAGTGGAGTCACATCCCCCCACCCGGCTGCTGTACTGTACAACGCAGCGGGCAGTCTAGCTGGCAGGCGCAGAGAGCCCACCCCGAGCTCAGCGTTCCCAGTTGCTCCTGCGAGGCAGTCGCGATCGGCCGTCAGTTGCTGCTGTAGTGCGTCTTAGATGTAGGCTGGACGTGTAGCACGCATGTACGTTTTAGGGTGGATAAACCTGTAGGCAAAAGGTCATTTGTGATAACAAGATGAGGATGGTAGGATAATATTACAATTGATGTCAGTTAAATATGTTGTGAATTGGTTCAGGGTAAAGGCCAGTTGTGAGGTTTTGTGATGTCTATCATGAACATCGCTGTTTGGTCATGAACGGGTAGGAATACCTAGCAGAGAAGGTCATGTAAGGTTGGATGTGCTCACAGCGGTGGCTATGAAGATTTCCGTCTTCTGGGATATAACGCCGTGTAGTCCGGTGAGAAGTCAATTGATGTTTCGGAGGAACGTATCACCTCCATCTTCAGGGTCGAAGATAAGGCGAGCAAGAAACCGGCATGAAGCGGCGGTTGAATTTCAACGGACTGCACGGCGTTATGTCCCGGGAGATGGAACTCTTCGGAGGAAGTTATGGTTGTTGACTATACAGGGTGGCCCAGGAGGAAAGGTCAGTATTCGGAGAGGTCATAATATCGGTCATTCTAAGCAAGAATGTGTATGTGTACATGTGTCCTCTTCCGAACGGTTTCCGAGATACGGCTGTTTCACTGTACAGTTCCAAAACTGTTGATAAGAAAGAGATATTACGTGCTGTTTCTAATACCGGTATTTATTGTTCAAGTGACAAAGTTGGTACAGTTTACCTAGCATAATGCATTTTGAAAAATTCCTCCCGTCAACATGAATGCACTGTGCAACTCGTGTGAGGACATGGCGTGTTGCTCGTCTGTACAGTGAAACAGCTCCATCTCGGAAACCGTTCGGAATAGGACACATGTACACATACACCTTTTTGCTAGCTCCCAGAATACTGACCTTCCCTCCTGGGACACCCTGTATAGTGTCGAATCTTAGGATGCTTAGCGAACGTTGAATTGGAAAGGATGGAAAGTGAAACGGTTGTAGCCTGGTCAAAGTTCTGTGCCGGCATATGAATGGAGGGACTGAGGAAAACCACCAAAAGGCTTAGTCAGGGGATCTAATGTCCCGTTGAGATTCGAACCGAGCACCTCCCCAATACGATCCCAGAGCGCTACCGTTATGCTAACCTGCACGATGAGGTTTCTCTGTAACCTAGCAAAGCAGCTAATTCGTTTGAGGAGCCCGTGACACTGAAATTAAATACCGTGGTCTTCTGGGCTCGAACACCGTGCAGTCTGATACATATCGAGACCGTTCGAAGGAACATACTGCTACCATCTTCGCTTTTATCCTGTGGATAGAGGCAGTAGGTTTTCTTATGTATTTTCTTTTATTGCTAGTGGGTGGGACTAAGTCCCTTGTACTTTGGCCACTTCTGGCCTATTGTACCAGCCCCAGATGATAGGTGAGGGTGATTGTGGAGCAAATGGTGGAATGAAGATTGGCAGGGGAAACCTGCCCCAGCGTCACTTTGTCCACCACAAATCCCACTTGACCAGACCCGGGATCGAACCTTTTCTTATGTAACAACCCGCCGAGCTACGCGGTGCCTCGCGAAACCATTCTGCAAGAATTGTCCCTGTGCTTAATTAAGCAACACGCCATGAAGACATATGGGGGAGTGGATGTATAGCTCCACAGATTCCTAACCTTTGCAGGAAGTGAGTGATCGGTTTAACCATGGGGAAGGAAACCCAGATACTCAGTGACTGGAGGCTGGGAGAGCGCCAGAGCCGGCCTGGACGCTGTGCCCCTGCCGGGAATCGAAGTCAGGCCGTGAAGCCCGTAGCCTAGTCACTGTACTGACTGAGCTATCGGGGCCAAGCTTCGCTGGGAGATGGTTTGCTCCATTACTGGCAGTATACTCTACTTTTGATTTCCCGTGCTGTGTTATGTATTCTGAAAGGTTTTGAGGTTCTCACAGCGGTGGTTATGAAGAGTTCTATCTTCTGCAGTATAACACCGCGTAGTCCGTTGCAAGTTAACAGACGTTTCGGAGGAACATGTCGCCTCCATTTTCAGGTTCGGAGAATAAGCTGAGCGAGAGAGGAACGTGAAGACAGGTGACAAGCATGACACGTCGGTTGACTTTCAACTGACTACACCGCGTTATGTCCCTGAAGACAGAACTCTTCAGAGAAAGTTATGGTTTTTTGTTATTGGTTAGGTTCGTGCATTGTCTAACGACACTGTAACGATATAACGTCGACCCGTAGGATGCTTAGTGAATGCTTAATTGGAAAGGATGTAAAGTGAAGCCTTCACCTGAAGAGACTGAGTATAATCATGAAAAGTCTCAATTAGGGTGAGTAGTCTGTGTTTCTGCTGAGATCGGAATTACAAGCCGAGAAATAAGCCGCGTGGCTTGCCGCTTGCTTTCACGGTAATACCTTCTCGGCTTATTCGACCCTGAAGATGGAGGCTAAATGTTCCTCCGAAACGTCTGTTGACTTTCACGGACTACGCGGCGTTATATCTCAGGAAGACAGATCTCTTTGTTTTTGTCGAAATTTGGTGCTGGAGGTCTCCTAATAAAGATTCGAAAATGTCGGTTCTGTACAGATTCCTTCATCAGAAAACCTCGCCTATTTAAGTGCAATCAATTAACTTTTACCTTATTTTATTGTGTTTAACATGTTCTATGTTTATGTTCACATCGTCAGACGCTATTTCTCTAACATTTTATTTAACGTTATCCTCCATCTTCGTCTTTGTCTTCCGAGTTGTCGCTTTCCGCCGCAATGGCGTGTTGCAGCTGGACATGCAGTGCTATGGCGCCCTGCACTGAGATGGCCGGCCGCGCGCTGCTGGTGGCCGTGCTCTGCTGCGGCAACTTGGTCGCCGCCTTGCCCGACGTCATCAGAATAGGTCAGTACTTGTGGTGGTTCACTTGGCCCGGTCCAGATTCGAACCGGGTGCTTCACAATTACAAACTTTGAAAGTTCTGTTTGAGACGGGCTGTGTGTACATCGTTAGCCCATATGATCTGTCCCAGGCGGGCTATTCCACCCGGCAGACGACCGACAGGAGGTAGCCTTTCGGTACGCTGTGGAGCGCATCAACGATGACCGCACGATCCTGCCTCGGTCCCGACTGTCTGCGCAGATAGAGAAGATTTCTCCACAGGACAGCTTCCACGCGTCCAAGAGGGGTGAGCGGGGCATGTGGCACATAAATGCATGCCGACCCCTAGCATGTGCCTAGGGCAATCCTTTGCTCCTCCTAACACTGTCTTCTGGGATATAACGCCGTGTTTCGGAGGAATGTATCGCCTCCATCTTCAGGGTCGAATATGCCGAGAAGATACAGCGTGAAAGCATGTGGCAACTGCGTTACATCCCAGGAGACAGAACTCTTCCTAACCACCGCTGTGAGAACCTCAAATCCTATGTGTTATTTAAAATTTCATACTATAGTCTGAAATTATTATCTGTAAAATATGTATAAAATTCAGCCCCTACGTCACAGTAAACACACTGTGTCCATGACAGAGACCAGTCGGTTAGTGCTGTCTACAGAAATAATCACTGTTCATCGTCGGAATCATATGAAATATACGGAAATGCACTGAAAGTTCCAAGGTTATTTTAGTGTTAAAGTGGGTGGTATATATAGTAACCATTGTGCTTTAAAGCATGAAATACCCAGAAAAAGAAATTGACCTGAAGGTCCCATACGCTATAGTTTTAAATGGAGTACCCTAGAGGAAGACGTGTAATGGGTCGAAGGAAACGTGGAGGGAGTCAACCCATCGCCTATATGAATAGATTGTGTTCTATGGGCGCTGTTTGCTTCTCGTTTGTTTCTATTTGTCAGCCATGTCTCATCAGTTTCTTATTCCTCCCTCTCTTTCAGCTTTTATGATATATGTCTTCCTTCTTCCCCTCACTTCTTCTCTTCTTTACTTCTTTCTTTGTGTTTGTGCAGTTATTTTAACCCCTAATTTATAATTTTACGAGCGCGGTGGAACAATACTTGCTGTTCAGCAGTACCGAGTAACTTTAGTAACAAACTCGAGGAAGTTCATTTATCGGGATGTTGATGTTTCCTATCATGTAACAAAACACAGCGTTGGTCCCTGTAATTACTATCGCTAATGGCAGCACATCCATCACAAAATGGCCTCTTGTTGTCAAAGGAGCTCTGGTTTTCATTGTCTGCCACAGTTTGTAAACTTTGAAACAAGAATGAACCCAAATTGCATGCAACTTCTTGTGTAGTTTGTCACCTGCTGCGCAGTGGGGTGGCAGCCATCTTTGGACCTCAGTCTGGCCAGACAGCAAGCCATGTGCAGAGCATCTGTGACACAATGGAGATCCCTCACCTGGAGACAAGGTGGGACTACAGGCTGAGGAGAGAGAGCTGCTTGGTGAACCTGTATCCACACCCCACAGCCCTGTCCAAGGTGAGTAGCAACGTGGAAGCAGGGTGGACACGAGTCTGAGCAACTGAGAGTTCTCCATCTGGCATCAGTATAGCAGGGGGTGGTATGGACTGGATTGATCTGGCTCAGGATAGGGACCAGTGGACGGCTCTTGTGAACATGGTAATGAACCTTCGGGTTCCATAAAATGTTGGGAAATTCCTGAGTAGCTGATCGACTGTCGGCTTCTCAAGAAGGGTTCAGCTCCATGGAACTAGTTAGTTAGTTAGTTATGGCGGGTTTTGTGACATTGTCCGGAGAGTTCGTGTTATTAATCATAAAGATGTTTTATAAATTTGATGTTAATAGCTGGGTGGCGGCAGAAAGTGGGAGAGGCGGAATTTACGGTCTTTTGTGGTTGTAGTTAGGCGTATGCCGGCGGCCGGTATAAGGATTTCGGGGTATAGCCTGTATCTGTCCCGAGGAGCACTGTTTTCTTCTTGGTCTAGCTAGTGGCTTTCTTGTCCTACTCTTGGTTCCAGAAGACTGTTCTAAATCTTGAGACCTGTGAGGAATGCAGGAAGTCGGAACCATGAAACAGCAACTACTACCTGAGCCAAAACATTCAGTACATACTCTATAGCGGATGTCACTGCATCAGGCGTAAAGTAACTGTGTGTCTGCTGCAGGCATATGTGGATCTGGTCCGCGCCTGGGGCTGGCGCTCCTTCACCATCATATACGAGAGCAACGAGGGGCTGGTGCGTCTGCAGGAGCTCTTGAAGGCTCACGGACCCTCCGAGTTCCCCATAACTGTGCGGCAGCTGGGCGAGGGCGCGGACTACAGGTACGTGATTCAGTGACCCACTGACTCCAGTCATGTGACTCATGTGTCACAGTCCTGTGCACGGACATGGCAGCTCCAGAACCCATTGAATGCTGCGGGTTCTCATGGCAGTGGATATGCAGATTTCTGTCTTCTGGGATGTGGGGTCGTGAAGCCTGGTGGATCGTTACCAACATGTGGGAGGAATATCGGTATCTCCCCCCACTCAATTCTTCGGGTGGGGCTGAGACTGAGTCCACTTGGTATGTTGGCCACTAACTGGCCTGTTGTACCAGCCCCAGATGGTAGATGATGAGTATGGTGCAGTTGCTGGAATGAGAATTGGCAGGGGAAACCAAAGTACTCGGAGGAAACCTGCACCAGTGCCATTTTGTCCACCACAAATCCCACATGACTTGACCTAGATTCGAACCCGGGCCTCCACAGTGGGAAGCCGGCGACTAACCGCCTCAGCTACGGCATGGCCCATAGGAATATTAGTACATATCTACCAGATCACACCGTGTCATATCCCAGAAGTTGGTAGTCACTCCTGTGTATGTGAGGCGTTGTGTTGCAGTGTTGAGGCTGGCGCCTGAGGAATGAATGGCTCAGGACATCACATCCTGTAGCTGGAAGTTCATTTCCAACCGCATCACTTAAAGCCCTGTTACTCGCAGCACGGATGCTGGGTCCAGCAGATCAATAGCAGTCACTTCGCATTGCTCACACTCTCTGCACTGCCACTACTACCCATTGTACTATAAGTTCTAAAAACATTAAGATGTTTCAACCAAGATTTTTAGTTCTTTGCAAAAATATAGGAATAGTGCATAGCATTCATTGTTTTCTATTACACATTGCAGGAGCGCTGTGGCGTCTCGCAATATGATGTCACACGCGCGTAAACTGACGTCGTATGCAAATAGTTGTACTATCCATATTATCTTAAGCGAAAATATGCCTACTTATTTCGTGACTCTCGTTCCTCATAATGCACGGTTAATTTTTTCAATTCTGTACCTACTATCTGCTCTAAAAACATGGTGACATAGTGCAGACTGCCACAACATTACTCTGTCCACAGCACTCACACTGTGCCTTCATTTATGTGACAATGCAGTCAGTAGCTCAGATTATACAGGGTTGAATTATTGGATCATCAATGAATAATGAATTGGAAGGGATGTGGAAGGAAGTAGCATAGCCTGATTTTATGTACTGTCCCAGTGTTGGCCTGGAGGGACAGACATGGCAGGTGTCCCAGCCAAGATTAGAATGGGTAAGGTAAATTTGCCCCTGTGCTGAACTAATTAAGCAGTACTCCATCATGGCAAGAGGGGGGGGGGGAATAGATCGACGTTTTCTTGACCGCGGCACTGGTTGTAGATAAGTGGTCAGCTTCACGCTTCGGCTACTTTACCCCCTGGAATAGAGCCAACGGTGTTCATTGGAAATAAGGCTGAGTGGGTCCCAGAACCAGTCTGGATGTTGTGGAGAAGAAAAAATTCTTGACCCTACCGGGACTCGAACTCTGACCCCTCTGTCGTCCAGCCCATAGCCAGTCCCTATACCGACTGAGCTATCCTGGCTCAGTTAGGACTGGGCACTGTTCAGATACAGGAGTGCTAAAAATTTGATGGTCAATTCATGGTACTATTTATTATTATTATTATTATTATTTAACTGCAAATGGGTTTGTTTACACCCATGGCAATGGTACTACAATAAAACAACAGACAACTAACACACATTAACACATTCAAACAAAATGCAGCACACAAACATTAGTAGAAAAATGAAACATACTATATAATAAACTAACAGTAAAGAATGTGTAATGTCGTGTTCTCATGTTCATGTTTATCTGGGTTAATTTATGTCATAACTCATTATGTGCACATTTGACAGTGTAATACTACCATCTCTGAAAACATTAGGAGGTAATATAACATTAGCGGTGTACAGTGACTAACAATTGTATGAGTCCTTTGAAGCCTGAAGTTAATGTAAAAAATATTTGCAAATTAAACTCCTGCAATGCAGAAAATTACATATCCTTTACAAGGCCTAGCCAGTTAATGGACAGTGTATGGCATTTTTATTTGAGTGAGTTACATGGAGGTTTCCTGTAGGCCACTGCTGAAGCAGATCAAGAACTCTGCCGAGTCTCACATTGTGCTGGACTGCAATACGGAGCGGATATACGACGTGCTGAAGCAGGCCCAACAGATTGGCATGATGAGCGACTACCACAGCTACCTTATCACATCACTAGACCTGCACAGTGTGGATCTCGAGGAGTTTAAATACGGTGGCACTAACATCACAGCTCTGCGTCTTGTGGACCCAGAGAAACCTGAGCTCCAGAAAGTGGTGCGAAACTGGGTGTATGGGGAGCTGCGATATGGCCGCAAGTTGGACCTTCCACCGCCAAGGGTAAAGGATCTGGCCAGTGTTATACAGCCTAAACAACTTACTTGTATACACACCACTAAATGGCACTAATGGTTCTGTGTGTTTCAGGACAACCTGACTTTCATCAAGGTGAGTGCCTCAGTTCAACAAAGAAATTCATCATATAGGATTATATACAGAACCTCTGATCTGGTAAAAACAGGTAAAGCTATCCCTGTAACAGGCCATGGAGGCCCATAGGGGTGTGAGACATTGTGGCCATCACATTTTCCAGACATTTGCTTCACAGATGGCGGTGGGGTTGTCAGCCTTACATGCCAGCCAAAACTTACCCCCAGGAATGTTCCTGGTACTCATTTCTTTTAGAGGTTGAGTCGACCCCAGGGCCATAGTGCAGCTGGAAGGATTAGATCAGTTGAAAAATCCAATGATATTGGAAATTGAACCCGTGACTTTCTGGCTTGTAGCATAGTGCCTCAACTAACTACACTACCACATTCCCCTTCCCTGATGAGGAAGAGCTTGGGATGGTTTGAGAATATGATCAAATTGGATCAAACAAAGGTGGCTGAAACAGTTTTTAAAAGTAAGCCAGAAGGTAGAAAAATAGTGGAAAGGAAAGCCCAAATTAAGATGGCTGGAAGATGTAGAAAATGATTTATGAGAGCCGAAAGTGAATAGCTGGAGACAAAAGACAAATAATAAAGTAGAATGTTCATCTGTTATTAGAAGGCCAATGTTCTTAGAGGACCATAGAGACAAGGAGTGATCGAGTGAGTAAGTAAATAAGAATTGTATGCATCTTTAGATCAGCAGAACGCAGGCCAAAATCTCTGTTTGTATTAGTAAACGAATGATGGCTCAATTCGTCAGTGAGACAACATTCTTACTCATCAGACATTTCTCCGCAACACATACCATGCGTACTCCTGCCATGTCCCCACACCAGTCCACTTGCCTTCATGTAATATACAGGGCATATAAAATGCTGTTCCTTATATTATAAAATGTGCATATACGATACCATTCACCAAGCAGCTGGGACAAGCGATAATGTTCTAGACTTGTATTTGAGAGGTGCTCTGTTTGAATCTCAGCTGGATCATTAGCTATTCTGACCCTGGTTCTTTTCTTGTTTTCCCTAGTAACTCCAGGCAAATACCAGGATAATACTTCAATTAGGCCATGACCACTTCCTTCCAAATTCTTTCCAATTCATCACTCACCATACCATTTGACACTGCATTGTCTTGATACTGAAAGTGTCATTAAATAGCTCACATATATTTACTGTTCAGCATCTGTGGAGAAGTTAAGAAAAGATAACAGGAGAAAGTGATAAACTGCATATCGAAAATCTCCCCTCTCATCAGCTTTGATTGTCACTTCTCATGGAGAAGCAGATAAAAGGATTTTTTTTTAGCCCTGATAAACGCTTTTGTCATTTAGCATTATTTCTGTTTTATGCAGGCTGCTGGTCAAAAATTCTCCAGTCTCATCCATCTTCCCACAATTCCCCCCCCCCCTAGTTTTGGGCCCAGCTCTTTCCTCTCATCTTAATGTCTTCCAGTGCCTGGTAATGACTGTAACAAATTTCCATACCTAGAAGCACATTTTTTATCATACATACACTGCTGATATCCCATGCAGCAGAGTGTATGCTCATTACACCAGTTGTCACTGAGGTATGGATGTTAATGTGAGAGGCCGCCCCCTGTAAAGTAGACTGTTTTGCAGACAGAGACAGCACTGATGTATGACGCAGTGCATCTCTTCGCCAAAGCACTGCACGACCTCGACAGCTCACAGAGGATCGACATAAAGCCCCTCAGTTGTGATGCTGTGGATACATGGCCACATGGATATTCACTCATCAACTACATGAAGATCGTGAGTATACTCACACCTATTGACTAGCAATGGTTGTTTTCTTACAGGTATAACATCACTTGTAGTTCTAGAGAAATTCATGTTTCTGAACACTTAATGCAGCGTGTAAGCTATCTGGGTGCTAATACCATTATAACTTCTACAGGTTGAGATGCAGGGCCTCACAGGGGTCATCAAGTTTGACAACCAAGGGTTCCGCAGCAACTTTGTGCTGGACATTGTGGAACTGAGCAAGGATGGCCTTAAGAAAATCGGCACCTGGAACTCCACAGAGGGTGTGAACTTCACACGCACATATGGCGAGGCCTACACACAGATTGTGGAGAGCCTCCAGAACAAGACTTTTGTAGTAACCACAATACTGAGCTCACCCTACTGCATGCGTAAAGACTCGAGTGAGAAACTATCGGGCAACGCTCAGTTCGAGGGTTATGGCCTCGACCTGGTGCATGAAATAAGCAAGATCCTGGGCTTCAACTACACGTTCAAACTAGTACCAGACGGACGATACGGCTCACTGAACAGGGAGACCAAGGAGTGGGATGGCATGATGAAGGAACTGCTGGATCAGGTAATGGAAGAGGCTGCTAAGGTGATGCAGTGTGTTTTGGGAGACTTTCAGAATGACATGATATGAAAACTACAAGCTAAGGTCATGGGGAATATATACTGTCAAATAATAAATGGATTGCTAGATCAGGTGATGACAAATCTTGCACATAAATTTACAGAGGAATTGTTCCTAAGAGAATGTATGGTGGATGTTGTAATAACCTCTCACTGTCAAATATCTGCTTACACTTAACATTACCGGTACTCTGGTCATTATCCCTCTAACATGGTTTGTTCTAACGTGTTTCACAAACCAGATTCTTTTCCATCTTGAAATAAAAATGGGGAAGGGATCCTATTCCGATTGTCCAATGATCAAGAAAGCTCTTTCTTAGGGGCACACCAAAGTATGAACCTCTCCTTCCATACACTTGATGACTGAAACAGATCCATTTTTGCAAACATTGTCTTTGAGGAAACTTGGCATGATGGACAGCATCCAACATACTGTAACCCACCATCACCAGAAGCACTTAGACTTTGCTTGTACATTTCATTGTATAATCCGGTAACAACTGTAGCGCTCTCTGTTGCAGAAAGCAGACATTGCCATTGCAGACCTGACCATCACATATGACCGTGAGCAAGCTGTGGATTTCACAATGCCCTTCATGAATCTGGGTGAGTATGTGTTGCGGTAACTGTGGTTACACATACTGTGCCAGTCAGTGGCGATGCCTGACAGTGGTGCTCTGTGTGCAGGGATAAGCATCTTGTATCGCAAGCCCATAAAGCAGCCTCCAAACCTGTTCTCATTCCTGTCACCATTGTCGCTGGATGTCTGGATCTACATGGCCACAGCCTACCTGGGCGTGTCTGTCCTGCTCTTCATACTGGCCAGGTAAACACAGAGGTCACTAACCATTGTTAGGAGAAATGTAATCTCCACTTAACATTCTAAGGGGAAATTCAAAATCTCTGTTTTCTATTATGGGCAAAATTAAGTCTCCACTTCGTATTTTATGGGGAAACTCAAAAACTCCAGTTTTCCACTATGGGGAAATGGGATCTCCACTTAACATTGTAAGCAAAAACTCAAAATCTTCATTTTATATTATGAAAAAAATTAAATCCCCACTTCACATTGTAAGGAGAAAGGAATTTATGCTTACCACTGGGGCGAAATTAATCTCCTTACAGCATTTTGAGGGAAAACTCAAAATCTCCACCTGCTGTTATAAGAGAATGGTGATAATTGTTAACTCATATTTCTCAAATATTTCCTGGAACTGTTATATTTATCAGCTGTTCAAAAAATTTCTTGTGCCCATCTTCACGATCACTAAAGCTTGTTTAATAAATCCTGTCCTTAAGACAGCAGTGCAGTTCTTCCTAAATTTTAGTTGCATGCTTATAATGCCCTGGGTATCTGGGTTGCAGGTTCACGCCGTACGAATGGCAGAACCCACACCCGTGCAACCCGAACCCAGGCCACCTGGAGAACCAGTTCACCCTCCTGAACTGCATGTGGTTTGCCATCGGCTCCCTTATGCAGCAGGGCTGTGACTTCCTGCCAAAGTAAGTGTGCATATCTATCTGCAGGTTCAGCCCCTACGAATGGGACAACCCGCACCCCTGCAATGATGAGCCAGATGTTCTGGAGAACCAGTTCAGCCTTCTGAACTCACTGTGGTTTACTATCGGATCTCTCATGCAGCAGGGCAGTGACATTGCCCCCAAGTGAGCAAGGAGAACAAAGTCCATGTGACTGGCACACTATTCTTTCAGTTGTGTTTCATGTTGTAGAATGTTCCTACAAATGAACGGTCAGTGTTTTTGCATCTAGGTGAGGTGATGATGACAACAGAACATGAAGATGATCTTGTGGAATGTGATGCAGTGTAGCTGGGTTGATAAATTGCCAGTGTTTCAACAAACCTGCTAGCTCTGTCTTCAAGTGGCAGATTGAGGCAGCAGTTTCCCCCAAAATATTGTTACCTCTTTACCAAACTACATGGTGTCACATCCCATGAGACCATAATCTTAACAGATTCATTGCCATTCCCATCACCTGACAGGCTTAGGTTTACCATGGGTCACTACCAATCGCATCAAGTTACAGGCTGTTGCCATTTGGTCTATAAATGTCACTTTCTTCTGCAGACATCACTTGACTGAAAGGGAAGTTTCACCAGAGCTTGAAAATAGCAAAATGTACATTGGGAAAAAAGGGGAGCCAGGATAGCACAGTCGGTATAGCGACTGGCTATGGGCTGGATGACTCAGGGGTCTGACTTCAAGTTTTGGTAAGGTCAAGAATTTTCTCTTCTCCATGTTGTCCAGACCGGCTCTGTGGCCCACTCAGCCTCCTATCCAGTGGGTACCAGGGGCTCTTTCCTCAGGGGGTAGATGGCTGAGGCGTGAAACTGACCAGTCACCTCCAACTGATGCTGAGGTCAAGAAATGTGGCTCTATACATCAACTCCCCCCATACACCTTCATGGTGTAGTGCTTAATTAGTTAAGCACAGCGACAACTTTACCTTTACACTGGAAAAATTTTTCATCTCATTTTTTCACTAACTGCATGGTCACTTCCTACTGGATAGTAGCCTACTTCCCTGTTTCATCGTATCAATGCTTTACCCTCTCATTACCCTCTATGATCTCTATATAAAAGCTTCTAGTTCTCCAAAGATATTAATCCCAAAGAGAGAAAGTGGGATGTTTGCTGAAATAGAGAACCATAAATATGTGGTGTATCTTATTCCAAAACTTCAGCTTTGAAAATGCAAGGACAAGATGATTAATTGTTTTTCACTTCTTCCGTTTGAATGTAGTTATCAAAGATCGAAATTCTTGTGGAAGATTTTCTAGCCCAGCAGGTTAAATCCCAGTATGGGGGCATGGCAGTGAATATGTTAAAGTTCACCGGGCCATGGGAACATCACACTCATACAGTAACAAAATGCCTCCTATGCAAAGGCACAGTACAGCTTTTTATATTAAGGATTACTGTGCTGACATCAGAACTGTCAGTTGGTGCGGGATGCTGCACAGAAAGCGCAGTTGCGCTTGATCGCTGCATGAAATCGTTTGCACACCCTGACAAATGGTACAGGTTTCTGTGCACTGTAGTACATCTCACTTTCAGTGTGAGAACATTTGGATACAAGTAGATTCTAAAGGGTTCTGGCAAAGGTATATAACACTTTGGATTACTGGGTTTTTGGACTTTGTCCTTCGTCCAATGATTGAGGTTAGCTGTTTCTTACCAACCCAATAGAGTAGATGTCTTCCCCCCTCCCACACTTGAAGATGGAAAGAGATCCAGTTTCCGAAATGTTGTGTTCCTTAAAATTCCGGGTGGTGAACATAGTCCAGAAACCCAGCAGTCCCAAACGTTTCAGATATGTGGCTAAGAGGAGCATAGCCCCCGCCTTCTGAATTGTTTTCATGTCAAAAAAAGCATAAAACATATTGAAGCTGTTCAAATGAATTTTGGCATACTTTGCATTTTCCATCTTCAGGGCCCCTTAAACTGATGTTACATATCAGACAAGGGTTGCAAAAGCCTAAGGATGAGAATGTTGTTATTTATGGTTTATTTATTTAATGATGCTGTCAGTAGCAGTAACATCAGATGGTAAGGATGTGTTATCCCAACATTTACCTGGTGGGATTGAGGAAAACCATGGAAAATCTCTGTCAGGACAGTTGATGTCTGAACCAGGCACCTTCCAAAAGCAAGTCAGAAGCGGTACTGCTTGAGCCAACTCGCAGTGGCACAAGAATGCTATTAATGTTAATTGAATTATATGTTTTACAAAGAAAATAAAAGGAAGCATGAAATCAAAATTGTAACAGTACACGCCACGCTTGCAAATGCAGCTGCCACGTGAGTTACAGGATTCCTATATGTGTAGCAGGCAATGTAGATCAGCCAGTAATACAGTTACTATTTACAGGCTGGAGAGCTGCCTCACTTTGCCTCCTCTCCACTGGGTACCAGAGCTTGATGCTTGACATCCAGTGGGGTGCTCTAGATCTGTATCCCCATTTGCAAAATGCACAGTATGCAGAGTAATGTGATTTGTCTGTTGGGGTAAAACACTTCCTAAGTTAGGTCCACCTGAGAACATTCCCACGGGGTGACGGTTGCAGGGCGGTGTCCACTCGCATGGTGGCCGGCATGTGGTGGTTCTTCACCCTCATCATGATCTCCTCCTACACCGCCAACCTGGCAGCCTTCCTCACCGTTGAGAGAATGGACTCACCAATAGAAAGTGCTGAGGACCTGGCCAAGCAGACTAAGATCAAGTATGGGGCACTCAAGGGTGGCTCCACAGCAGCCTTCTTCAGGGTGAGTGCAAGCTGCTGCTGAGCAGCATATCAGGAATTGATCTCACACAGTATTACAACTTAGGTCATGTTTCTGTCCAGATTGAAGGAAAGAGCAATTTTAAGTGCAGTAAACCCTCACTAAAATGTTTACAGTTAATCCAGATAGAAATGTGAAAAATGAAAAATGCTGTTCACAGCTGAGTACAACTGGCATGGCATTTAGGAAGGCAGGTGAGTCACCTGTCTGTTCAGACAAAACTTGACAGTTTCTTCAAACCTGCATCATTACATTCAAAAACAAGTGCAACTTCTGGGTCTTCTATCAATAAATAAATGTATTGTCTATTTTGAATTGTTTCATTTTGGTCCGTTACACTATCAATCACCAATTATCAATAGAACCTCCGTCGAGTGTAACAATATATATTCTTGTCACCATTTTCTTACATTTGCCTTACATGTTTCGGCTCATAAAGAGCCATCATCAGAGGCAACCACAACAAAAACATGGAAACACTTGCACTGCTCAACAATCACAATATACAGTTTTTTGTGGAAGATGTTACACGTATCGGAGCGTAAAACACAACAACATCCAGTACCCCGAGTGCGGGTATCCCATTTGCATTTAAAATATCACCCACAAAGCGGGTCGTTAATGTTAAAATTAAAGTTAAAACCGTCCAAGTAAAATATTCAGGTTCCTCTTAGTGGATAGTCCCAATGGGGGAGGCGTCAGCACGAGGTTGTGTGGGCTTGTGGTCGGTTGTGTCCGACGCGTNCTGTATATTGTGATTGTTGAGCAGTGCAAGTGTTTCCATGTTTTTGTTGTGGTTGCCTCTGATGATGGCTCTTTATGAGCCGAAACATGTAAGGCAAATGTAAGAAAATGGTGACAAGAATATATATTGTTACACTCGACGGAGGTTCTATTGATAATTGGTAAATGTATTGTCTCTTCATAAATAAAGGTTCTGCAGCGATATTTTTTCTTTATTGTCATCAGCGACACTTATATTATTCAATTTTCCATTTATTTATGTTATACTTTTTTAGGGCTACCTTTTGCTTCACTAATCCAGATGACCTTCCCACCCGCCAGTTACTCCAGATTAGCAAGGATTCACTGTAGCTTATGAAATATGTTTTCAGCTAGTTTTCTGCTTAAAAATGAATCAGCTGGAAATGTTGTTATGTGTCTTGCAGGACTCTAATTTCTCAACATACCAGCGCATGTGGAGCTTCATGGAGTCTGCTCGACCCAGCGTGTTCACAAGCTCTAACATGGAGGGCGTGGAACGCGTCGTGAAGGGCAAGGGCAACTATGCCTTCCTCATGGAATCGACCTCCATTGAGTATGTGATTGAGCGGAACTGTGAGCTGACACAGGTCGGAGGGCTGCTGGACTCAAAGGGATATGGCATAGCAATGCCTCCCAGTGAGTACAGATGCACCAACATAAGCAATATAGGCATCCACACCATTTGCAATATTTTTACTAAATGAAAATTAATTTCTGCTTCTCTTTTGTACATATCATAACCATTAATTGACAGTCATCTAAACATGTCATTTGAATTACAAATGCTGACTTTCTGTCTGATCCTATAACCTCAAGCTAGCAGCAGCACCATGATTGCTGTGAGTTTGTAACACTGTATTTCTAATGGTGTTTCTATAACTCTTGTTTCAAATATTTTTAAACCAATGGTGGTTTCTGTTACAGTATGGGATTTCAAGTTATTAAGTAGGATGCAATTTTGAGAAAGGTGCGTTGTTTGAAAATTGGAAGGAGAGAAAGTTCTTGTTACTTATGGCAACTGTTCAGCTTCATGTGGGGCTGGGAACTCTTTTTGATGAATGGGTGATTTGCGCCATTGAGAAATGTCTTGTTTGCATGATATTTCAGAGAAAATGAAGCGCCATCTCACGCCTTCTAAACTTTCCTGTTGTTACATCACCTCTTACACAGTCTGCATGTTACAGACCTGTCCTGCAGTCGCCTCTTGTTTCAGATTCGCCATATCGTACCGCCATCAGTGGGGCAGTACTCAAGCTTCAAGAGGAAGGCAAGCTGCACATCCTCAAGACGCGATGGTGGAAGGAAAAGCGTGGTGGTGGTGCCTGCAGAGTGAGTACTGTCACACAACCACAACCACCAAGTGTCATGTTGTGCTACCCTGCAGTACTACCAACATGCTGTTTGTTTATGTTCCAGGATGACACATCCAAGAGCTCAAGCGCTGCAAATGAGCTGGGCTTGGCCAATGTCGGTGGTGTGTTCGTGGTCCTGATGGGGGGCATGGGTGTGGCATGTGTCATCGCAGTCTGCGAGTTTGTGTGGAAGTCTCGCAAGGTGGCCATGGAAGAGAGGGTGAGGAACATACTGCAAGACACCTAGCGGTAATTTCACGCTCTCTCACTACGCGGCGCTGACTCTCCTGTGTGGGGGACAGTGGGCTGAGGGGCGAAGTCACTTGCAACCGGGCCAGCTGAAGGAGTGTTCAAACCATTCACGCACACTTTTCATCGTATCTGTTGGTGGTAACTAGACACCACTCAAAATTTAATGAACAGTTTCAATATAGAAGCATGTCTCAAGGCATCTTCTGTAAATTTATCATCTTTTACCCAGTATAAGCGTTAAATAGACTAAAAATATCGCTGTTCATAAATATGAACTCTGAATCGCAGTTCAGCAAACCCCAGCAGACCCATTATTAATGAGCCCCTCAGTGCGTCAACCCTTCGATAAACTCCAGCTTGTAGAATTTGCTGTATGACATCCTGTCAGGCTGTGTGTGGTGCACTGTTGTGCCACATGCATATGGCCCAGATTGCCACGCATCACATCTCTTTTCAGTACAAATACTATTAACGTGATAGCGCCCGTAGTGATGGATTTAAATCCCAGTTATTGAATGATAAAGGTTGAACTGACCATAATGATAACGTAACTTGGAAAAGATCCGCCCAACCAGTTTAAATCCAGTTTAGGAGATGCCTCTTGCAGCCTCTTCTGCTACCAAAGTTTCTCTTAGTATGTGTCATAAATGCTTTCTTCCCAGTTTCATTTCCTCTCATTATGATTTTCTGTTAATTATTCAAGTTTGATTATTACTGATCCAGAAGTTCACATGAATCATATGGTTGATATGAGCGCATCCAAAATATTCTTCAATACTTTTTTGTAAATTTCAGCCCTCTAAATACTTCATAAAGTTTTCAAGATTGAATTCTGTTTAGAGTCCAACTTTTTCCAGTTTGTATCCCTTTCAAATATGCATTTCCGCTGATGTCACTGATGTGGTGTTCACTCTTGCCATTGAATGTGAACAAATCTGGTGAGGGCATACCACATATAGCCCTGTGTAGGGGCATAAATATGCACTTTTCCAAGTACAGTATACTCCCAGTTTTCTGTGAATGGCTGGCTATTCATGCACCTTCTTAGCATAGTTCGCAACCCTGTGGAGCGCCTATTAAGTTTACTCATTGTTTCCAGACATGTGTCCACTTGTACATATGAAACAGCTTGAGAACTACTGAATAAATTTTTATGAGATCTGATATTTCAGGATTTTATGAAGAATTGTTAAACCATTTCTGTTTTCATTTTGATCTCACAGTTTTAATTGACACTTTCCATAAAGGTAAACATGCTTTTCTGCATATATCTTGAACATAACTTGCCAAATATTTGTCAAAGTGAAAAATGTTTCAAACAAAGTTTGTAGAGAAAAATTAATTGCACATCTTATGTTTGGAACACATTTTATCCACACATTTCTGAATTTGTATGATCAGAAATCACACCCAAAACTTGAATTATCCATGTTTGCCAGTTATTTTTGCTTCTTTTCCTTGTCATTATCACAGATAATCAAGAGTATACTGTATGTTCATCCCTTCTGCAGAACGTTAAATTGATGCTGTGATCATACCTTAAAATATCTAACAGTCCTCTCACATTCTGTACAACCATCTTAGCATCTCTCGTTCAACATTACACAAACTCAGAAACTTCTACACCATTGTACAGTAACCAAATGAAGGAACAACAAATATGTTGGACACTGTCTTAATTATGTCAGTTCTGTGCCATATTGCATACTGACATTTTAATTGTCTTGTGTTTAAAACTTTATGTGATTTAACACAAAGTTCTTGAACAGCCTGTTACTTGAAATTTAATCTGTGAAGTCTAAGGTTTATCCTAAAGAACATTTCAAAACCTGGTTCATGTCTTACAATGGATACTGTGCTTCCATTAAAAGGACCATCCATATAATGCTGCATGGGAAATATTCAGAGATTTTTTACACTGAAGTAGACAGTACAAATGGATACCACTTTCCTTTAAACGTATAGAAGGCTGCCTTGAAGAGTACTGAAATTTAAAACTTTTTGTTGGTTAAGAGGTCAGCCATCTTGATTCATGCTTTGTTACAGTTTTCCCTACTAGATCAAATATTTTAGAACCGGCTGTCTCCACCTCATATCATTTCCTATTAACCTGTGCAGTTGACAAATAATTATTCAATGAATAAGAAAGCATACAAACAAATATTCTGTAAATAGTTTATTATTTTGTAAGTAAAGTCTAAAAGTTTGTGGCAATGGTATAGTAATACAGTTATTATGTTTCTGGACATTATCCATCACTTTGTTTTTATTTGAAAACACAGTCAACATTTCAGAGACTGGATTCTGTCGCCATCTTCAGTGGAACCTACTCAGTTTGGCCCAAACAATAGATCTAGTCCCTATCTATGGATACGAGCACCAACATGAGATTTGATATATAAATCAAGCACAGCATAAACCATCTGCGAGAGTTAAGAAAAGCATTAAACTCATTAAAAACCTCCACATACATGAGGCCTAGCACTTATGTCCATACTATTTCAGGAATATTGTCGTTAATAAAAAAACAATTTTCCCACATAATCTACACTGTATGGAGTTATAGTTTTCTGGCTTCTGGTGTGATAATGGGAGTTCAGATGGGAGAGATGTGCAAGCTGGGTTGGCTGATCGGATGGTCCAGCACAGACATGTGGGCGGATTCCTTGTATTTCCTGTATGTGGTGTCTGGTTCAATCTGCAAAGAATCCGCCAACATGTCTGGTAGATCATCCGATCAGTCAGCCCAATTTGGGTGTCTTGCCCATCTAGACTCACGTTATCGCAACTGAAGTCAGATAACTACAACTCCATCCAGTATATATCACTTGTGTGGAAATTGTGTTTTTATGTTGGTACCGTACAGAGAAATTTCCCCTTTAGTGACGGTTTTGATAGTACTTTGATTTTAACAACAATAGCCATGAAATAGTGCATGAACACGGGTGCTAGGCCTAATGTTTATGGAGGTTTTTAATGATTTTAATGTTTATTTTAACTCTCACAGATGGTTTATGCTGTACTTGGTTTACATATCCTATCTCATGTTGGTGCTGGTGTCCATAGGTAGGGACTAGCTCTATTGATTGGGCCCAACTGAGTAGGTTCCACCTGAAGATGAGACAGAATACAGTCTCTGAAACATAGTGTGTTTCCAAATAAAAATGGGATGATGGATAATGTTCAGAAACACAGTAGCTGAATCATTATTTTGTCTTCTTTCACAAATTGTTATAACACAAGGCAGGAGATTCAGTCAGACAGAACAAACCACCCTTATGAAGGGCTGTGCCCCATTTAAAAATGAAAGGCAGGCGCTTTAAAGTAACCTGGGTGAAAAAGGAAAGCACCCCAGCTTTCCTCTGTCACTGGGGTTCTTTCTTGCAGCTGGACTCGTTCCCGGAACAAAACAGGGTGGTTGTTCAGCAGCACCAATGCAATGGGTCACTGCTGAAAACTTCTGGACAATAATGTGTTACGTAGTGTGTTCAGTTGGCGCCTTGTCTCTGTTGCAATCCCCCACTGTGGACCAATGGATGACATCAGGAGGTGAGTACCGCCAATTGTAGCACATCATCACTCATAAACATTGCATTGAGTCGCTTCAGAATTGCACATCAGCATGTACATTGATAGGTTACTCGATAATTACTGATTGTTGCTTTCAGTGACAAAGGGAGAACTCACTATTAGCAGAAAGCAAAGGTATGACGCCTTTCTCTCCTCAGTGATTCCTAACTATTTGCAAGCACTCTAGAGCTCAGTACCATAAACCTACCAATTCCATCCGACATCCATCACAACCCGTTTTTCTGAGATCTGTCTTACTAATTAACTCCTTCTGGTAGCAGAATCTGAAAATTCCACAGTGTTAACAACAAATCGCACCACTGGAAATGATCCTGGTCCAGTTGTATCCACCTCTCTTCCACACAATGTACCTCCCTAGCATCCAGCTTACTAATTAACTGTCTCGTAGCAGAACCCAAAGGTTCAACACTGCCAAGCATTCAGCAGGTCACAAAAAAAAATTTTTTTGGAACTCTAACAAAACTTTGTAATTTTTTTGTTCAAAATTGGCTTATTGTACAAAAACAGGGGATGTAGCTCAAAACATAGGCCTGGTTAAGGTCTGCAACTTTTATTATAAAACGTTTTCGCCCCTGTGTACATTTAATTATGCTGAGGTCAAAGAAAGAAGTTCCACAAATTGACCCCTTCCACGTGTCCACTGTATTTCCCTCTGTTGCTGTCTTTACATCCAGCCAGTCTTTTGATAACCTTTGCGAGCAACAAGCATTTTGGGGTGCCTGGAGGGGAATACAGGAAGAAGCCTCAGGAGCTATCATCCCCACCATGCATGGGACTTCTCTCCACAGCTTTAGTATACTTACAGCACTATGTGGAACATGATGGGTGCTGTACCCCTGTTTCAGTCCTCACTCTGCTTGGAGATGGCCTCAGAGCTGCGATTTGCCCTTTGCTGCCAGGGATCCACGAAACCTGTCCAAAAGAAGGGCCCAATGGGGAATGGCGAGGAGGGGCGGATCATATCCCTGGGCCCGTATTCACAGTACGGTTTTATGGGCAAGGAGCCGCTGCCCTGATGACATAGTTAGATCACCATATCACCATGTAGCTGCTGCTTATCTCTGTCAAATACATTCACCATTCCACTGTCATATGTTTCATTTTATCATCACAGACAATGTCCAGGGGGCAAAGTGGCTTGAAACCTACATTAAACAATCTTTGTAAACGGAATTGTCATTATGTTTCATAGCTGGGCAAGATATTGTCGTGTGTAGGAGAACAGAAAACACAGTTTTTCTATTCTTTTAAAGACATGTTTATCACTCTGTTGTGTAGCAATGGTTGCAATGCAGACCACAGAAAACACAGCTCTTTGATTGTTGCAGGGGTTACCTAGGAACTGCCACTGTTTACAGTCACTGCTTAGCGACTAGTCTATATGCCACAATATAGAGAAACATTAGATATGGTATCAAGTTCTTGGACAGACCTGATCAGTTTTATGGTGATCCTGTATGCCAGGTTGCATCGTCAGGTGAAGGAAATGATTGTTTGATAGAGTGTGATATTGAACATCTAGTTACATGTTACAGACATTTGGGAATGACACTAACAATTCAAGATAGCATTCATGAAAAACTTGAGAGCAGATTAAATTTAAATAGTTGCTACCATTCAGTTTGGAATATTTTGTCTCACACCTGATGTCAAAAATCATGAAAGATATGAAACTATAATTCTCCCTGTTGTTTTGTATGGGTATGAAATTTGATCTGTCATGTCAAGGGAAAAGCATAGTCTGAGGGGGATTGAGAAATTGGTGCAGAGGGAAATATTTGGACCTAAGACAGAATATTACATAGTGGAAAGCTTCAAAATTTGTACTCCTTCCAAATATTAATAGGGTGATCAAATCAAGGAGAGTGGAATTGGTTGGACATGTAGCACACATGACAGAGAAGAGAAATTCTGAGAGTTCTGGCAGGAATCCCTGAAGGAATGAGGACCACTTGGAAGATCTAGGCATATGTGGGAGGATAATATAAAAATTGATTTTAAAGGAATAGTATTGGAGGGTGTAGATTGGATTCATCTGGCACAGGATAGGAGCAAGTGGCAGCCCTTGTTATTATAGTAATGAATCCTCATGTTCCATAAAAGGCAGGGAATTTATTAATGAATTGAGTGACTGTTAGATTCTCAAGAAAAATTTTGTTCTGTGTAGTTACTATTAACTTATGTTTAGTTAGTTATTTATATACAGCCAAATAGCTCATTCAGTGTATTCACTAGGCTACTGAACTGGGCCTTGCTCTTAGCACAGGAAATATTTGCCCTATGGGGTCCACTCAGCCTTCTGTCCGGTAGGTACCAAGGTCTGTTTTCCCAAATCTGTCATGGCTTGGCACTCTGTCTAGTACCAAAGGTTAGGAAAGACAGAAGCTCTGCTCCAGCAGAGGACCAAAGCTCACAGTGCCCTGTAGTTCCAATTCTTCAGCTTCTTTTTTTTATCATTTCCGTTTTATAAAATTTGAAATCATGTAATTCAAGCAACAGTCAGTCACTAGAGATTCCAAGGCTTATAAATAATATCTTGAATTTTTAATTGAAAATTATACAGTGTTCGAGAAAGAACTCTGGGGTTCGACCTGTACAAAATAGAACATGAGGGATAGCAACACTGAATGGCGAAGTGTGTCAAGTTTTGTTGTATTCAGCAGTACAACACAACACATGTGCATATAACAGCAGTGTAGCACTATTTGTCATTCCAGTGTCTCTTGTAAGGTGTGTAATATGCTATATGCCAACTTTCCATGTCGGCTGATAGGCCCACAAGATGTCCCTATGTAACAGAGCCTTACTTTCTCCTGTGGGGTTGTGTGAAGGACACTGCATAAGCTGAACAAGTTGACAATTTACAGGATGTGTGACACAAAATCACAGCAGGCGCCCCAAAGCTGACACCTGTGTTTCTGACTTGGGTGCTCTTTTTTCTTTCTTTCTTTCTTTCTTTTTTTTTTTTATTTTTTTTTTTTTTTTATCCAGTGTCAATATCTAAATGATATAGCCTAGAATGGTAGGATGATTGATGCATGACGAATTGTAAAGGATGTGGAAGATGCAGTTGGAGCTGGAGCTATTTCCTGGAGAGACTCAGGAACACTGTAAACAACTCCATGAGGACAATCGGTGTTCCAGCCAGGAATCAAACTGAACGCCTTCTGGGTACAGGTCTAGAGCAGTAACTCTATACCAACCAGCTCAGTTGACTGAGCTCAGATATTGCCTTGACTTTCATTAGGCTGTGAATGGAGTCAGTATTTAGTTATACCAATCATAATCATCATCTTACCAACATGATATACTAAAACCTATCAAAGTTGCATCAAACTGATTCATATGTCAGACTTAATGTGTTGTGTGACTCAGTTTTCTTTTCTGCACAGTTCTCTGTCATTTGTGTCAATAAATACTAGATCACTAAACCGCAGGGTTCTTTTTCAAACACCATCAGGAATGTAGTAAAGCCGGGACACTCCAAGTTGGCCCCCCAGTGCTTTGTTGACTGTTGGGGCGCTGCCCTGGCAGTTCTTTCAAAGACTGATCTGAAACATAAGTTCTTACAACTCATTTCATTTCTGACCTCAGTGGAGTGTAAACTTCTTTAAACATGAACTGTTCAGCATGCAGTTCTGCATATAAATGTGTAAAACTGTCATTAGGTAAAGAGAGTGGCTTCATGTCATGATTTAGACCCGTTTTTATCAATATGGAGCTGAGGTCCAGACTTCCATGGCACTCTCATGTATGGGACTGCACCCCTGGACGCACTATATAAAAAATCCTTTAATTTTACAGATGATGTTTGATATTTCTTTCCTGTAGTGCCACACAATGAATGTTGTGTGATGAGCTTGACCTAGTGTTCGGGGGCTGTCGTGTGTGTGTGTGTGTGTGTGCGTGTGTGCGTGCATCACGCCAGCCATGTTTGGTGCTGGGAGTGATATCACTATTGTAATAGGAATCCTAACCTCTTTCACAACGTCACACTCACTTAATTTGGGACTGTGTACTTCAATGTTAACATTTATCATCCAACATTGTTACTCAAAAAATGCAGTGCTAGGGTAGCTGAGTTTCATGCGTGTGTCAGTAACCTCATGCATGCACTGTTAAGGTAACACAATGCATAGCTGATAAGGGTTGCATTTCTCCTTAATAATAACATTTAAACTGGCTGTGTGACAGGTAACAAATACAAAAAATGTGGATGCCTGTTTTGGAATGAATGAATCAGCTGTCATCTTATGGTTGAAATTGTTATTTTCTTCGATACAACAGAATATTCAGCTTGCACTTAACATTTCTTAAAATGATTGATTGCTGTCCATTGTTATCAGTTGTAAGTTTCACCTGAAACATTTCTTTGTCTTACTATATATGTAATGAGATCAAAATATGAGATTAAATTGGATTTTTCCAAGTATCTGTATCAAAAATTGTCCATCACATGGATTTATCATGGCATTTTAAACACGTTTTCCCTTAAATGCTTAATTCTGCTTCTGTACATGTATGAGTATATTAATGACAGTCTGGAGTGAGACAAACCCTCCATTACGATTCAGGGACAATTCGGTCAGGCCATAGCTCAGATACTGGGAGAGATTTGTCTCCATGCACTCCCTTTTTCCTTTATCAATCATTCCAACAATGCTCCATATTCATCCATCATCAAAGGCTGGTAGAATAGGACTGATCGCCTGTAGCCCCAGTTCCAACACTCAGTCACTTTAGCCAACAGAGAAATAATAAAATACACGTAAACAGAAATATTTAATAAACAATGTCATCTTCTGGGATGTGACGCCATGTAGATCTTGTGTGAACCAACGTTTTGGAGGAACATATCGCTCCATCTTCAGGGTAGAAAAATCCGCGAGTGAGGAACCAGCATGAGCAGGTGGCTGCAGACTGAGCCACCAGTCAAGAAACACCCAGCTATACAGTGTGTCCACAAAGTCCCTTCGGGGTTTTGAAAAATTGTGGCGCGCAAACAAATTGAGCTAGCCACATGCGGTTTGTGGCAGATCATAGTGAAACTCTGGAAGTTTTTTACTGACCTCCTTCCTCGAAGGAAGGAGAGGAAATAGACGGGACACGAACCAATTTGGTTTAAAAATTGTTATCATTTTTAAACATACTAACCGTAATAAATATTTTAATGTGTTGGTACAAGCCGCTGTAGTTGTTAAAAAACATTAGATTTGTACATTGTATTATGATGACATTGTATGTACATATTAATATTCTTAAAACATATTGTAATAGTGGTTTATAACTATTGATATCCTTCTGAAAATGGGGTATAGGACTGAAACATGTAAGGATAAAAGATTAAAAAGAAAAAGAAACCACTAGTCACACTGGACGGAATTAATTAACCTTTGTAATATTGTTAGTGTGATGGACCAGAACGAAACAAAACAAACTGAAGGAAGGAAGTTTTGTGAATGGAGAAACTGGACTCGCTTATCCCGTTTGAATTTGCTGAGGTTCATTACACTTTCATTTGCTTCCCCTATAAAACCGTGCTGATGTCAGCATATTGCTGGATAATGTTTCTGCAGCACATTCCGTGTTTCAAGTTGATCTGAAAGACGCGGAGGAAGGAAGGAGGGAAAAAGTCGCTTGCTACAGGAAACCAAAGACACTTCCAGTTCGGCACACAGGGACGTCAAAGGCAAAGCAGGCGTGACTAGAACTGTAAGCATGATTCGAACCCATGAATACCAGCATGGCGCTTGAAGGCCGTTCTCTGAAAGAAGCTGATGTTGCACAATGACTGGCCCCTCTGAAGGCAAGTTTTTCGTTGGATATTTTTTTTTCGAATGAAACCTGATCAACTAATTGGTCCCCCATTGATTGACTAAATTGTGTTGCGTCGTCAGCGCAAAATACTAGGCTAGTTATGCTGCTACGAATCAATGAGACAGCGAACGGGTGGACATAGAACGCCTTGATAAAGGCACCGCGATAAATGAAATCCGTTCATTAAAACAATGACAGTACAAGAACAGAATCCGTCACGTTCTGATGATTTGCCACGTCGGAGTGGTGGTGGTGGGGGGGGGTGCCTGCGATGCTATTCAGTGCGGCGTTTAATCTCAGTTTTATTTTCTTCACGGCATTGTTACTCGGTATCTGAGCTTCAAAATGTTCAGACATTTGCATTCCGTAGGAGAAATAGTAAACTTATCACTTTAAAATGCCCCGTCTGAAACTGGTACCATCAGAAAAAAACAATTCAGGAAGTGACTGGACACTATTTAAGACAGTTGCGCTAGTTAGATCAGTGCTAGGCCGCGCGGTTAGTCGCTGGCTTTCCACCGCGGCGGCCCGGGTTCGATCCCGGGTCTGGTAAAGTGGGATTTGTGGAGGACAAAGTGGCTCTGTGGCAGGTTTTCTCCGAGTACTTCGGTTTCCCCTTGCCAATCTTCATTCCACCAATTTCTCCGCAATCACTCTCACCTATCATCTGGGGCTGGTACAATAGGCCAGAAGTGGCCGCAGTACAAGGAACTTAGTCCCACCCCACTAGCAATAAAAAAAATAGATCAGTGCTACATTACAAGTGCGAACTGAAGTGTTGTGTGTTCAGCAAATGGGTTCGTTCTAATTATAACACGATTCAGTGTCAAAACTCAGCACTTCAGGGGGACAGTCACTGTTTCTTGTGAGAATAATACGAATCATATATCACGTATGCTATATCGCCAGAATACAAGAGGTTTTTTTTATGCTGAAGTAGTTCATGCATATAGTGACCACTCTAATTTAGGGTATTAAATAATAGTTTACTTCATATTTGATTTATTGTACACCTTTAATTCTACCTCATGTTTTCTTGGTTAATGTTGTTTTTTAGCTATACTTATTTAATAAGCAATGTTGTCAGTATCCTGTGCGTCTTGTATTCGTCTGTTTACACCGTACTGGACGTTTGGGAGATCGCCAGATCCGGGCTGATCTAATTTTATAAATAACTCTGGCATTCCTGTCACTTGGAATCGTCGTGTGCTCTTGGGCTAAGATCTGAAGCCGCCGGACAGAAGAATGTGACGTGTTTGTTGTAATCCTGTGTTTCTGCAGGCGCCATGTCGGCTTCCGAGAAGTGAACTCAGGTAAGCCTACACTGAAACTACTCAGTAACAAGAAACAAGAAATATAACAAAAATATTTCGAGACACAAAATTGAAAATAACATTTAGAACTAAGAACAATTTACAACACATTAAAATCATGACCACGAATAAATAAATATAACAAATAGTGGCATATATAGTATGAAATGCCCAGATTGCCCCATGGAATATATAGGACAAACTGGGAGAAAATTTAATACCAGATACAAAGAACACATACACGACGTAAGACACAATAACAGCAATACATGATACACAGAACACACATTAAACACGGGACATGCATATGGTACAATAGAAAATACTATGGATATCATAGCAACGAATAAGAAAGGACAATATTTAAACACATTAGAAAACTATCATATATACAGAACAACAAAGAAAAACACGCATATGAACAATATAAATAAAGAAATATATAACCCAATATTTCACGAATTACCCACTATTTACACAGAACAACATAACAACGCCCCACTACATTTACCCCCACAACATCATAATCAATATGAAGACAGCACACACACACACACACACATCCAACAACGCACGCAGTCACAAGGGAAGCACACAACACAGCACACAGTGAGTATTAAACACTATAAAACAACACGTAACAGATAGAAGTCGGAACGTGGTATTAATGAGTAACATTTTCATGTTGCAGATATACACAAAAATATAGGAAGAGTACTCCCATAGGAGAGGACTGACGTAACTCGCGAATTTGAAGTGCGACGTATAGATCGTAAATCTTGAAAAGTTTTAATATATAAATTTTATTGTTATATATGACATATTTACATTTTAATAATTTTATAAAGGAGACATGATGGCATACAGTGCAATGGTTTGACGTAAACAAAACCACACCTGAAGATGGCACATTAGTGCCGAAACATGTAGTGAAGAAAAAGGTGAAATTGTGTGCACTGTAAGACGGTTGGTACAAATACACATCATGAACGTGAATCGGTGCAACAGGACGCTAAAATATGACATTACTCAGTAATGTGTGTTGCATACCGATGTGAGTCCATCATGCTAAATCTTATTGCCTCGGTCAAGCAGTAATTTGATCCCTGTTGTATGCTAATGGACGTGTTTCAACTAAATGGATACGTGTTTTTTTTTAAGTAATTTGAATGCCTAAGGCACATGTTGACGTCCGAAGAAACTCATTGTTTTATTTATTTGTAATTGCGTACTTTGCTGTGACGGCAGCGTGAGAACTTGCAGTATGGTCGCATTTTATGCGAGGATGCTTTCCTGAAGACCTTGCATAAGTCAAGACAAATTTTCTCACGAATGAATGTAAAGTAAGGGGGATTTTTTTTTTGGGGGGGGGGGTTCGCATTATTTAAAGCTTTGCGCATAAAGTGAGGCTTTGTTAATTTTTTTATATCGAACTATTTTAAATTCGCGTAAAAGCCGTCCGCACTGTATTCGTTTTCCCCTGTCCGTGTTATTTGTTCGGGCATTGTTGCACTCTGTAGCATGGAGTGCCCGGAGGTAGTTACAGATATTAACCCGGATTTTCCCTGTTCTGTCTGCGAAACGCAAGTCATTGTGTGATTCCCTGGGCAGCGACCAAATGACAGGCTCACGAATTTCAGATTGAACTCCATTACTGAGACTGATATTTGGTTTCCGCACAGGGCTACCAACCGCGACGTGTGGCAGATATGGTACCCTTGTTACATTTGTTCCTGTTAGCAGCCGTTTCGGGTCTCCCGGACACCATCAACATTGGTGAGTTAATTTTGTGAGTATGTTTGTCAGTTGCTTGGGGGCACGCCGTAGCGTAGTTGGTTGAGGCACTATGCTACAAGCCAAAAGGTCGCGAGTTCGATTTCCAATGAAGTCATTTAATTTTTCAATTCACTTAATCCTTCCAGCCGCACTATGGCCCTGGGGTCGACACAGCCTCTAACAGAAATGAGTACCAGGAATCTTCCTGCGGGTAGAGAGCGGCGGGCGCGTAAAAATGACAAATTTACCGCCAACTGTTAGCCGACTGTCTAGAATAATGCGAGAGCCTCAACGTCTCCACGATTCTATTACAGGGTTAGCTTTACTCTTTTTTTCAGTTTATGTTGTCAGTACCTTTGTCTATGTTGTGTCGAATGGTAGGATGGTAGTAAATACAGTAAACCCTCGCTAATTTGGATTAATTGAGGGAGGTCAGTCGGATTAAGCCATAATCCCGATTAATGAAGTAAAATCCCTAAAAGACAAAAGAAAAACTTAGAACACAAATATATTGGAAATTTAATAATATAGGTGTTGCTGATGAAAATAAATACAAATATATCATTGTAGAGCCTTTATTTAAAAACTACAAAAAGACAAGAAGCCGAAATCCAGGATCACCATCCAGCTCAAACCAATCTTGGATATTTTCTTGCGTGGTTTCAGTCTATCCAGCTGCCCCCAACACAGTCTGAAAGCCCTCTTGCTCCAAAATTTCATGTGGCTTTCAAAGCATGTACCCAGCTGTGAACAGATTTTTTCATATTTCGATCCGGATTAACGAGGGTTTACGTAATGAATCGGAGAAGTTGAGATCGTAGAGTAACTTAAGGCAGGTGTACTACTCTGGCAATTGCCTGGAGAGACTAAGGAAGACCATGAAATTCCTTAGTGAGGATAGTCGGCGTCCAGGCCGAAAATCGAACCGGGCACATCCTGAGTGTAAGGCAGACGCATGTGGGCCGGCCTGCTCTCTCGGTTTGTTGCCTGTGTTACCCTCCCAGAGCACATGCCACCGAATGTCTGCTCACTTCCCCCCAAGAGGCGAGAACCACATTTCGTTCGACGCGTCCGTCTGTCCTTCCGTACCTTGGGATTATCACGATCAGGCTGTCGTCTATAAGAACAAAATTATGTATGCATGAGAGACCAGGGCTGCGCCCCTGCTTTGCCTTCGTGATTCGTGTTTTAAACAGCGACTTTGTCATACGTAGGCTGCGTCACATGAGAGCAAGTGGGGTGTATGCCCTCCCCGCCTTAGGAATACGAAATTCATTTTTGCAGCATCAAGAGGCAACGAGCTTTGCCCCATATAACGGTCCCACGTCCAATTTTTGGGATGTTTAGGTTAGTCACTTCAGTGACCGGGGAATTGGGGTTCAATTTCGTGCAGTGACAGTTGATCTTGTCCCCACAGAGTCCAGATCACGCATCCAGAAACATTTCTTTGGGTCTAGTGGAATCAAATGCATTTCTCTTAGTTTGAAATTAAGTTAAGGTACTGATTTTTATGCCTCTCTAAATGTGCCCATGGACTGATCCAAAAGGTATGCACCATGCTATGGGTATATGACCATACATCACCGGTTTCAGTGTACTCGTATTCCAAATGTTTCTGTGTAGGAGATATTCTAACATTATCCTTTCTCTATAGTTTGGTCTCCCAGATGACCTCTTACCTTCAACTTTTGATATATATATATATATCTGAATCCTCTAGTGCATACTACATGACCCAACCATCTCATCCTTTTTGTTTTATTATTATATATTTACCCTAAGACTGTGAAGCAAAGAGTGCAAATTATGAAGTTCCTTGTGATGTAATTTTTTCCCATTTCTTTGTTATTTTAAGTGTCTCAAATCCAGATACTTTTCTCAACCCCCTGTTCTCAAACACAGTCTTTGTTCTTCCCTTTAGGGTGAGCGGTCAAGTTTCACACCCGTCAAAAGAAACAACTAAACCTATAAGCTTAGTCTAAAACTTTTTGTCTGTAGTGTGTAACATTTATTATGACTACAATTTTGGACATTGCCTGTCACCCAGTGATCGAAACTTGCTTTTCCCAGTGCATCCTTTGGAGTCGTAGTCTTTTCTCTTACATGAGTTTCTGAAACAATGTCATTTGAAGATACTCAAGACAATGAGCAGTGTCCAGAATAACAGTCATAATTAAACTAAAGTTATATGTTCATACAGTTCAATCTCATTATTTATATTAGGACACATGAATGGGAGAGGTTCTGAAGTACATTGTGGGACATCTTCCAAGAATTTAATCTGCTGTCATTTCCAAATTCAGGGGGGCTGTTCCACAGCACAGAAACCCTAGAGGAGCTTGTGTTCCAGTACACAACCCAGACCATCAACTCTGAAGGCATGATCCTACACAAGACGCTGGTCGCCCTCCCCAAGCGCGTGCCACCAAATGACAGCCTAGTTGCATCCAGCATAGGTGAGGTGAGCACTGAAGACTCTGTGCATTTGCCTATAGGTGGGAGATCCAGGTGTGACAGACTGATGTGTTTGCAGTGTGTCACCTTTTGGAGCAGCGTGTGGTCGGGATCTTTGGTCCACGAGCAGGTCCCACATCACCCCTCGTGCAGTCCATGTGTGACACAAAGGACATTCCCCATGTGGAGACTAGTTGGGACACAAAGCAGCGTCGCCAGGACTTCCTGGTGAATCTTCACCCCCACCCCTCCACTCTCACCAGGGTGAGTTGTAAGCGTGACTAAAGTGTTTTCTGTATCATCATCATCTTTTCATTGTAACTGCTATCCTCTTGTGCACAGCTGTACATGGACCTGGTCAGTGCATGGGGTTGGAAGAAGTTCACGTTGTTGTATGAGGACGCATCTGGCCTGGTGCGACTCAGCAGTCTGCTCACAATGTTCGACAAGAAGGACAATCCAGTGACATTGCGGCAGTTGGCCACCCACAAGAACCACAGGCAGATCCTTCGTGACATGAGACATGCTGGTGAGCGCAACATCATACTAGACTGCTCGATAGAGACACTGCCAGAGGTGCTGAAACAAGCTCAGCAGGTGGGGCTTATGACCAGCGACCAGAGCTACATTATCACATCTCTGGTGAGTCATGTGCCATGTCTCTCATGAGTTGCATATTACCTTGCTTCAGAGCTTTGCATCACTTTTCTAGTGAGGTTATCTAACTTTACTGTGAAGTGACATATCACCTTTCTGGTGGGTCATGCAGCAGCTATCTGCACCTCCCTCTCATTGTTATACTCATAATTATATCTCATAACCAGGCCAGTTGAATTGGTAATACAAAATACGTCACATCCTTCAAGCGAAACAGACTGTGTCCAATGTCACTGGAAAATTTGTGAGGATAGATGAGTGCTGCAGAAACAGAAGAGCACCACAAGTATCTCAGTTGGGAAACCTAGTCTCCTAGTGATGTGTGGTTTGTCCTCAGGACCTACACACAATTGACTTAGAGCCATACCAACATGGTGGTACCAACATCACAGGGCTGCGAATGGTTGACCCAAACAGCACGATAGTTGAAATGGCAGTGAAGCGTTGGGCTGATCTGGAACTGAGGAAGGGCAAGAACCTTGGCATCTCCCCTCAAACCCTCACGGTGCGTACCGACGGTAGCTTGCACTTAGGCCATGATCATTTCCTTCTCAGTTCATCATTCATCACCACTGTCTCATCTGATTCTAAAAATTATCACTAAATAAACTAACAGTCCATGTTTGTTTCATAACTCTCAGTGGACTGTGTTGCCAGGATGCTGCATGAATTTGAACTTGAATTTATTAACATTCCATAAATCCAAGTACAGGTTGACACCATAAGATATGGAATAAGTCAAGTACAAAAACATAATATGTGTACAATAATAGTTTTGCTTGAAAAATTAATAAGATTATAATACAGTATTCCTTTTACCATGTTAATTGGATACATACAGCATACAGTATGGGGTAACTGAGAAATGGATAAATAATCCGGGTTGAAAAGCATGAAAGGAAGAGATGACTGAAGACCTGGTCATAGACGGCACGATAATATTAAGAATGATCTGTAGGAAACAGATTTTGAGAGATAAGACTGGATTAAACTGGTTCAGGATAGAGTCCAGTAGGGGGTCTCTTTTGAACTCACTGATGAATCTTAAAGTTATGTAAGATATGGAAAAAAATTTTTACTCACTAAGCAACTATCAGCTTCTCAAGTAGCACTCTACTCCATGTACAGTAGTTAGTTATTGCATTTGTGAATAATGAAGTGCTCTGTGTCACGTAGGTCAGCATGGCTCTTATCCATGATGCAGTTCAACTGTTTGCCCATGCGCTGCGCCGTCTTGACTCTCGCGCTGTCAATATGAGACCACTGGACTGTGAGTCACAAGACAGCTGGGGGCATGGCGCATCCCTAATCAACTTCATGAAGGATGTAACTATAATACCTCTCCATGTTTTTACAAGAGTTCAAACCAAGCTAGTTGATGTAGCAGTAACACTGTAGGTTTCTCTTTGGGAAGTGCTTGATTCGAATCTTGTCCAGAACACTGGCTGTCCTGGCTTAACGTTTTCTTGGTTTTCCTCAGTCCTTCCAGCCAAATTCCAGGCTACAATTGCTTCTTTCCACATACTTTCCAGGAAATTGCTCACCTCCATCTAGGAGTGAAATTAATAATGCATGGAGTTATACATCCACAGGTCTTCATTAAGTAGAGGGATAACTTCACTGTTACTTCTGCCAAGTTTAGTATCTCAGAGTAAATATAACAGTCTCTGCAGAACTTTCCGCCTTATTGAGATTAGGTATTTATGATGAAGTTCGTTTTTATAGGAAAAAATGTTTCACATGGACATAAATAGTTTTCTCATTAGATTTATGCCCCAAATTCAGTAATTATGTGGATAATCATAACAGTATCTCTCTGAAATATGAATTGGCTCCATGCTGGTATGTAATACTAATTTTACATGATCAGTTTCTTTTCTGGTTTATTTTACAGTGCTTTCAGTGTTGTACTACTATATAAAATTGAATAGTAGGATAGCGGATGAATAATGAATTGGAAAGAATGTGGAAGGAACTGGTCATAGCCTGATCAAAATACTATGCAGGGACTCAGGAAAACTACAAAAAACCTCAGTCAGGGAAACCAGTGCCATGATTAGTTTATGAATTACTTGTGTATGTTTTATCATATGTAAATAATGAATTGCTGAAATTGTCATTTCAGTTTGTGTAGTTATTTCTTGAGATGTGTAGTTGATGCAATGTTATTTGGATAAAAATTTGATCAAAGTAATTATTTGTATCTGAAGAAAATTGAAAATGTTGTTACTTTGCTTCTCTGCAAAGCAATATTAATATGGCACCCTTTACTATTCCCCAAAGAACTATCTGTCATTCAGTTTTAATCTTCCTCAGCAAATTCTTTCAAACCCTTTGTGTTTTGGCTGCTAGAGTATTGATCCCAGTGTGAGGTCTTGCATCATACCACTCACCAACAGATGGTGTTCCCATCATTAGGGGCAGAGCATGCTGCGTGGGCTCACAGGCATGGTCCAGTTCGACAATGAGGGTTTCCGCACCAACATCATGTTGGACATCATGGAGCTATCATACAAAGGGCTTCAGCGTGTGGGAACATGGAACTCAAGTGGGAAGCTGAATATTACCCGACTGGTGCCTCCTACCTCAGTGCATGACAGTGAGAGCCTCCACAACAGGACATTTCGAGTGCTGACAGCCCTGGTAAGCCCAGTGTTGCATAAATTGACACTGAGGAAACAGCAAAACTGCAGAAATCCTCATTTGAGTTGGCCTGTGCTCCTAGTGAGATATTAACCAACTTCCTTACCCCTTTAAGTGAAGACTGTGTGCCTATGACTAAAACAGCAAATATAATTTCGCTAATGCCATAAAAGGAACTCCTGTGGATGGTGGGGGATAAGAATGCCCAAAGCTTCATCCCTTCTGCCTATTGTTACATTCCCCTCCAGCCCCTTCTGGCATATGTCGGCCAGGCGGAAGTGAGTGTCACGTTCATGTGAACAAAATGGCTAGATGTCTCGAGGCGAATACCTTGAGGGGGATGTGGAGGGGAATTGATTCATGAGATTTCTTCCTGTGGCCACATTATTATATATAGACCTAGTTTTGGGGCAAGGAGTGTACCCACATTGAATGTTGGCCAGGTTATTGACTATTCTGACTGAGGGTTACAGTAGTTTCTTCAGTCTCTGTAGATGCATTATCATGATGAAAGACCATACTGCATTCTTATGGTTGTCTACCAATCTCTCCTGTGTGTTTCTGTGAGACTCTTGTACAGAAAGGTGTCGCCTCCAAGTGGTTTCTGCAGGTATGGATTTCTCTGTGAGACTTGAGCCTTTCATAGCAGTGACTATGATGATTATTGTCTTCTTAAATGTGATGCCATGCACAGGAACCTGTTGCCTCCATCTTCATGGTAGAAAAGTGTGCTGAGTCTGAATGTGTGGTACAAAAGTGTGGAGGCTTCCCTGTGCCTGCCATTAGTTCACTTAAAGCCATTATTTCTACTTTCGCTGTGCTCTTGGGAAATGATCCCTTGTAGGACCAGTATTCATTATGCTTCTCCTTACTCCTGTCGGTCTGCTCAGGACTTATGTCCCTCTCCTCATGTCTGTACAACTTTCATTCTTCTTTTGTTTTATCTTCTACCCTGAAGATGGACCCAGGAGGTTCCTCTGAAACAGCAACAAATATCTACAAGCCTGCATGGTGTCACATTCCAGAAGACAGTAATCTTCAGATTTCGCTCGTATCCACCAATGGGTACCAGCTGCCAGAGCATGACATGCAGCCACCATTCATTAGCATGTAATGTTCAAATCTAGAAAACACAGAGATTTATTTTCGTGCCCCTATACACGTCAATGGTATGTTGCTTAAGCAATTTTCCCTTTGTTTCATGTCTGTCTGCTGCAGTCACATCCCTATGGAATGCTTCGTGAATCAACTGTTGCCCTCAAGGGCAATGATCAATATGAAGGATTTGGTATTGAGCTGATTCATGAGCTGTCACTGATGCTTGGGTTCAATTACACGTTTGAGCTGCAGCTGGACAATGTGTACGGCTCATATAACAACAAGACAAAGCAGTGGACTGGCATGATACAGCAGTTGCTGAAAGAGGTGATGTGTGGTCAGGGCACTGGGCCCTAGCTTTGCTTTTTGAAGAAGTAAAGATCTTATGCACTGGTCAAGTTCAAGAAACAATGATCCTCTAGGGTTTCATTTGGGGTGTGCCCTCCTTGAATCTTAGCTGGGATACTGGCTATCCTGAATGAGATTTTTCCTGGTTTTTGTCAGTCCCTCCAGGCAAATGCTGGAATAGTATCTTGATTAGGCCATGACTGCTAGCTTTCAAATCATTTCCAATTCGTCATTCATCAGTCATCCTACTGTTCTTTGCTATATAGTCGAAATACTGGCAGCGTCATTAAACAATACGTGAAAGGAATGGTAGCAATACAAAATTTATTTGCACTGACAAAAGTTGAAAGGATAGGAAAATATCAGAAACACATAACCCAAAAATTATTTTTATTTAAGGATATAGTGCTTAATATTTCATACATTCAAACTAAATTATGAATTTTGGAAAATAATCCCAAACAGAAATGTTTTGCATGCTCCTTCTATGTCTACTGCGCAGAAATGTGAATCAAACTTAACAAGCTGAACTAACCATTCAAAGAAAACGGTAATTTTAATGTAGAAATTGGGATGGAAGTTCTTTGTGTCTGTTTCTGGGAATGTTTAAGCACATGATTGTGAACACCAGCAGGGATGGGGTCAAGCCACATATCCCCCCCCCCCGTCTCTTTTGGAAGCAAATCAGAATTAGAATATATGAAATATTAACCCCCAAATTTTAAAATATCTTTTATCCTGAATACCAGAGGATGATCAATAGAAATGGCCATAAATAGTTTAAACTCGATTTTTTGAGTGGATTTTCTGGCTGCCTGCCTTTGGACACTGTCCTGAAAGCTCCTGTGCACATGATATCAGCACTCACTCCACAGATGGTGTGGACAACTGCCCACTTTGCCCATCAGAGACTTGCTTTGTGGTGCTGGGAACTCATGTCACTTCATGTTTCAGGAGGCAGACTTGGCCATCACGGATCTCACCATCACATCTGACCGGGAGGCAGCTGTTGACTTCACCACTCCATTCATGAGTTTGGGTGCGTATGTCAGATGTGTGTTTTGATGCTCATGTTTGAACAGGAGTGCACTGTGCTGACATGCAAATGACTGTTGCAGGTATCTCCATCCTGTACAAGCGCCCAACAGAGGAAGCACCTGACCTGTTCTCCTTCATGGCCCCATTGTCCACAGATGTGTGGATCTGCATGTTCTCGGTGTACATGGGTGTGTCCATCCTCTTATGGATAATGGGAAGGTGCGTGCTGTGTTGCAAAGTTAGACCAGAATTCTGCTATAGTCGTTTTTAAAAATGTAATGGATATTTTGTTCTTTTCAGGGTGAAGTCACTTTATTATGAATGTTAACAATTTGGGCTCTTTGCATTATGGTCTTTTTGGGTGTGATACTGTATAGTCTTGTAAGTACATAACAACGTTTCAGAGGAAAGCGCTGCTTCCATCTTCAGGATTAAGTGTGCAGGGTGAGGAATTGGATTGAAGGAAGGTAATCACTGAGGCCCAAAAGGAAATTGAGTTGAGTCTGAGTCAGTGGATGTGATGATTTAAGATGGAGGTGTACAGTTCTTCATTGGAATCAATCTATAAGACTAAAGGTTCGGCCACACAGAGCGCTATGCTACGTACGCTATGTACATTCTGCGATGCAGGTAACGTAGGGAACATAGCATACATAGCGTATGGAAGTCTGTATGGCCAGTCACATTGGCAATAAAGGGAGATATTTTTCTGTTCGTATAGCAAACATAGTGTACAAGTACATAGCCTGCGTCACGTATGTAGTGCTCTATGTGGTCGAACCTTTAAAGTGTTCCAACCAAGATGACCTCGATCTGAACAGTTGCTGCCATGGCAACCTCAGAACTTAGTTATTTTCAGCTAATCTGGATCCCCCTGTTGCAGGATCTGCCCTTATGAGTGGAACAATCCGTATCCCTGCATAGAGGAACCAGAGGAACTGGAGAACCAGTTCACCCTTCAGAACAGTCTCTGGTTCACCATCGGCAGTCTGATGCAGCAGGGTTCTGAGATCGCACCTATGTGAGTTCACCTTTATGTTCCAGTAGGTTCAAGGCCTACACTTTTATGTCACTGATATGCAACCTGCTGTCTTTTTTCCTGTAATTAGCAATACAGTTTTAGTTGAAACATGTTGATTGAATATTGAATAATACCACAAATGGCTGATATTGGAAGTGCCCTGTGTCAGATGTGCTTACAGTGTTTCTTCTCTTTGCCTTCTGGTGCATGAGATGTCTCATGTACAAGTTCTGTCCTTCTGTGGTTAGGATGAAGTATCTTATTTCCATCACAGATTTCTGCTGACTCGTGTGCTGTTAATCTTGTCATTCATTTTGGGTGTCCCAAATTCCAGAGCTGTGTCTACACGCATGGTGGCCGGCATCTGGTGGTTTTTCACACTCATCATGGTCTCATCTTACACAGCCAATCTGGCTGCTTTCCTCACTGTTGAGAGCACAACTTCCCCATTCAAGAACGTGAGGGAGCTCGCCAACCAGAATGTCATCAAGTATGGAGCAAAAATCGGCGGCTCCACAGTTAATTTCTTCAGGGTATAAACATCCAATATGACATTAACAGAGTGGTCTCAGTCAATTATTAGATGCATTGTTTCATTTGTTAGAATGTCACTAGACAAGTATGCAGTTGAATTTTGCTGGTCAGATATAACCTTTAACATTGAGTGACTGAAATATTAAATCGTTCAATGCTGCAGGGCTTGTAGCCACATTCTGGGGAAAAAGTAAAGCAGTGCTCAGCCAGGTGGACTGCAAGCATGCACTTTCACATTAGTTCAAACCTAGTGTTGATAAAGTGTAATTGTCCCTGATCCGACGCTACTGAGGCAGACCTTTTCATGTTAAACCAGTGTGTCTCCTGTCATACAGCTTTTCAGCATCAGCAGGTTAAGTTTTTTAAGCTGAAATTCCTTCCTTCTTTTCAAAAATAAATTGAAGAAGAAATCGCAGAAGTTACTTACTATTCATTGGACCTACAAATCATTAAATTAACAAAGAACACCAGTGTGTCTAAACCAGTTGTATCATTTGAATCATGGAGAGGTCTGACTGTCCATCAGATGTCACTACTAGACAGGAAGAAAGAGAGCATAGATGCTCAAGAAACATGTTTGCCAGTCTCCTCACGCTTGCTTTTAGACTCAAGGCTGAAGTATACAATGCACTGGCAGATGAACTACTGCTGACTTCTGACAAGTTTGCTTGGATGCATAAATTAATTACTGGTAGTCATACCAGCTGAAAGCCAGCGCTGATTATGAATGGTAATCACTTGACCTTCTATGCTCATATGAATATTTTCAAACTCTTGGTGCCATAGAGACCTAAATAAGCAAGAAACCAAGAAAATTATTAAACAGTGAGTGATTGAGTGATTGTAATTCTGGTTTGGCAGGACTCAGCTGATAAAATGTACCGTGACATGTACAAGAAAATGATAGAAGAGCCAGGTGTCCTAGCAAGTTCCAACAATGAGGGCCTGAAGTGGGTCAAGGAACGAAACTACGCCTACTTCATGGAGTCCACATCCATCCAGTATATCACAGAGCGAGACTGTGAAGTAGCCCAAGTTGGAGAACTGCTGGACACCAAGGGCTATGGCATAGCCATGAGGAAGGGTGTGTATCATTGGTTGTCAGGTCTACTTATTGTGACTCCAGTCCCACATTATTTTACCCTCTATTTCATTAACCTTCTCGCTGCCAATGCCCCTCACAGAACTTTGCTAGAAATATAAACACTGCTCATGGGGTAAATGCAGTTGCACAGAAAAACCCACAATACTTCCTCAGATTGCCTTCAAACAATGACAGGTAAAGCTAGCTTGAAAGCTGTCCCTTCCTGTAAATGTCAGTAACTACACTGGCTGCCATATACTGTACCTAACGATAAACAGGCTGATCTGTTCAGCTGTGGAAGTTTTGACAAAAGAATCCCAAACCATCCTAATTGCCTTGTGGTTTGCCAAGGGTTAAAAGTCTGCCACATTAAAAAGTGTTTCAAATAGAAGTTGTGCATCTTAGTGAGGTGTGTGTTATACGTATATCATGCAATCTATCAAGTAGGGTGCCACTTTTGAGGAATCTGATAAAATTTAATTTTATGTTAGGTACCTGTATGCACCATAATGAAAGTCACCTAATAGCTTTTAGTAAGAATTCATGCTAACAAATTCAGTGGGTTGGTGTAGCTGTGACACTCTTGACTCATATTCCAGAAGTACTAAATTTGAATCTCTGCCAGAACGCTGGCAATCATGATTGAGGTTTTCATTTTTTTCCTCAGTCCCTCCAGGCAGATGCTGTTGTATTATTTCAATTGGGTGATGACCATTTCCTTTCAGATCCTCTCCAGTTCATCTGTCATTCTACCATTTGACATCGTATGGTCTAGATACTGATGGTGCCATAATGTAACTTTGAAAAAGAACCATCTAACAAAGATGAATCATTTGAAAGGGTGAACAGTACGTCCAAATTGTGGCTTTATGAATGTTAGTTAAGCAACAACTGAACACTTTTCTAGGGATTTTACTAAGTCAGATTTGAGGTTCTCATGCCAATTAATGGTAAGACTACCATCTTCTGGAATGTGATGCTCTTTTGTCTGGTAGAAAGATAACTTTCTGACAGATTACATGACATCATATCCAAGAGATAGTAATCTTAACTCTAGAATGGACTGAAGAATATGTTTGGATCGCCCAAAAAACTGTAAAATGGCAAGACACCGAAGATGTCACAGCCCACCACACGTGATGACTGGCTAGGCATACAGGTGTTGCAAGTGCTTCTGTCTGTTGCAGATTCATCATACCGCAACCAGCTGAGTTCAGCAGTTCTCAAACTGCAGGAGTCTGGCAAGCTTGCCAAAATGAAGAACAGGTGGTGGAAGGAGGAACGTGGTGGTGGCAGATGTGCAGTGAGTTACTCTCATGTCTTGAATTCAATGAAGATGATAAGCTAGAACTGTATGTATTAAATTTCCTCAAATCTCTCTCAATCATTACCGTTTGTTTTGTCATTAACTTAATTTCTTCATTTCTTTATTAGTTAATCAGTTGGTCAGTATCCAGAGAACAAGAATGTGTGGTCCACGTTGGTCATGAATGCTGACTGCCATACCTTCAAGAGGGATGGGTCACTAGACTTGATTATACTTGCCTCTGGACAAAAACACAGATGTCAGGAGACAGTCAGCTCTAGTCTTGTTGTTGTTGTTGTTGTTGTTGTTGCAGTCGTCATTGTCATTGTTGCTGTTGCTGTTGTAACTTAACTGTCTTCTTATTTGTTTAGTTTTGTCCATCATTTGTTTTTGTTCTTTTTTTTTCTGTTTGTCCTGACACTGCAATTCACCTTTGGCTGTTGAGTTCAGCATATAAATAAATAAATACAAAACTTAGTTAAATTGAGTTATTCTTGTTGTAGCTGCTCCTGCTGCTTTTGTTCCTTAGACTTCTCCACTTTATATGGGTTGTGTAGCAACCAAGGCTCTCCATCTATTTTTGTCTTCCCAAGGTCCCCCCATCACTTTCCTTCCATATTCTTCCTTCATTCTTTGTGAAATATTCCGTAACTTGTGGTTCGAATCTTGATCATAGGCTTCCTTTTGGGCATTTTACTTTTGGTTTCATGTTCAAAGCCATCTTTAGAATTCTCTCTTCTTTAATTCATGATGTTCCCATGCCATCTTATTGCGTTTTTGTTAATTTATCTCCCAACCTATATATTGTTAAATTCTTATTCTCTCTCTTCTGGTTTCTCCTGCTGAACTTCTTAAGAAAATTATCTCAGCTGCCTTTAGTCTGCTGATATCTGTGCCCATGTTTCTGCTGTATATGTTAAAATGGGCATGTAATAAATTTTAAAACTGAATTAGTTGTTTTTCTTTCTTTGGCTTTTCCAATGTACAAGAGATATTCCTGATTAAGTAGTAAAATGTTTCTGGATTTTTACTCTTTCTGTAATTTCTTGTATCCTTGCATTTCTCACCGTTGTGTGTCCCAAGGATTTAGAAACTCTCCACCTATTTCACAGTGACTGTGAGCCTGTTATGCAGGGGGCAGCCAAGCATGCCTGGAGGCTGCATGAATATGTCACTTCATATTGACTTAGATTCATTTTGATGCATTAGAATTCATCCCAGCAACTGATACATCAAGTGTGAGGGATATGGCAGTGGCAAAACTTAATTCATCTATTTCACAATCTCTGTCAGAATCCTTATGTAGCTCTTCTCTTTATGTTCTTTCACATGTCTTGCAGTAGTTCACATAGAGAAACAGTAGGTGACAGAAATTGCACAGCTCGAATGCATGTTGCTTGCATGCCATTTGCCTGTTGTAGCTGGTAGGAGTGAAGTTGGAAATAAAAATGTATGGGAGAGGCTCAAGTTTGAGTTTCATTTAATATGTTTGTAGTAATGCATCTGGTTGATTATGTTGCTTCAGGATAACGTCAGCAGTGGGAACCCCAGTCCTCTGAACTTGCTGAATGTGGGTGGTGTGTTTGTGGTGCTTTTGGGCGGCCTGGTCCTATCATGCTTCGTGGCACTTTATGAGTTACTGTGTAAAGTGCATGAGACATCACGGCGAGAGAAGGCAAGTGTGTCCATTTCAACACAAAGATCTGAGATTTTCATGGCAGTGAATGTGAAAATTACTGTCTTCTACGAAATGATGGCATGTAGTCTGGTAGAATGTTAACAAAATTCTGAGCACTCTACAGCCTCCATTTTAAGTGTAGAAGAATAAATCATGGGGCAAAACCAGGATACACTTTTCCCATTTCTCTATATCTAACTTCTTCCTCACGCAACTTACTTTGTCCCTGAAGATGAAGGCTCATAATCCTGTTGGTGTCCACCTACATTATTGCATGGTGTCAAAAGCCAGAAGACCACAATCTGAGCAGCCACCACCACAAAAACCTCAAAACTTGTATCTTCACAATATTGGCAATAATGTTATTTCTGCCTCTCTAGTGCCTCCATGTATGGTCACTGTTGATCTTGGGAGCACCTGTAGGGCAGATTGTTGAAAAGCTCATATCATAAAGAGTGTGTTACTGTTATCTGCTCTGCAGTAACAGCAAAATATGGTGATGAGTCCTGCAGGACTTGGAACCAAGAATGGCCATGTTGGCAGGGCCCAGCAGCAGTTTATCCGACTGCCTTAAAACACCAAAGTCTGTAATTGAAATCAAACAGTACTGAATTTACATGGATATTTGGTTTGAATCCCAGTTTCACATTGACTGCCCTGGCAGAAGCTTGTCATAATTTATCCCATTTTCTTTTACACTACAGCTGTTTGCTTCCCAACTAACCATCCTGCCGTTCAAAGGTATGTAATCTTTGCAGTAAATAGAGCAATATAAAAAAATACATATGTTGTGACTGTGTAGGTTCCATTCCTGGAGGAGCTCATGGCAGAGTTCAGGTTCATCGCACGCTGCCACGGTTCCACGAAGCCAATCCGCAAATACAACAGCCAGGAGAAAGAAGATAGTCCACCTACTGGAGAAGGGACTGGGCCACAGAACTTTGTCCGGATGAGCATCTATGGAGATACACCATATGGGTTTAACACAAATATGAAAGTGCCTCTTACATAGTTCAACTCATTGTGTTAGTAGCATATTTCCTAGAAGTCAGTAAGCAAACCCATCTCATTGTGCACAATGACTGCAGTGGTACTTTCAAGGCCAAATATTTTTTTAACTGAATTTTATAGGACAAATTGCATTTCTTCACATGGGCCTATAACAATTAGATAGGAATTTACGAGCTCTAAACTCTCCGCTCCCCCTCCATTTCGGAGATGGCAGTTGCTAGAAATGATTACGGTTCACAAAATTTTGTTAAAACCAGTCTTCATCTCAGTTTTGTTCTCATTCGGAAAGTACATCTGCTTCTGTCCAGTTCCTGCCCACAGCTTCCAAATGTCTCCAAGGGTTGAAATAAAGTAGTTTTTGGTGTAAAATGAATACATAACAGAAAAGTCATGTTAATCATCAAGGTTGCTTGGATTCTCTCTGAAACTATTCAGGATTATAATGAAAGTTGGTGCTAAGTATCCATAATGAAATCTATCACCAATTTTCCACTGCCATAGATATCAGTACGATACAGCCCATATTCTGCAGTATGTTAAAATCTGACATTTATCTTTTTCCTGTAAAATGGCCCTTCTTGATACATGGTACATGCAAGTTCACAGAGATATTGAGTTTTTGGACTTTATCCATCGTCCTGGTTTTAAGATAACTAAGAAAAACATGACGTTTCGGAAACTGGATCCGTTTCTGTCCTCAGGTGAGGGAAAACACCTATTCTGTTGGGTCCCTTAGAAAGAGCTAGCCTCAATCACTGGACGATTGAGGCTAGCTCTTTCTAAGGGACCCAACAGAATAGGTGTTTTACCTCACCTGAGGACGGAAACAGATCCAGTTTCCGAAATGTCGTGTTTTTCTTAGTTACCTTAAAATCAGAACGATGGATGAAGTCCGAAAACCCAATATCTCTGTGTGTTATACACCATCGTCAGAATCCTATAGTAACTATTTGCAAGTTCAGTTTCAAACATTTTCCTATGTGGTCAATATGTAACCCAACTGTATCCTATCTCCACTTCAGGTAACCTGCCCCAGGAAAAGTGACCACATAACCATTATCTGTATTTGTCTATGAATTACTGAAGCATATTTTCACTGGTCTTGCAGCCTACACAGTTTACTAAATTACATAGTATTACATTGTCACTAACAGGTGACCATGGCCCATAGCATGGGAGTGTACAGGCATACTTAAGGATGTGAATGTGTTAATGATGTTAATGCAGCTGATTCTGTACTTGTAATGCCATTTGTTTTGTCAACAGCAAATTTGTCTTCTTCTTCTTCTTCTTCTTCTTCTTCTTCTTCTAGTGTTGTTCCCATTTCTTACAGGCTGACAGATGAAAAGCCTCAAATCTCTTCTCTCTTTTCAAAATCTTTCAATTTCTTGCCAGGTCTTTCCTCTCTTCCCGATGTCTTCCAGTACCTGGCTAAACCAACCTGGGCCGGGGTATATCCCTTGGGATCCTTCCCTTAAATTTTAGTTCTATTGCCCTTCCCAGTATCTTCTATCCATTCTGTTTACTTGGCCAAACCTTTATAATCATTTCTCTATTAATTCTGTTAATAAATTCTGAATTTCAACCCTCAAAGTTTCATTTATAATTCTATGCCTATCCTAGATTTATATCAGCAGTAACTATACCTCAGCAGCATTCGGATAATCAATTGGAAAGTGTCTTCCTGATATTGAAGTGTATGTCTCAGCTCTCATTATCTTCACCATTACTGAAATAGAACTAAAAAGTTTATTTGTTCAAATATTTAAGTAGCCACATTATCCAGAATTGTAAATTTATTTGCAAGATAAAACATGAACATACACTCTCCATGCAAAGCTGAAATGTTCCTGATGATTGTGTGTTAATGTTAAAGATCACTGTCATTGAGCACATTGTCCATCACCTTTATATTTGTCAAACACGATGTTTCAGAAACTGGACTTGTTTCAATTATCAGGTATAAGGGATGAAAGGTTAGAACCATTACATACATACATACATTTCATTTCACAAGTCCAAACAAATGGACATGAAGGTCGTCATATAAAACAGCCTATTTTTAAAACTAATTCTATCCTAATGTTATATTTTAGCATCCTGGACCTAATTCTATCCTCTTTAAGGCTTTGAATGGTTATGGGCAATCTGTTGAATAGTTTAATAGCAGTAAACATAGTACCTTTCTGAAAAGCAGAAAGATTCAAGTTTGGCAAATATAATAAATTAGAAAGACTCAGTCGGCTCACAGATGGTGGTGAGGTTGTCAGCCTTATGTGTTGTCATCCTTTAACCCCAGGAAGATTCCTGGTACTCATTTCTGTTAGGGGCTGAGTCAACCCCAGTAGTCGTGTTTATTATAATCTCTACAAATTTCAAGAGCGCTTCATCTTATAATACTGAACATCCAAATGTTTGTAAAATTATACCTTCTGTCTACTGGAATTGAAATGTTTCCCTTTTCTTTAGTTTCTTTTTCCATAATGCCATTTTGTGCTGGTTGCTACACGCAAATTGCATAATCAGGCTACAAGCAGATTTAGCTAAAGACACATATCCGTTGTCATCTTATTTCTAAAGAAGCTAAAGTTAACTAGCTCCATGGATCAGAATCCTTAGGAAACTGACAGTCAGCTACTCAAGAAATTCCAGTATCATGTGGTTAGAGGCTCTCACAGTGGTGGATATGAAGATTGCTGTCTCCTGGGATGTGGCATCGCATGGATTGGTAGATAGGTTCCAGTGTATCAAAGTGACCATATGCCTCCATCGTCAGGGTAAAGGAATAACTTGAAAGATGGCAGGATCATCCAAACAGGTTGACCTATACATATATACAGGACCATCAGCTTTTCTATGGCATAATTTTTAATAATTTTTAAAATACAAAAGAATATAATTAGAATCATTACAGGATGTAGAAGTAGAGATTCATGTAGAGAATTATTTAAGAAATTAAAAATTCTACCTCTTCAATCGCAATACATATTATCGCTTCTCTTACTTGTTGTTTACAACAAAGATAAATTCAAATTAAATTCTGATGTCTATAACATGAATACTAGACAAAAATATAACTTCCACCTACCCTCATCAACTTTATCAGTATATCAAAAAGGAGTCTACTTTACTGGCATAAAAGTGTTCAACAATCTGCCACAAAGTATTAAAAACTTGGGCAATGATACTAAAAAGTTTAAATCAGAGTTAAAGAATTATCTACATGCTCATTCCTTCTACTCTTTAGATGAATACTTCAATGTAAGTTATATTAATTTTTAAGCTAAAATTGCCTGTACTTATGTATGTAACCTTTTGACTTGTTCTGTATCCAAAGGTACTAACCTACTTAGGATTTATAGAATGTAAATAAATTCAATTCAATTCAATTCAATTCAATACAATTATGGCTCCCAAACAAGCACAGATGGATGAACGCATTTTTTTTATGAATAATTAACGTACCGCTTGAAGATCAATCATTGAGGTTGGGTGAAAAATATTATATACAAACATCGTCCTCGAACCGAGTTTCATGAAACCGCCCTGAGTGGCCTACGCATATTAGGTACGTGACGTGCTTCTTCTCACGGATCCTACGAAAATATTCTCTTGTATGTACATTTTACACTTTTCCTTTCGTTTCTCAAATCTGATGCCTTTCTTGTACAAACTGCACGTCACAAGGACATTATTAAGATGCTTAGTATAATGTAAAGTTTCAGCTCTAAGAAATATATTGAAACTGAATTTCAATAGCTCTCTTTTGATTACAAGGCAGTGGGTTACCGTGCCCTGCTTTACTGAACGCATTCGCGCTGTCTATTACGTATTTCACGCATCTTTTGTTTTTTTTTTTGGAAAATGGCGCGATAAATGGTGTTAGGACGGTGAGTTCGTTTGTTCGATAAATTTTACAGAAATGTCGCAAGTGCATTTGACCAGAGTTTGACATGCAGTGTAATACATGACTAGTCACATAATATAAGTTGGTCTGTTACTATAGAAATGCCTCGTGGTAGTAAAGAAAAGTAACGGTTTTCTCCACTAAAAGGGAGATACTATGAGCTTGTGAATTAAGTTGGGTTTTCAGTCGTTGGTAACTGTGAAGACTGCAATCTCGTTTTCATATATGGAGTGATTCTACTTCTTTTATATGTGAGTTACGTAAATTGAGCGACACAACGTAATGAACTTTTTGTGGACTTGTTCATCTGGGTTGTGCGAAGATTCACCTACCGCATCCTGTGATGTGAGCTGAGATGTCGGTAAGTAGGCCTGCAGATAAAAAATCAGCACTTGTGGACAATTTTTGTCAGTCCAGAAACAAAATAGTACTGGTTCCTTTCTACTTGATCCTTCTTAAAATAACACAGTACATAATCTAATTTAAATGAAGGGTTAGGTGTTCTTGGATATAATGTCATGTTGTATGCTGAAAGTAAGCTTGCTTTTCCGAGGAACATGTCGTTTCCATCTTCAGTGCTGAAGAGTAAGTCAAGTAAGAAACCAGCATGAAGCATGCAGCAATCATAGAAAAGTCCACTTCTTTCTGGTTTTTGCTTCATTGGAGGGATAAAGAAAAAGCACAAACAAATCAGTCAGGATAGTTGGTATCCCATCCGAGATTCGAAGTGGACATCTCCAAATACAAGTGAGAAGTCTTACCATGTATTCCTTTCGGCTCACACTCATGTGAGTGGAGCCGTGACAATTGACATGGCTGGGCTGCAAATTATCATATCATCAGAATTACTGTCACACAGACATGAATTCCTGTAATCATGTAAAATCTGGTGGTTGATATTTTGTCATATACCTGTGTTAACAAGTAGTTATGAATAGTGGCAGAATATGACAGCAGTGAATGGTAGTGGAAGGTATACTTGAGTTTGTACTGCAGCGTCCACTTTGCTGAAAGGCGTTTATAGCATACCTTTAGATAGCAGCTGCGCTTACTGGATATTGTTATTATATTAAGTTTAGTGTCTTAATATAAATACAGTGGTCTTTCCATTAGCTTCCATGTTATTGAAGGTGGGAGTTTTTGAGGAAATTTGGTTTTATAGGCAAAAAAATGTTATCTGGATAGAAATTGTTTTCTTGTTAGATTTTTGTGGGTACTTATCCATTAATAGGTGATTCTGTTACCAACATGTCTGCCACTTAAAAATTTATTTGTAAGATCAAACCCAAAAGCCTAACCTTGTGGGCATGTTGAAACCAATATAGGTAGTTAGGCTTTTCGTTTTTTGTTGCAAATGAACTTTTATGGTTGGCAGTGCTAATGTGGACAGCATGACACATTTTAAAGTTACTTGTATCACTTGGTAATACGTGAGTACCATTTTACTTGTTTGACGTTGATCACCACGTCTGTTTCCCGTTGAAATATCAACGGACTTCATTCTAGTGTTCTCCTGTAGCAGCTCTTCGAACTTGCAGGCCTGCGAGCCCCGATTTTCAAACCCTTTGCTATTACGGCGTCCTTTAATTATGTATTAGTGTCGTTGATTAGAGTGAGTCTGTCGCAATATTTTCCTTGGACTGTGCAGTGTTGATTGTTGCTGCATTAAGCAGCGGAAAATCAACGTTTCATTAGAAAGCGCGACAGGACTGCTCGAAAACGCTGGCCCTTCTGTACCTGAAAGACAACGTAACTTTTGCGCTTTGCAGCGGAGCCGTGACGCTCTGGAGGAAATAATAACGAAGCTTTTACTTGTCGGTTAGTGAATATCCATAGGAACTTCTGTGTAATTCTACATTATGAAATCAGAGTTATCCCGTTAAATTACAGCGGTAATTATATGTACTATCTACCTTGAACTTTTTAAAACTCTGCATTCTGCCCACAGAGTGTATCTGTGTGTTCCATACGGTTCTCACAATAAACTGTTTTCGCAAACAGCATTAAGCAGTTGGGTTTCATAGCGGTGATGTGATGTGTTTCCTATGAGGTACGAACTGAATTCTTATATATTGTCATGGGTCACAGTGACAAAAGACGGGGTTCAGGTTGGTAATTAGATTTATTAACCACCTCCAGGTCGTAACTACAATTAACTGTTACACTATTGCTGCTTTACACAATTTACAAACACTCCACATTAATCTCTTCAGCCTATTTGCACTAGTGCTTGATATTAAACGAAGAATCATCTCGCGACCCGTTAGTTCCAACCAGTAACGCATCATCACTGAACTGTCCTTCCGGTGTGTCTGTCTTTATCGTGGGGAACACAGTTCCTGCTCGGAGCCGACTTTCGCCCCGGTCAGTCAGTAATTGTGTGTCACATATCTGCCAGGGGAACTTGCAGGTTACATATTCGTGATTTCTTTAACGACGATAACAGTAGCTCAGGTTATACAGTGTCGAATTGTAGGACGGTTAGTGAGAAATTAGTTGGGAAGGCATGGAGCGAGGGCAGCTGTGTGACAAGTGTTTAGGGAAGTGGAATTAAGACGGACGCAGCAAGTGAGGAATTTAGGAGGAACTTTGTGAAATGCGCGAGCCACCTACTCTTGTTAAGGCAGTGAAATGTAGGAGGCTGTAATGGGCTAGGCATGTAGCTAGGATAGGCAATATAATGTTGTACTGCAACATCTGTTACATGTCTCTTATTTCCACTTCGTATTCACCGTCTCACAAGCAAACTTGTGTTGAAATCTGAAAAATATTTAAAACAGCACCTACATGCGACACTGCAGACGCACAACAACACATGGGCGCATAAACGAGGGTGTGAAACTGTGTTTAATGACGGAAGTACAGCAATTTCCGAAGCTCCTGATGATGACCATATTGGTCGAAACATGCAGCGCACAGTGATGTGAAAAAATACGTGAATTTTTAAGATTTTAACGCAAGTTTTCATGTGAGACGATGACTAAGAAGTGAAAATAAGACAAGGAATGCATGCAACGTCATAGTTGAGGGAACCTCTTAAACGGAAGTAGCTCAAGACCGCATCAGTGGCAGGATTTAATATGTGTTGTGCTATCGGAGAGTTGGCTACTGCTACTCATAATTATTATTATTATTATAATAAAATCATACCTGACGTAGAATGGCGTAAACCCAACGCTTGCATTGAATGATTTGTAACCTTTGTTTATCCGAAACTGGAGCCCACAGCCGCCCACCCAATTTCATTCATCGGAAGACTGCGTTTGTAGCTCGCAGCTGGATACGCTTTTATTCCAATTGTTTCTCGCTTCAGCTGTTTATCTGTGTGTCTTCCTTGTTCGTGATCTGTTTACATTATAGCATACTCGACCTGAAATCGTCATTTCATCGTCTTTTGTTGAAAAGTCGTATTAAAATAGAATTCTATAGTTACACGGCAGACCTGCCAGCGTAAGGTTAACGTTCTGTTTGTGTCAGAATCGGACTCAAAACGTTCTCTTTAATGGGATACAGTTTACCCTCGCTAATCCGTATTAATTTGGGGTCAGAGGTCATCCGGAGTAAGCGATAATCCTGATTAATGAAGCAAAAGATATCTCTAAAAGACAAAAAGAATTATAAAACAAATACATGGAAAATTTAATATTATAGATAGAGCTGATGAAGAAAACCGAAAAATATTACTGCAGCAATTTATTCCTTTATGAGAAATTGAAATCCAGGGGTTTCCCTCCATCCAGCTCGAGCTAATCTTGGATATTTCCTTGCGTGGTTTCAGTCTCTCCAGTTGCCCTCAGCACAGTCTGAAAGTCCTCAACCCCATTTGTTTTTAAAGTATGTAGTCAACTGCGAACAGAATTTTTCATATTTCGATCCGGATTAACGAGGGATTACTGCGTAATGTAAATGCATTTGTTGCGCATGCGCTGTGAAAGAAGGAATGCCGTCACATCGAGAAAGTGTTAGGAAACATGCACGAACATCGAAGGTTACCATATTGCGGGAAGTGACGCCGTGTAGTCTGTTAGACATTTACTAACTTTTGGAAGGAACACGCTGCCTCCGTACTCATTTCAAAAAGTGCCCTGAAAATGGAGGCAGCAGGTTCCTCCGAAACGTTTGTAACGATCTACAAGACTACACTGTCACATCCCAGAAGACATTAAGTGAACTTCAGCGACACCGCTATGAGAACACACAACTTAATTTTTTTATTTTGTTTATATTTTTATTTTATTAGCTTTTTACAGTCATCATATGTACGCTTAGTTGCACTATGGATGATAAGTATATTATATAAATTTTGTAAGCGTGAGATTTTTCATTGCCATTACAGTTCTTTGTTGCCATAGCAACGAACTGCCTAGCGCTAACATGTTGCACGCACATAATTTCTGTAGTAGGTCACGAACTATCGAGCGGTATTTTGTTTTAGTATATCTTGTCATATGAGAATTGATAATGTTATGATTTAGATATGTAAAGTGTAGTATGCTGTATAAAGGAGAGGAGTAACAGTCGACTATTTGTGCTTGTTATTCATGGGAGATGGCATTAAACGTCAGCCTGTACGCATCATTTGATAACATACAGGATTGGGAAGGGACGCTGGAGAAAGCGGAGGACGTTAATAATACGAAAGCATTATATATCACATGATGAGACTTTCCCTGGAATTCTCAACGGCCGTTACACCAATGTTACTTTAATCTTCAGAGAAATCCCAAATTATGGTATTAGAGTACGGACTGGGTTTATCTGGCTCAGGATATGGTCCATTGGAGGCCTGTTGTGAATACGACAGTGAACTAGCGTGTTCTGTGGGAAGTGAAGAATTTCATCAGATGTACCACTGTCAGTTTCTCAAAAATAACTCTGGCCAGTTAAGGGAAAATCAAATTAAGGAAATGCTTTCTGAATTTCTAACGCATTCTTCTTTCCAATCATTGCAGATATACAAGTATGTAACATAGATATATTTTGTTAGCTGTTTTGTACGGCTAGGCAGGTGGCATCTGAAGCTAAAGGAGTGAGGGAAGCAAAGTGATCAGGAAAATGTTTGGGCTGCAGATTTTAAATGGAGACGGCTGTTTCTTTCAAGAAGTATCTCAGTGCATTGGCGTGCACATGGCGCATCCGTCCCACGAGCAGCGGTGTCCCAACGTCCAGACCCCAACATGACGCTGCTGCGAGAGAACCAGGTGTGTGGAGGTGATCTGAAGCAACAAGTGACAGCGCGTGCGCGGCAGCTATGTCTACAGTCATCTGCCTGTTCACGCCAGTCCGCCGCCGTCGCGATGCTGAGTCGCAGCAGCTCGTGGCCCGTTGTGCGACGCACGCCACCCGACTCGTGCGTAGTGCCTCTCCTCACCGCCCCCAGCGTTCCGTCACCTGTCCGCAAGCCGCCCCCAATTCTGGACCCTCGAAAGACTGCCACCCTCAGCAGGCACTACTACCCCGAAGGAGGCTGGGGTTGGGTGGTGGCGGGATGCAGTGTGGGGGTGCACGTGCTGAACCACGGCCTTCAACTTGGGGGCGGCGCAGTGCTGCTGTCTGCCGCCGCCAGCACCTTCCACACCAGCGCAACAAACGCAGGTACGTGGCCTGTAGGGACTGGATACGCAGGTACATGGCCTGTAGGGACTGGATATGCAGGTGAGTGGCCTGTAGGGACTGGATACGCAGGTACATGGCCTGTAGGGACTGGATATGCAGGTGAGTGGCCTGTAGGGACTGGATACGCAGGTACATGGCCTGTAGGGACTGGATACCCAGGTGCGTGGCCTGTAGGGACTGCCACAGATACATGGCCTGTAGGGACAGGATATGCAGGTACGTGGCCTGTAGGGACAGGATACCCAAGTGCGTGGCCTGTAGGGACTGCCACAGGTACATGGCCTGTAGGGACTGGATACGCAGGTGCGGGAAGTATAGGGACTGGATACGCAGGTGCGTGGCCTGTAGGGACTGGAAACGCAAGTACGTGGCCTGTAGGGACTGGAAACTAAGGTACCTTTAAAATGCAAACAAGAAAGCTAAGTCGCAGCAGTGTAGCATAGGTGAGTTCAGGGGAAAGTAGGACTGGAGACACGTGATAATTGCAGGGATATCACAGCAAGTGAAGCGGGACGCCGCCCACTGATGCAAGGCTTCTGTCCTGCGTTTGGGAGTTGCCTGCGTCGAATCTCGGCCGGGACACTGGCTATCCTGACCGAGGATTTTGATAGTTTCCTCAGTCCCTCCAGGCAAGTGTCGCGATGGGACCTGATATGAGGCCACGACCGCTTTCTTCCACAACATCCTACCATTCAACGTTATATATTGACATCGCCGTTAAATTTTTAGTTCTTTGAAACTGGATAATTATGAACGTGACTAAACAAGGATTTGGTATAAGATTTTGTTGTCTCCTTCTGGACACTGCAGTGTCCTTCTTCTAGAGAGAGTGTAAGACCACGAAAATCTTATTCGGGATGTTACACCGTCGGAGATTCGAACAGTGTACTTCTTGATTACAAATCGAGCTTCTTACCGATACACCGATGTTCTGATGGCATAATATTAAAATAATAAGTTCTGGGAAGAACTTAATAGCCTTACTTACTTACTTACTTACTTACTTACCCGTGGAGCTGAGCCCTTCTTGAGGAGCCGACAATTCTGCAGCTACTCAAGAATTTCCCAGCATTTTATGAAACCCGAAGGTTCATTACCGTGTTCACAAGAGCCCTCCACTGGTCCCTATCCTGAGCCAGATCTATCCAATCCATACCATCCCATCCTATCTCTAAGATCCATTCTAACATTGTTCACCCACCTACGCCTTGGTCGTCCCTGTGGTCTCTTTCCTTTTCCTCGTCTCCCTCATTCTTGCTACATGACCTGCCCACATCATTCTCCTTGACTTGATCATTCTAATTATACTTGGAGAAGAGTACAAGTTATGAAGCTCCTCATTATGCAGTTTTCTCCAACCTCCTGTCACTTCATCTCTCCTCGGTCCAAATATTTTCCTTAACACCCTGTTCTCAAACACCCTCAGTCTATGTTCCTCCCTTAATGTCCGAGCCCAAGTTTACTTTCCTTTAATACGACACGGACCGCATAGAAAATGACGTTTCCAACAATTCTGTTGTTGCGTGTGTATTCGTTGCAGCTGGAACATATTTACCGATCCGTTGCGTAGCAACGAAAAGAAGAATAATTTATTTTACCGAGCCGTTGCCTGGTAACGATTGGAGGGATACACAAGCCGTTGGGAGGGATTTATGAAGTACGCCATTGAGATGGTCTCAGGTGCCGTGATATACATATCGAGTTCCGTAAAGATTGGTTCAGACATTCAGAAGTTAATAGTGGGGGATACAGAGACATACAGGCAGCATGGAGATTGCATAAGCCTACTTTTATGTTTTCAAAATAAGGAAAGCAGCCTGATGAATAAGGAAATACGTTGTGCAGATGGAGAATGGATTTCGACGATGCCAGTCAGCTGTCGCCATAGAAACCGTCCCATTGTTGCGTGTCGCTGTAAATCAGAGCGTGGGCGGAAATTAATGGCGTTACTTCGTGACCGGCAACTGTTATTCATTTCCGGTTGGTAGTCGTCATTGCAGGCAGGCGCACGGCCCCGGGATCGATTCGGGGGTGGGTCTACATGTCTCGGGGAAACTAACGAGCCAAGAAGTGAGTAAACGCGGAAGTGCAACAGCACATGCGCAGATGGCGTGTGGGGAGGGGGTGCATGCAGTCCTGCTTCGGTTTGTGCCCCAGTGTAGTCAACTGTTCTAAAAGTTTTATGTTTAATAGACAGGTCTTATCATTGTGATAAACCAAAGGTTCACAAAGAGCCGTCCACTGGCCCAGATACTTCCTCAGTGCTATCCGCAACGAGTTGGAGGTTCATTTCTTTACAACGTTCAAAACTGAACGCATAATGATGGGGTCCATCTATCCTTCCAACGTGATTCATTCTCGAAACTGCTGCAGGTCTAGATTTTGGGAAGCTGCATTAGAAGAAGTTTCGTCTCTCTTGGTTTTCTTCAGCCCAACTAGACACGTCTTTAAGTACGCTTAGTGAGCCGGGCTGGACAACCGGGTAATCGGGGTTCAGTTTCAAGCGGGATCAGAGACTTTTTTCTCTGCATCACAGGGTCCAGACCGCCTTTGGGGCTCGCCCACCCTCATACCCAGCGTTACCGGCGAATATTTCCCTTAAAGGTAAAGCGGCCGGGGCGTGATGCTGACTACTCAGCGCCATCTAGTTGAGAAGTTTCCTCCATGTCAAGACGTGATACTTAATTAAGCACAGGGCAACTTACCTTTACAACTCCTCTAAGTAATTAAAGTACAAATCTCGATGGAAGGGACTGAGTAAAGTCTAGAAGTCAGTAGGTCATTAGGCCACACGCATCTGCTTTCTTTTGGCAGCAAGACACGCGTTGTGCGTGCAGGCACGCAGAGGATACCGAGGGGCCAGAGTCGTGCTCGAGAAACTGACAGTCGTCCAGCTGGCCACGAAGCGCAGCTTCCGTTCCGCGGTCCGTCCGTAGCGACGAATCAGTTGGCTCTGGCCCGCGTTCGGCAGGTGTTTGGTTCGAATCTGGCCCGAGGTACCGACTACCCTGACTGAGAATGTCGGCCCAAACCATTTCCTTCCACATCCTTGCTGTTCATTAATCAGCCTGCAGTCTGACGCACTGACAGCATCGTTACGTAATGCCCACTGTAATACTGAGGAAACAGACGTGAAGAAAACATGAATATGGACTTACAGAGTCGGCGAATGAAGTGGTTGAGTACCGCGGCTTCGGTCTAAGTGACGTTCAAACCTTCGAGTTCTGCTGCTGGCGTCCTTTTGAGGCGTCGTGGAAGTATGATTCATCATCATCAGTAATCTGTCAGGCGACAGGTCCACAGTCTCTTCCAAAACAGTTTCTCCACTTAATGCGATCTTCTGTTTTTGGAAAGAGACTATCCAGGAAAAGTGATAATGTGGTAGTTTTTCCATTTGCTTTCCGCATCGCAGTACAACAGCCGTTCAAACCACTCTGGTCACGCCTGTTGCTATACGAACTTGAACCATCTCGAGCATCATTTGCTCTGTGCTTCAAGTCGCTGCTGATGACGCTGCTTCCGGCATCAGTTTTTGGTGTCTCTCTTCGTCTGATGCCTACCCTTTGACCTGTCCAGCAAGGGAGGCCCTGCCAGTAGCTACGCTACCGCTGGTATAGCTCTCAGGGTCCTTGGCATACTCAAACCCCCTCACCACGATAAGGTGGAGACACCATTATGCCATCATAATAAGATCACCGGCCAACCGGCTTTATCCACTGGCTGGTAGGCGCCGTTTTATAGTGGCGGCTTATAGCCCATTTATTAATTTCTGTCACAAGCCGCCACTGACAGGACTCTGTCTGACCTGCCATCTTATCGATCTGATTTACATCACACTTGACCTGACACTGGTCCCTACTTTGCTTCCAGCCAGGTAACAGTGCTGCACGCGCTTCGAGAGATTTCTACTAAATTTGGCCCGCGTTTTGCTGCTTGTTGGTTATTTCCGGTTTGTTTTAGCGTTCTCGTTTCCCATGGATGAATGGCAGCTTATAGGTCGACCGGAGTGTGAGTGCTTTGCTACACGTTCGCGAACAACTTATCGCAGAGGCCCTGGATGACTTTCATGGTCGAAACTATCGCAGCAGTGTGCCTCCCCCCAAGTTTCTGTATCTGCTGCGGGATAAACTGTAAATCAGATTACGTTCTCTTAGCGCGCAGGGCAGTGTGGGACTGATCAGCTGATCGGATTTCAGCCGTTTCCAGCAGGGAAGGTCTGTGCGCATGTGTGAATAATATTTCTTTATTTTAAGTATGCTGTTTATTTCTTGTTCCTGTGTGGAGGCGGGTTAGAATACCTCCACCGTAGCCCTGCGAGCCGTACAATGCGACGGAAAGGGAACCCGATGCATGGGGACATAACTGGGCCACCCTGTCACTGGGGGACATAAATACAGGAACCCGGTCCTCCAGGTTGGGGGTTGGACGCAAGACGGACGGCCTTGCCCTGTAGAAGAGAAATACTGTTGTGAAATCCAAAGACGTGAAAAACCGGATGCAGTATGTCGGAATCTTCTAAGAAAGGCAGTGGCTCAAAGGGGGCTGTTTTGCCACTGACGATGGTGGTTTATTTCTTGGTTTAGTTAAGGTCACTTTGTGACTTTTATAGGCTGTATGGGTTCCAAGAAGAATATGATTATAGTTATCTAGCAGTTTACAAAGCCGGTCACAGCTGCACGGTGTAAGGCATGAACTGTTTTCATTCAGTTGGACGCTGGGATCATGGGTTCGAATCCCACTCAAGGAATGGGTGTTTTGTGTGTATGCGTTCTGTGTTTGTGCTGTCCTGTGATTAGGTAGCGGCCTTGCAACAGGCTGATCCCCCGTCCAAGGAGTCCTTCCGTCTGTGAAAAATGATTACAGAACTGAATAAGAGACCTGGGCCCTAAGCTGACTGGAAGAGCCATTGAAAAAAAGAGAAAAAAACAGTTTACAAGGATATGGATGTGACCGTTGCCTATTTTCAGGCATTATTCTAG